AAATCCCCAGCTATAAGGGCTCCTGTTGGCGGTTGATAGCCTAAGAGGGCACTTGTTGTATGGTTGATAGGCTCGCCCGGCGGCCTATAGATGTTTGTAATGGTAAAGTTGCTAACCTTCACCCATAGGATATCTCTTGATTGGGTAAGTCTTTGTTGCTGTATTTGCAGCCTTAGACCCTTGCGTATATAGGTCATAACCCTAGGCCTTGTATCTCTGCAGTTCCAGAAATCAACTGGCACATAAGAGTTATAGCCTGGGTGTGTGTTGATTTGCATCTTATCTCTATAGCCTATCCAGGGTTCCTGGATCAATACTATATCGATCTGATCCTCCCAGCAGAGCTCTAGGAAAGCTGTATGAACTGGGCTTCTCTTCCCCACGTTACACTGGGCGACTCGTAGTACCCGTGGGGAGGCTGGCCTTTGCCTACTGCTCTGAGTCGAGGTCGAGGTGGGTGTAGGCATTAATAACGTTGTAATCAGGCTTCTGCGCCAGCCGCTGAGCCCTGCTGCTTGAGGGCGCTAGGGTAGGTTGGCTAGGTAAGAGGGGTAGGACTGGGTCGTCAGGGGCTTGCAGCCCCTCTGCTTCAGCCCCAATCTCATCTTCATCCATGCTGCTGCAGCTAGCCGCATCACAAACATCCGCTACGATAATTGAGTCCTGAGTAGGGGTAGGGGCGCGTGGGCGCTTTGAGCCGGGCTGATGGCTCGTTACACTGGTGTTAGGTTGCTGGGTGTTGCTGTCTTGGGTGACAGCCTGGCTGCTCTGATAGAGTGCCTCATAGGCCTTCTGCCCAGCCTTACGGATCCGGGAGAGCTCCTTCCGACCTGGGAGGGTTGGGGAACCGTTAACTACTAGGGGCCTTGCTGGACAGTCTTTATGGTTGGCTTGGAAGGGGCCGGCGCAGTTAGCGCACTTGGGTCTAGCTATGCAGGGCCCCGTCTCATGAGAGCTTGAGGGCCGGCCGCAGTTACCACAGAGTAGCTGTCGGTTACAGTACCGGTTCGAATGATATCCCTGGCAGCCAGGGTCATGTCTGATCAAGGTCTTCTTCTTTTGAATAGGCTGGGACCTGCTGCTTTGGTTAAAAAGTCTGAAGGGTAGTACTTCTATAGAGAAAGAGATGATCCAGGAGACTTCGTTTGTAATCGGGTTTGTACCAAGTTGGGATTGTCGGGCCCGGATAGGTTTACATCCCGTCTGTGCAAAGACCTCCTCTTCAACCAGAGTGGCTGGGTCGAGGGCATCCCCTTCGATAGTCCACAGCTTAGCAGGGCAGCGCGGGACGACGTAAGTGAACCACTTAGTAGGGGTCTCAACCTTATAGGCTCGAAGACTGTCTGCCAGCTTCTCTTTGTTCATGAGGAGGACTTGCTGGACCTGCTTATTCAGGGGTCTCAGTGAGTAGCCAGTTGCAATGTGGTAGATATGTGGAATATCTGCTAATTGGAGGCTGAGGGCCTGGCAGACCTTCCGACGAAGGACAAAAGGGGCGTGCTTCCTAGCAGCCGTTAGACCCTCTTCGGGGACGCGGGCAAAGACCCGGAGGTCCTCCTTTGGCTGGGATAGAGCCTGAGTCTGGGACTGGGGCTGGGTTGGGTTTCGGTTGCGGGCCGGGGCCGGGGCCGGGGCCGGGGCCGTGGCTGCAGTTGCAGCCGAGGCCACCACCACGTTAGCCCAGTTCCGGTTCGGGGCCGGAGTCGCCGTTTCGTTCCCCATGATCCTTTTTAAAGCTTGAATTACATAGGTTGTAGCCTCTTTTGCGATTTGCTTCCTAGGCCCCTCAAAGCAAGAGACTACGTTGTCGACAGATTGGGCGATAGCCATAAAGACATCCTTTCGGGCTTCGTAATGCTTGGCCTCTTCAGTAAGGGCTATAAGGACAGCTCCAGTAGCTGTCCCATTCACAGTTGAGAGCCCTTTAGCCGGTAAGGGGGTTATTGCAGAGGCGTCAGGCTGGCTTCCCACGAGGCTGGGCTGGGATGGCTGGGCCTCGTCACCGCGGCGGCGTTTAGCCCTTGAGGTTGGGGACGGCTCCGGAGGGGTTCCGGAGCCTCGATCAGGGCCGGCCGAGGGAGCCGGCGGCGGTCCAGGGCCCGGCGGAGGCTGTGAAGCCATCGCGGTAGGGCGCTGGAGGCGAGAGGTGAAGGGTTTTCAGCTGTTAAGGACTTTAGTGGTAGCCCACGTCTTGTACTAACAGTAGATGCCAAGAAAAATTAGGCGAGAGGGAAGTTTTGTTGCGGACGTGCAAGGCGCATATAACTTGGTCCTCACGAAGTTCACCATGGCGGTCGTCATAACCATTTGGGTGGACTCGATACTCAAGAAAGGCTCTTATGCACGATGGCCAGACATTCGGCGGACCAGCAAGCACTCGTGTCAGTGTCTCGGGACACATCTCGGGTGGGTGAGTGGACCGGTTCATTCGTCCCTTCACATCAGCCGGACACTTCTGCCTGGCAATCGCCGCCGCCGCCTTTCACAATTGATTACGGCGATTATTGCCCAAGAGGGTTTTCTCACTTCAACGATGGATCGCCCAAGGCGTTCGAACCAGCAGACTTCGACTCAACAGAAGATACTGTCTTTTCCGGTGGGAACGAACCCAATCCGGTAGAAGAGGGTATCCTCGACCCAGACTTAGTTGACAAACTCCAAATCGACGTCGCCGACCAGTACCTCATCGAACAACGCCTGCAAGATCAGGACTGGGATACGATCAAGAGTGGTTTCGAAGATCGATTTGGCGTTTCTTCGTCGTCGAGCAAGTCAGCCTTGGCCATGAGAGTATCGCGACGAAGGAAGAAGCACAGTGAGATCCGCTCGCTGTTCGAGCAGGCGACTCTGAAAAAACGGTCCAAGAGACAGCAAGGCAAGAAACACAGTTGGGAGACGGGGGTTCAGGATAGGTATGTGCGAGCGGAAGAGACGATAGGGCTGGAGCATGAAGCATGCGCGGAGCGGACGCAAGGGGAACGACGTGGGAGACCCCGGAGCACTTCACCCAAGACCTGCGACCAGGAGCTCACACACTGCATAACGCCAAGGGAAGCCGCCGCGGCTGCCGATATGTTGCTGGCATTTCTTGGCCAGCCCGAACTGCGAGGAGTGATGGCCCAGGCGGACTGTCTGTCGATTGTAAGGGTCAGGAGTCATTTGCGGGAGCAGGCCGATGTACGGTTCAGGTGATTCGTTCAGACACGAAAAGCGAGTGATAATGTGGGAAGCGGGCCGTGGACGATGTTGTCTGCCACCCCAGCTGCTGGCTGCGTTTTCTGGCTGCGTTTGATTAATCGGGCTTGTTTCACTTCCTGGTGATAATGCAACCCGTTCAAGCGCAAGGGTTCTCTGCCATTCGAGTGTATAACACCAGTGCATCATTAGCGAACACATGCCAGACACGCTTTTTGTCTTCACTGTAGCTCCCGCAACTCTCCGTTTCTTCGGTCTTCGTCTGCTAGTGATGTGTTTCGCAGTCTCGAACGACATTGGGACTGTGTGTCAACCCAGGCGATACCAGACTGTTCTCATGAGTTCTTCTTCCGGACCGATTCGCCGATGGGCTGCTCTGGACGTAGCCACAGATAGCTGGCGATGAAGTTGAGGCAATGTCTTTGAGCCGCTACCGTCGGCGCCTAAAGCGGATCCTTTTTCTCTAATAGAGATTTAAACATTGCCAATAAACGGATGCTTATCTTGCAGAGTTAGTTACAGCAGACGCTTATAACGACACAAAGGGCGCCACCGTTACGCAAGTGCTGGGTTCGGGTGCGTTACGTAACACACCTTTCGGTTTGACACATCTGACGGATGCGTTCGACACATGACTGACTTGAACGTAACGATGCAGTGTAAACAGTGGGCTTGTTGAGATGCTGGCGTCAATGCGTATACCGCGCGGAGATCTGAGGTCCCCGTGGAGCTTCTGCTTCCTGCCCGGCCTTGCGTCAAATTCCAAATTTTGGATTATCTCGCTTCAGTCTCCGAACGCCGTAATCTGGTACTAGACCTGTTTTGCCCTACATCCCAATTTGCCGTCTAGGCAGCGTGCATAACGAACCTAGGAGCAAACGGCTTCGTCGAGATCTTGGACCCTTGCGGCATGCAACTGAAGATTGGCTGCTGATTTGCGCATGCTTCAGCCTAACTGTGTGGGAGTTTGACGTAATGCAGGTATCAACGATGGTCCCGGGTGCCTCTCTCCATGTCGTATCTCACTAAACCACTTTGGTTGAAGGCACGAGCAGCAAGCGGAGATTCGGGACAGGTGCAGGCCGAAGGCCGACGAAGCAAGTCACCACCCACACTGGATCTCTGAGTGAACATAATTGCCGTATAAATGAGAGTGTCCCGACAGTCTGGTCATTGGCCAAAGCAAGTTTGCACATTCACACCATCCTGGCTCCAACAGAGGAAGCACCTCGAGAAGCAAGCAAGGTCCGCCGATATGAACGCTACCCCGGTTCCAACACGAAACCTTCAGATGTTTTCCAAGAAACATCACCCCAATTAGCACCTGCGTCGCAGAAGGCAAATCAAGTCCGCCAAAGTGAACGCTACCCCGGTTCCAACACGAAAACTTCAGCGATTTTCGCAGCGAAACATCACCCCGGTCCCGACTAGCATCATGACGCTTGCATTCACGAACACTCCGGGCGCTCTACGCACCAGAATTGACGAGACCTAACTTTGGTCCGTTCTCGCAAATCAGACCATTCGCACGAACCCATCACAACTTGGCGCCATTGCAACGTCACGGTTCCATGAGCCAATTGGAAGATTAGCTCGTCTTCCAAGACGCTGAATCCGTTGAGCCTTCAGAGGGCCATCGGCGTAACCGATCTCGCGTCTGTTGGGTTGATAAGCTGCCCAGCGCGAGGAGTCTATTGCCTTCCCCGCGTTTGGCTGGTCTGCTTCGGCTGCAGAACTTCGGTCCGACTTGATTTGTCCAATACATCCGCGAAACACAGCAGCACTTGCCTCACATCACGACAACAATGGTCCTATCTGAAGTCCGGATGGCAGTGGAGCGATTCGACCGCGATCTGAATGTTATTTGCCGCTGCGCAAAAGAACGGGAAGCTGCCGCTAAGCGCGACCTGGACAAGGAGGCACCGGCACTCCAAAGAAAGATTGCGGCGATTCGCAACCGAAGGACACAGCTAAAGGAGGAACTGACTGCGTGTCGACAAGAAGAAGATCATGCCCGTCAGCGACTGGTAGAGCTCGAGGAGGCCTACGATGCGTCTGTTCAGCATAGGCTTATGGTCTCGGCCTTGCCAAGCACGCAGACTTTGGTAAGCAATATCTACACGACTCAATCAGCTCACACTAACATCGCAGCTTGACTTCATACTCGGCGACCCGGCTCCCTCAGATTGCGCGTCGCCCAAGCCACTTGCTTCAACACGGCCTTGTCCAGGTATCTTCATGGAAGTAGGCCACGCTGATGACTTGGCTCTAGACACAGAAAAACAGAGTCCTTCTTGTCTAGCGCCACCTGCGTCCATCCCCACCTCTCCAACGAAGAGACAGGCCGAATACATGCATGAGAAGTCAGGCAAACGACGTCGCCATGAAACCTCTGTTACGGCATCCGAGACAGTCGGCAATGATGGGCTTTACGACGATGGGAACGCGAGATGCGATCACAGGACCATTCAAGACGGCGAGGGATGGCCTATCCTCGGGTGCAACGAACACCATGCAGAATTTCTGCACCCGGAAGCATGCAAGCTGTGTATAGATGCCGCAGAACCTCAGCGGGGCACACGGTGTTGTTGGTGCGCTCGGAATCGATTTTTAGGGATATAAAGGAGCGCATATAGCAATGCAAAGGTTCTGCCGAAGATCATTGGTGGAAAGCAGCATGAGACGCAGTCATCGGGAATCTCGAAAGCCCGCAAGTCCAATATTATAACGGACGTACTCTGCGAAAACAGCCTCGAGTCCGGCAAACGGGTCAACGGGAGTGAGTCAAGAAAGCGATACTACTAGCATGGGGGATTGGTGACAAGCAAGGCCTGAAATTACACGCAGGCATTGGCGTAGAATAACGGAATGATACGTATGTTTTTGGCCATCAACGACGGTCAGTAAGAATTCGTCCAAGTGTCTCTATCAACGCATAAGTGCCATAGTGTGTAATGAGGTGTGCTTCTGGCACGATTTCGTCTCTCTGCTTCCGGATAACCCTGCCTAGCCTCTCCCCGTTCCATGACCAGAGGCGCCCGCGACGAAGGAAAGCGCACAAGTCAGGTCGTCTTCTACAAGATCAATCATCCAAGCAAATATTGCGGGCGTGACAGAAAACTAGAGAACCTGTTTACTATGGTGGGCTGGCGCGCGGCGTGGGGCATCGTGCTAGCCTTGGCGGTCTACCCAGCTTCTCCCTGGCGTGGCGGCGATGTGGCCTCAAATATTTGAGGCCGAGAGTGGAAGCCTGGGCCGCTATCGCCGGGGAAGCGTCCCCGGAGTAGACCAGGCAAGGATTGTTTGCCCAATCCAAAATGGGAAGGACAAGAAACAGGCCATTGCGTGCTTCTATGCCCAACGCTCATCAAGCGCTGGAAGACACTGTTGGTTTCGAGGCCGTCTGTACGCTGTGGATACACACCGATCAGGGGCAAAGATGTTTGGCCTTGCTGTTCTTGCCCCTGCGCAGATCGGCCTTTGTTCGCGAGGTGCTGGTGCGCTTGAGCAAGGACCAGGAATTCCTAACGTATGCATCATGGCACATGAGTGGAGTGCATTGGACAATGGTCAGTTGATGAACGAGGCCGGCAACGGTACCCGCATATCCAATCACTATTGACAACTCGGCCTCTTTTCTTTCCACTTTTGTTCTTCGCAAGCTCGAGCGGGATGGTCTTGGACAGCCCACCAATGCAGAGGGCGAGATGCGCAACGTTAAAAGTTAGTCCCTGTTATGTTCCAAAGTTCTTGAAATATGCGTTTTTTATAGCATGACTGAGTGAAGTGGTGACGCAAAAGTCCTACTCGTAGGACAGTCCGTTGCATGCCTCCCCGCAGCTCCGGCCAGTGGAGGCCCTGTCCATGAGGGGCTGTTGCTGATTGTTACCGGCTCAAACCTGACTCAGCCGTCGTATCGGTGGCGGCAAATACAGCATGCAGATAGTACTTGAGATGCTATGCGAATACGCTCAATCGCGCTGCATCTGCGTAACCCAGCCGGCCATCGATGCGCTTTCTTGGTGAGGACATATCGCATTAGCATTAGGTTGGGGATCGGAGAGAATCGTTATCGATAGAGTCCTATTTGTGTGCTCATGAACGTCGGTAGAGTCCTATTTCTGTGCTCATGAACCTGTGGTGCACTGCACGTTCTCCGTGAGGTCATTGGCCAGGGCGGCATCAAGACAGGCAAGCCGCGTGTGTCCCAAAGCGTTCACGTTGGATCGGGAAGATGCCATAGTAGGGTTTCGGTCCAACGAAGGGTGGGCTGAAATGCTCCCCAATGCCGGCGTGAACAAGGGATTGACCGACTCTCCTGACTTGGAACACGAACGTAGATCATGGCTTGACTGTTCCCAGGGATCGCCGAGGAGAAGCATGTACGTTTTTCCAAGGTCAGTACGCGCCTGGTTATCTCAGAAAAGTAGCAAATATCAGCAAGCGCATCATGGGTGTCTTTACGTACATATCAACGAGCAGAGAGAATAGTAGATAAGCCAGATGCTGGATACACTGTACTCACTGAGATACTGAAGATGACGATAGTGTTGAAAGAGAGAAGAGTAACAGCCCGTCCCCGGTAACCTCAACATATGTTGAACGCTGAAGTAACAGTCACTGGTTTCGTTACCTATCGTGTTCACAAGATAACATAGTGTGCCGATTTATGGGTTCTGTATTGTTTTAGGTGAAGGGAGCCAAAGCTGCTGCTGCTGTTCTCAATAAGAAGGGCCCGCAGGTAGATGTGCTCTTTCAACGCATCGTTGACTGTGGAGTCGGGTTGGCAGTTCCCCCGGCCGCTGTCACCACCGTTCACATCAAACCGAGATGCGCCTGTTCCGGAGATTCAGGTCCAGTTCGGCTTTCCAAGCCAAACATCAACTATTATTCCGTAAAGCCGACCAACCCGGCCTCTGCGTCCAACCTTCTTGTGACCTGCCAGATGCCATCCTCCAAAGTATAATGCGTTTCGTCTGTCCGCACGCTCAAGATGACACATACGAGACGTGCGAGACTAGCGCTGCTTTAGGCGCTTGCGCGTTATGCGATCTGAGGGATCTGGCCCACTGCGCCCGTGTCTGCAAGAGATGGCATAATCTGGCAACGGGCATACTGTAAGTGACTCTACAAATCTTTGCGAAAGCTAGGGGAGGCGCTGGATCAGAATCTGACTGACACATTTGGGCGTTGCTCGCTCGCTGCAGCTACCAGAGCATTCGCATCGATGCCGTTCATTATTGTCCGCTTGAGGCTCATCTTTCGGGGCAGCGCAAGCACAGGGGCTTCTTGAGAAGCAACGCCGACCCGGATGATGGCCTCACGGCTCGCCTCGGACTACTTCGCCGAACGCTGTGCAACAACGGCCCGCGCCTAAGCACATTAGTCAAATATCTCAAGCTGCCTCATATGCTCCGAGAAGCGGCCGGGCCAGACCTCTTTCGCATCGTCCACATGCTCCCAAATATTCGCTATGTAGACCTCCCGTCGGGGTTATTCGCCGATCAGTCTCGCTATAGCACCCTTCGACTGGCCGTTGAAGCCAGGTGTCGAGACCTCCGAAAGATGACATACCGTGGAGGCGCAGAAAGGGCCTTGACGGGAACGGCCAATGCCAACACGTGGCAAAACTTGGAGGTACTGGAGTTGATCAAGATAGAGATGGCCACCTGCGTTCTGCGACATGCACTAGGGATGTTGGGGAACCTTCGCGCGCTGAAGATTGAAGGAGTGAGGTCTTTCTCAGATGACTGTCTCGGCCATATCGACGGGTCACCTCCGTTCCCGTGCTTAGAAGAGTTGGTTCTGCGGAGCACCCCGGCCGTCACCGGACGCGGCCTGCTTGAGTACCTGTGCCGATCCGACACCCGAAACACGATTACCGTTTTGGCTCTGCTTGGCACGGGCGTGACCACTGACTCTCTGGCGGATGCACTCTCGGCAGCTTCAAACCTACGGACACTCGCCGTCAAAGCTACAGTCTCCAGGCCATTGAATGACGGAGCGATCGCCCAACGACTCGCGTCAACCTCTTTGCGAAAGCTCCGTTTCGAGCTCACCATCGCCGACTCGAGAGGGTTCGGGTCTTGGACAATAGCCAGTCACTACAGATATCTAGCAGAGTCTCTCATGGCTAACGACTTGCCTCATCTGACGTCAGTCTATGTCCTCGGCGAGCACTTACTCCATCAACTAGGCTTGCCGTATCCACGACTGGCATCCTCATCGACATGCCATGCGAGTCATCTTGATCCGGCGAATACCGATGAGACGGTAAGACGTCGGGTCAAATCCTTCCCAAGGGATGTGGCTTCCCGCGATCTACCTTCTTCACCATCCGTTGCACTCAGACAGCAACTGGCACTTTACACAAGGACAGCAGATGTAGTAGACTGGCCGTCGGCTGGCATGCAATCTCCCGTGCGAGGATGCGACCAGCTGGTAAGCCATTACGGTCTGAATGCCGACATTGCGGGCTGCGGATGGGGGCATCACCAGGCAGTACGTCGCTGGGTACTTGCTAGAGATCAACAAAGCGTTATCAAGTGCCTCAGCAACTTGGCAAGTTTTAGTCACACCGGCGGCCCCGGAACGAACGACTGGCCCAAAACCCAAGAAAAGAGGGCAGATCTTTGGCGATGAGCTTGCTGCCGCGCTGACGACACGCGGACACGTTTCCGCCTGGGCGAATCGGTTGTCAGCTACTGATAACCAGTGACTTGTGTAGATAGACACGAACAAATGAGATTCGGTACCGTTGAGACGACGTGACTATCGGGAGGGCTGTGCAATGCACAGATCGTACTTGCGCAGCACAGCAACGCCGTCATGTGTTGGTTGGAGAGGTTTTCATGGATTCGTTAGGAGTCAGCATCATCCTAACTACCGCGGGCTAACCATCCGTCTTGCCAGCAGCTATTGCGACCCGTCCAGGGGAGTCTCCTCTACACCGCCACACTAAAGGCACGAGGAGACATGACGCCGGTAGACGCCAGGACCAACATATGAAATTGATCACACATATGGGCTTCCTACTTTGACGGGGACTCATCGAACAGGGCATGTTGAAGCGGATCTTGATATGAGCAGCATTGATCGGCAGGTCGGCCCCGCCGGAGCGGTCGGGCGCGAATCCAAGGGGGAAACTTCCGAGCCTGGTCCAGAATAAACGCTGATGTACGTCGCTTAGGTACCGCCTAACACAGACGCGTCTACACGCGATCAACTTACTGACGATTTGAGTGCAACTTTCCCACAGCATCGCGCTGCTGCTTGATGTCGACTTTGTTGTTGTTTGCTTGTTCCTCCCGCTATATCAAACGTGCCACCATCCACCTCAAGTCATAGTTCGAGGAAGAGCCTCTGTCGGACTTGCTCAGCCAGGTACGAAACCTACAAAACGCACGAGACTCTTCTGAATCCTTCATGGTTCTTTCTCTGTGTGCCCCAAACCCCGTTTTCGTGCGCCCTCGTTAACACCCAGAATCTTCAGCAGACTTTTGCTATGACGCCATCGATGAAATTGTTGCTCACACCCTCGATGCCGGTACCACGCTTGTGACCCTTACTGTCCTCGCCGAAAGCTTCCGCTCAGATGTAGCTGAATGGGATATCCAGGAGCATCGACCGACTTTGCTATACAACTACTGGACCAGCTTTCGGGGCAAGACGCGTCAAGATGTCCTAGGAATTGGAGAACTTTATCACCCTTTCCGGCTGCTCCAACACCGTCATGTTGGAGGCCAATGGCAAGTGCTCGTGCAATGGCTTGGATATACCGACGAGGGAGAGGACGTCTCGTGGGAGCCAGCCGCGAAGATTCGCGCCGATGCGCCTGATGTGTTGATGGACTACTGCCGCTATGTAAAGGATGATGGAGAAAATGCAGCGTTGCTCGGACCCATCGCACGAATGGAGGCAAACAGCGAGGTCAAGAATCAAGCCGCAGCGCTTGCGACCGCAAGACGTCCAGCGAAGAGGAGGAGGGACAGTGTGATCGAGCAGGCCATGCCCCCAATTAATCGATGCCGACGCTGTAAGTCCGTTGAATCGCAATCGCCTCCGTGCCTCACTAGTTATGAGCGTAGCATCCAGACATGGTTCGACACCAGCCACACAACGTCCCTTGCCCGGATTGTCGACATCTAAGTGTAAACAATCGCAAGTCCCCCAAGACAATCATCAGTCACAGCTAAGCCCTAAATTGGCCGTCTCAACCACGAGGCGGTCGAGTTTCCCGACGCATGATACCGAAAGTGCCTGCCACATCTATTGACGCCCCAAATCTTAGACCTGCAGTTGTTCGCCGCACAATGATGTGGTTCATGGACGCTTTCACTGTTACCGACCTGCAAAAGGTTTGTCGCTTCGTTGATGAACACTGCACAGGCAAACTACGTTTACCATTGCACAGCAGCGGCGACTGGGACGGAAATGCTACCAGAAGTAGATGGGAATATGTTTTTATGGTAAGTCCGCTTGGATGGTCGGGCAAATAGGTATGACGATCAAGATCGAAAATAGAGTAATTACAATCAAAGTCTGGCAACTTCGCAAACGTGAATAGTATCTCGTCGTAATCCAGCGAGTGAACAGGCAATCATTTTGTTTCTGAGGAAGCACCAGCGTATTAAAGCTTGTGAAAGCCCCGTCGGTCAACTTCAAATGCAACATGTATACAGCCCCTACTGACACAAACAACTTGGCAAAACATGCACCAACCTTTCCATGACTGACGAGTCCTTATAACTTCCTGTTTTCGGTAACCAGCACGTGAGCAGGTTAATTGGAGGCCAACCAGGCTTTTTTCCTGTGTGAAGGGACTTGTGAGGCACCAGCACACTATCGGCCATCCTCGCCTGCAGGGCGTTCAATATTTCTTCGCAGGGGCTCGTGGCATGATCAAAAGTCCTTGGCCGATGGCTGATTTGGGCATGGTGGCATTAACCATAGCATACGGGTGAGGGTTAAATCGTGGGTTTATTCGGCTACCCACTTTCGAAGATCTGAGAAATTCTGCTCAACGGAGGAATTCAAGTCAACAACTCAACCGAGTGCTATGGCAAAGCTCTTGCTGATTTGCTTGCTTATGACCATAAGCTTGGAACCGGGAAGTACCAAAGTTGATGTGGCTCACGTGGGCATGAAGCTAACGTGAGAAGCATCGTGCAGCCTCAATGGGGCTGCGGGGGCGCGCTCTTCGTTTATTAGGTAGTCTTTGACAAAGTAATGATGAGGTATCCCGAGTTCCTAACCAATGGTCATCTGCAATGATAAGTAGAGATGACAACAGCGATAGCACTTTCCTGGTGTGCCAATATATGTGTGGAACCTTGCAAACACAATTCTCGAAGCATAATTCTGATGATCATGTGCACGGAACATAAGGAAACGCAGATCGATGAAAGGATCGGTGGTGGTGCATGGTCCAGGCTCGGGATCCACTCGAAAAAATAGCGATGTGTTCCCTCAAACGCGAGCGGGATGCGGACACGCTTTTCTGATAATTAATTTAATCTGTAAATCGAGCTTTCTAAGCCTTTGGTTGGGTCTTAAATGCAGTGAAAGCCGGTAGCCTGATCGTCGCGGGTGCCAACATTGCCCAGACACCCGGAAAGCTCAGACCAAGCCAGATAGATCGGCCCATGTTCAATGAGGCGGGTCCCTTCTGTACTTCGCTTGTCTGCGGCTTCAAGCAAATTGTCGACGATTGTCTCTTGTGGGAAACAAACAAGGGGATCGGGGAACTCTGAAGTGCACAAAGTGAAATGTGCGGAGATGGTGGTCAATCCATGTGAATGAGCGCATTGCTATCAATGCAAATACTGATCCGCTGGCGCAAGTAGCATGTGCCCCCAGGAGGATTGGATAGGGTAGATGGTACGGCCGCGCGAAATAGCATATCGACATCTGTCGACTCTGCCCTCGCAAGATGCTTTTGGCGACCGATGGCAGCGCGTCAGGGAAGTAGTGCTGCATTCGGCGGCGCCGCTCGCCACTATTGGACGTAGCCATAGAGGTCCTGAGTTTTCAGCGTAGACGGAAAGTCTTCCGGAGATGGCATAATGGCTTGTTATCTTGCTGCTTATTCCGACAGCTGGCGAGGAATCTTCCTGTTCGCTGCGCATGCCATAAAGCTTACAAAAACAAGAGTTGGCTTTCCAACGCGTATATTATCGCCGCCAGCTATGATAGATCGACGACACGTCCATCTTGACTCTGCACTACGTACACCCCATCTGCTGCGGTGGGCTTTGAGTGGCTAGTCCCTCTTCCTCACCTATGTTAGTATCATGTTAGTATATTCACTATTCTGCCACTGTTATGGAAAGACTGGTTATGACAGCCATCGAACTCGTTTCCTCCCGAAGTAACCGCTTTCTGCTTCACGTCTCGAAAACGGCCTTCTTGTTGCTGACGCGCCACCTTAACTGCGATCGTTATTATTTTGAAACTATTTGGGTCATAAAAACGCCTAGATCTACAGGCGCTAGGGGAAAAGGGAGCAATAAAGAAAACATGTGAAGGCCACCATGTGACCACCAGATTTGAACTGACTTGTTGTCCTTTGCTCATATACCAGATTCCCGAACCACGACTTCTACATTGTTATTCACTCTTGTTTCCATTGCAGCCCGACTCAACATCCGACCTGCAACCATGCGGAAGGTGCTCAAGCGAGATGCTACTGAGCTTGGGAGCCCCGACGAGGTGCCCATCGCGAAAAGGCAGAGGTTATCTCTCTCCAGAACGCATGAGCTAAATGACGAGTACTCTCAAGATATCCTCAAATATATGAAGCACATAGAGGCATGTACTTCAAAGGTTCAGATAACCTGACACTCAGGTCGGTTCCGCTAAACTGACAAACGCCAAGGCCCAGACGATGCCCGACATGAGCCGCTTCCCGGCTGGGATAAAAGAAATGAGACCGGACATCGTCCGATATCTCCAAGTGGCTCATGCTATGCTTGGCCTCCTTCCAGAAACGCTGTTTTTATCGGTCAACATTGTCGACAGGTTCTGCTGTGAACAAAGCTTCTGTGGGAAGGCATACTACAAGTTGATCAGCTGTACTGCATTATGGATTGCATCCAAGTACATTGAAGAAAAAGGGCGGGTACCATCTCTTCCACGGCTTATGTGGTTCATTTCCGAAGGGTGTTATCGAGAAAAGAGACTCTTCTTTCGGTTAGAAATGGACATTCTTACTGAACTGAAGTGGCGCGTAAACCACCCAACCCCATATTTCTTCATTCAGCTTCTTGAGATGGACGACGATAACGAAGCTGCAGTGAGGGAGTTGGCAGTGGATATTTGCAAAGCCAACTTGGCTAATAACGAACTGATAGGCGCTAGGTTATCTGTTCTGGCTCGTCAATGTTTGCTATTTGCCGGCGATGGCTCGCTCGGCGTCAATAGCCAATTTGGCCACTGATTTGGTCGGCTGACTCTCTAGAACGGCAGCAGTCAGTCTCTGGATGGATAAAGCTCAGTCTGAGTTAATAGCCGCTTATCAGCTTTAATGATGAACTAGTCGTATTCTAGAGGCAACGAGAATATCAATCGTGTCATGATGTTGCTCAAGAAAACACGTCTTGTGTCATTTTGCTGAACCATATGTAACATGGTCATTTGCTCCAAGCTCTTCAAACGTTAGCTTTGGGCATCTCCTATAAGAAATAAGACATTGCTTCGATGAAAGTCTCGATTTATTTCACAACACTCCACGTGCCGTGATGAAACAGAGACAGCTAAAAAGAATGACAGTCCCGGTGATGGATGTGAGAAGGTTGCCATTCCAATTATGTCATTTCCGATTCCCCGTTTCGCAAACAGCTCAGCCATCAAAACATCTTTGAAATAAATGGCCTATCATAAAAGGGCAAATACGGAACGAAAAGTTTTGAGTATTCCATAGCCCTATTCAGTATGAGGACAACCTCTCACAGACGGGGCATAGGAGGAGGAGTTCGTCGATGAAAAGCACCGCTCACGACTTCTTCTACTACGGTCACGTGATAGCCATGTTCAGAGGACTTGTTGGGATTCGTCAACACTGAACTCCTGACAAACGATAGTCTGGTCGGCCACATGGACTGATTTGGCCGGTGTATTTGAAGTCCCACACTACGTTGCCGACTCATGGTCAGCGACTGCTGTGGTTGCGAGCCAATGCATTGATCGAGCCGCGACGATCACGGACAGACTTGGGTCACTTGTCACTGTCAAACGCCAGGTTGCTAACTGGAGTTTGAGACGTATCAATACTATCTATCATCTTAATCTTATCGTGTTATGTCATTGCCTTTTGCCTTGAAGGCCTAAACGGTTTGCTTCGACTGTCCCATGAACAATGAGCGCGTGCTCCGTCCTCGTAAGTTGAGACCTACTCATTCAGCCAACGGCTGACACACTCGAGAAGTCATCTTTGGGAGGCTACAGTGCAGCCTGGACTCTTAACAGCTGAATGTTAGATGAACTTCAATCAGATTAGGGGGAAGAGAAACCACCACCTTAGCCACGATAAAGGACTCGCATTGCAAGAGTATCGATGAATGTACGACAGCCTGGCCCTCCGAGCTTTCGATCATGTGTCCAAAAGTCTAATAAGACTACTTGTAGACAGGAGACGTCTCCATCACAGGTCAGAATATCGGCTGGTCTGGGCATCAGTAGTCAGTTAACCATAACGCCCCGCCACTGTTCGCCATCGTTTATTAATGAGGTGAGATGGATCAATCAGATTAATCATCAAACGTTATCTCACGTTGGCACCGACCAGCGAGCTACGCTAACAAACCACACTTAGGCCTCCGCAAATTGACGTCTTAAATTATTCTTGAAGGAGCCTAGTCGGCCTAGACCCAAGAGAAATGTCGACAACGTACAATACTGTTGTTTGCCTGATTCAAGATGAAGTACTTGAAAAGAAGTACAGCGCAGAACGTGTGCTGGTCTCTCTACTGAGGAGGCTGAGTGGCGCCAGCTTGGACATATTGGAAGTCAGACTGAATGAATTTGCTGTATCATCAGTTACTATCTTATCATTGCTTTGATTATCAATCCAGGTGCTCTCCTACTGTGCTCGAGATGACTCCTGCCTCATTCTAGACCACTCTAAACTTGTACTGTCGCCGTTTACCGTGAACAAAGCTTCCATTAGTGCGTTTGTTTGATTGTATTCAGCAGGTCATGCTCCTGGAGTGTTGCCTGTCTAAACGTTCCTACGTGTGATCTGAAACACGGCTATGATGTAAATCTTGTCTCTGAAACAGAATGGCGATGGTTTCGGACTGTCGTGCCGCCGAGCCACCTCCTGGTGCCTTTGCTATTCTACACGAAGCTCAAGTAGTATATAAATCGACTGTCTGCTTCCGTTGAACAACCATCGGAAGTTCCTACCAGCTCGCGGCCAATATGACCTGTGTTTCGCCAGAGATGAGAAAGAAAAGGAATCGAGATGCTCAGGCCAAGCACCGCAAGAAGAAACAGGAGGAAGCTGAACGCCTCAAATCAGAAGTGGAACATCTCCGCAGAAAGCTGCAGGAAGTCCGTGACGCTATGGCAAGCAACGACATGCAGCGATTGAAGTATATTGTGCTAGATGAGACGCGGCCTTCGACGCCTCAGCCCGATGCGTCAGGCACAGTCGAGTTAGGCACGCCAATCACTGACGGAGGGTACGCCGAGTCGGCCGATCCTTTCGCGATATCATCTATCATTCCCTACTCGGTCTACAGCACACTCGACTGTACGCTCCCCCTACCAGAGTACAACCCTTACCCCGCTACTGCATTTCAAACATCATTTACAGAAGGCTACAACCAAATGCTGCCATGGAATTTGGTTCCCTCGGTTCCGGCATTGCCCAGCATTGGGATGCCAGGATTGCTCGACATGTCATCATGGCTCGATCCGCAGCTGCTAATCTCATGATCACTATACATATACCCTCGAGGGGTAGAATACTTCTCATCTGCATAACAGAACTTTCCATACAATGAAACATCTCGTTGCTTCTGCATGTTGAAGAAAGGCCCTTGCATGTCCTTAGGGAGATTCCGTCTTGTAGCCACTATTGTGTACCAATACCGCTGTGCAAGGCTGAACGCGGGTCAAAAATAAGAAGACTCAAATCATCTACATTCGATGTCGATTTCTGCTCTAAGTGATGAGAAAGTATCCACCTTACAGATTGACTGCATGCTGAGAAAGAAACAGCCCGCAACCACGGAGTACTCCTACTGTTCAGGATTTAAGATGCAATTTGACAAGTGGACTTTGTACGTCCGATAACCTTCGACTGACCGCCTATGCATATTTGAGTCCAAGTACAGGTGTTTCTTCAACTGAATGAATGGACAAAGTCATGCTTGGAGAGGCTGATAAGCAACTGTCACCCCCCGAATTAGGTCAGATGGATTTAGGGCCTATTCAGCGTATTTTTACAACCAATCACACGTAGGCTCATGATTTCTTGAAGGGGTTTCGGTTTAACGTCACATAAAGTACAAGATCAGATGCTTACATCATTTAAGTTCCACCATTGAAGGTTCTCTTTGCTTGTCTTCTGCCACGTACGGGGTGGTCGCGGACGAAGAATGCTAGACGCAGGTCCTTACCAAGGAGGAGACAACGAATAAGACTCCCGCTCAATAAGATGTTGCCGCATCTTGGACTTCTTGATGTCGGGAGGGGAAAGAGACGTGCTTAGAAGCAATCCTTCCTTATCGATGCTCAACAAAGATGCAGACCCATAAGTTGTGTAAGTATATCTGGTTGAAAAGACCCTACTATGAACTATCTCGGAAGCCGTAGCCATGGGAACTTGTGTTGAAGGTAATTGGAGGTCATTATATGTGGTAACATGATCACTACTTCACATGTTGACTCTTGCTGAGGAACAACAGCAGATTATCTTTTAGGCGGGCCAATGCAATAAGACAAACATGATGAACAAAATCTTACAAACTCTGTGTCAAAGTTTGCCGAAACGCACCTTTCGTTATATAACTTGAAACGATGTTACCACGTTGTGGCGGGATAGAATGACGAGATATGTAACGATCATTGTGCTTATGACTCATGCACCGTCGATTCTCTTCGCCAGTCACACATGGGCGATGCTATGCTTTGCCAGCAATAATGAAAGAGCGCCCTAAGTGAAAGAGATGTTATTAAACTTCATTATCAGTATCCGGTTAAAGCATTCTTTGCTCACAGGGCTAGAGAATCCATCGAGGTGATGTTCGCGACTTGCAATATAAATTTACCCGCGTGCAAGATAACTGGTCATGGGAAATTCTAATTCTGGCAGTGCTGGTAAATATCCTACATCATCTTTTGGCTGTCGAATTGTGGCATTAGACTCCGATTCTTACTAACCACCTCCTGACCAACATTTATAATTATGTATAATCACGAAACCTTTGAAGATATCCTCAACGACGAGCTTGTATCGAAGCAGCTGCTGCAAGAGTCACTGCAGGCTGCCGAAGAGAAACTGACTTTTTGGAAGACATTATGCCTGTCTAGTATAACATTGAACATGGAGCTCATTAGACTATTGCAGCGGATCTGAATTACCAAATATTATAGTACCTAGCCTAATGTACTGCACAATATTGCTACTTATTCTTGATAGGAAAAAGGCATTGAGGTTAGGATGTCAGCGTTCCTGTCTAACTAGAAACGATTATTCGCTTTAGCATTGGACGTGAAAAGCATAGGACGTGGGACTGGAGAAAGCATGCCTAGCCGGCTTCAAAGACAAGATAACGCTTGGATCACGCGCGAAGCAATAGCTGAATAACAGGTTTCTTCATGTGGGTTGATCGGACGGTCTAGCAGAGGCCACTGCCGGCTACTGAGCTCATTGATCACTTTGAAGACAAGGCGTGGCGCTCAATCAACCCTCCTTGACTTTGATTTGAACCTGCAACAAATTCATTAAGTATTTTGGTACTGTGACATCTTTGCTAAGCTACGTAGGTACTGGGTCAAGGTTATCAGGAGGTGCAGTGTCTCGCATCTGCAGTGGCTGTACATGGGCTCGCTGGCGAAAAAAGGTAATGACGAACTCTTTCATATCGCAGAATGAGGCGAAGGAGGCGAAAACCGATAGTAGTCGTCGGAGTGGTTCAGAAAACGATGCTGATTGAAATAAGTCATTGCGGTTTTCCGGCTTTGCCAACACCAATACTAAGGCGAAGATTGTCACCAGTTGCATGGTGGGCAGAACAAGATGTACAACACCATCGATAATGTAAAGACTTGCAGTAATGATCAAGAGTGCTCGCACAGGGTGAAGGGGAGATCTTTGTTCCATTGCAACAATTACTGGATATTATTGCAGTTGTTGTAGACGACACTCAGGTGTTTAAGTATATTGTTGCTCACCATCCCTCATGTATTGGCTCGTGTCTATTTACGTGATTTGAGCTGAACTGCTTAGTCAATCGTAATCTCGTAAATTCCTCTCAATTCATGCCTTCTGTCATCAGACTAAGCCTATGACGCGCTTCACGATATCCGCGACGGTTGTTCATGAACCATTAAGTGATGCGATAACCTACTCGTGACGCCTATATTAGTGGCCTTTCTACAATGACTACAGAACCAAATTCCAGCAACCATTACTTGTCTACCAAAGCAGCCGAGAACATGTCGTTACAGCACAGCTGTGCCGTATGCCACAGGGCGCGGTCTGAATCTTATCACAGGAAACATCCAATTCACCCTGGCTCAGAACCTCTCAGTGGCATATGCAGGCGATGCCGCTCACGGAGGAAAGAGCAGGTTGTTGTCATACATCACTATCATAACCATGATCACATTCATCACTACTATCACTACCTGGAACAGCCGACGGACCAGCAAGGGAGGAAACATGGTGTTGAGAATCCCCCATCGACAGCGTTTGAGTTGCCTGGCTCGTCAGCTGCTCCATTCCGCGCGCCATCAGAGGTGCTGGCTGACGAACCACCGCCGGTAGTCGACATGAGAACAAAGCCGCGTATGCCGTTGAGCAACTTTCGCTGACGACAATGGGTATTGAAAGCCCGAAAAATCAATACAATATCCAGGGCCGTGTTTTAATCCTCCATGTTGCCATGAGACTTATAGGCTCTCCTAGGAAGAGAAGAAGAGATGAAATAGCACTGTAGCACTGCCAAGCCCCATTTCCCAAGGCGCTAAAACTTGTACAGTTATTCATTGTAGTCCTTATCTTAAGAAAAACCTTTATCAAACTATAATCTAGGAAACGTTCTAGTTCTATCTGACTACTCTAAGAGTAAGGCCGCTCCGCTTCTTGCTTTATGCAACCGCTTCTATCCCTTACAGCATCACAGCTGACATTATAGATAAGTAGGCTATGACATGATAGATTCGTCTGGGGCTATAACTGCTGTCACTCATACGAACTGAATTCCTCAACAGTGCTAGGATGGGCGTTTGATTAGTTTGAGGCATTTAGGTCACGCAAAGTCGCTGCAAGACTTTATTCGAAGTTTCATGGTCGACGACATCGATACAAATTACCAGACGCCGACTTCGACTCTGTCGCCCAGTATACAAAGGAAGAGACCTATGACCTTCGAAACAATGCCCCTTGAGACGCAGAACCATGCTACGACAAGTGCAAGTAACTCTATGCGAAATACAAGAATGCGGTGTTGCCGTCACATGTCTCTAATAGATTTGATGCTGAGCAGTATAATCGTACTTGTGATGAGATAAACCACCAACTACATAGAATGCGGACAGATATGCCGCTAGCGCTTGCACGGAAAGCCTTGGTCACCTTGCCAAGCTTGGCATAAGTGTGACGGTGTAAACATAGAAGAGAGTCTGTGGTGATTACGACTGAGGCGGCAGGTGCAATCAGAAACCCGCGATGGCAGCATTGCTATCGGAATGGTGCAGTGCCTGGATACCAGCTTATGGCGGTGTTCTTCCTGCTTATGAACGCAAGAAACACAGTTTCCTCCACGAGATTGCATAAGCTTATCCGCCCTGTGTCAACTGCCTCGATTGCCTTGAGTACGCATACTTCTTGGTTATTCTGTTTGACCTTGCATGGTTCTGACACATCTTACGGTTCCTTTGTCGACGACGAGCTGATTTTCTCGCACACAGGATATTTTGGTCCTGTTTCTGATGTTGCCGTATGGTAACCCAGTAGTCCTCAACGAGCTTGGGACCAGCCTTCCTAATGACTCTCTCGTATTGCCAAGACCGCTCAGGTGACCCCACCCAGTAAACCAATAGCTGACTACCCCTGTGAGTCTTTCTATGACCCTCGATCCTGAACGGATGCCAAAGGTCTTTGTGGGCCATTGCGCCCAAACGCCCATCCGCGACACTGTCCCAGTAGGCGAAAAGGGCCAGTTCTGAATTCTTTTGAATGATGCTCTCAGGGACCCAAGCTTGTCGTCCGTCTTTCCCTTCGATTCGCAGCTGGAAAAGTGTCTCGACATCAGCGTCACGGCGATGACCGGTGATAGAGTAGTTGTTTGGCAGGGGTCGCTCGATCTCGCCCGCTATGTCTGGCATCATGCTTGCGACCGGTGCGCGAACAGGCGCGGGAAATGCATCTGCTGGGTTGCCTACGGCCGGGCGGATATTGCTAATTCTACCGGCAGTGTCAGCTCAATGTCGTACGAAGGTCTGAGGGACACTTACGGAGGCTGACAGTGTAATGATGTGAACTTGATAAAGTCAATCAATAGATCCATTGCGAACATTGGGTTAGAGCACTGAAGCGATTTTGAGATGCGACGAAACTCCGTACTGACTGGTCAATGGCTAGGTGACTGGCCCATCTGGAGGCAATTTATGAAGCAAAGTCACTGGGGCTAATTTTACTCAGGCGGCCGTTCGTCGACCGTCTAGCAGCGAGGCGTTGTGGCCCCTGGCATCTTCAACTTACTTGCTGCAGCCATGTTACCTACTTTGTTGATAGGTTATCTTACCCTGGCACGTTTTGTTATGTTGTACTCCGTTTATCCCCAATTTAGTTGGAGAAGAAGGCTGATGGTATCATCTTTCTCGAATCGGATACCGCGAACGTAATGCTCTGCGAAGATGATTCGGCAAATAGATGATTGAATTTCGTCAAGCCAACCGTTCGGTCGGTCTGTCGTCCTCATTATGGATTTTCGAGGTACCAGGGATGCGCGACAACCGATGGGACCGCTAAGCGAATGACCTTGTGATAAGCGTTCGGCGACTCCACTCGGATCCTGACGAGCAGCAAGTCATCGTCACTGGCACCGTCTGGAAGAGCCTAGACGAGCATGCCACGAAAAGCTGCACGTCCGACAAGATCCTCCGGCCGCAATCTAGTCCGAGCAAATCATGAAGCGTTGCGAAGAGGTCCATCGTACGTGACAGCCTACAAGGCGATCGAACAACCTCGTCGCCCTCACTAGGATGAGTCTTTGCCACACTACAGATGCACTCTGGTCCAGCATTTTCGAAAGCGAGCTGTGCGTTCACGTCTCACACCGCAAGCAACTGTTGCTGATATTCGAAAGTATTGTTGAAAGTTCGCCATGTATGCATATTTCGGCAATGCCGCGCGCAGACAGAAGTCCTTGCGAAATTCCAGATCGAGCCGCAATCAGACCGCCCGACAGTCAATAGGCCGCTCTGCGGTTGTAGCGAGTAGCCCACTAAGAGGGTCGAACTTGTGCCCGCAACGTCAGCGATCAAGGAAACGAATTAGAAGTCAATCAACGCCGGCAAAGAAGGCTCCTCAGAAAACCGTGTTGAAAGGTGTGCATCGAGGAAATGGTCCGTCCATCTGCCGTCGTAGGAGGCCCAAACGGGCACCGCGAATGGGGGAGAAATCTTTGGTCCGGAAGGCCAACACGGTTTCCCGGTTGAGGCTGCTGGCGGCCGCTGCTTCGACGCTGTTACTTTTACTTCCTTGTTAATCAAGCTCGTTGGCTCACCAAACATGGCTCCACAATGGACCCATATTAGATGATCCATACAGGCCAGGGCACTGCGGAGTGACAATCACCAAGAAAGTAGAAGAGCGGCTAAAGCGAATATGCGTTGCGCTCGCAGGTGGTTATGTCGCGTCCAAATGGGGCTGGTGGCTCCTGCACACTGCAGGTGATGATTGGTCGTCCGCCCTTGCACTGCGACGGCCTGGCAAATAAGAAGCTCCAAAGGTTATGGTCGCTTGCTCAGGAGAAGCACAGTCCAGGTCCCTCAATTTGCTCGTTCATCGAAGCGGGGGCAGCTGCAGCGCCTCAAAGTCAGGTGGGCCAATAATATATTAATAACGTTAAACCAACGTCATTCTAGTTTTCACGACATCTCAAGATATAACCAACAGCTGATTTGTAAGGCATGGAAGACCGGTCTGCTGCACCTTTGACCAATAGAGTCTAGCCCATTCATTTTGTCAGTCTTCGCGCTAGCAGCGGCGGTAAAGCTTTCGTTAGCCTGGCGTGTGCAGTAGTCTGCTCAGGATGGCACTCCACACGCAAGCTCGTTGAGCGATGATGGGGACCACGTCTGGCGCATGGACGATGGCTTGAATATGCACAGTATTTTCCTCTCAACTGTGCAACAAGATCAGATGCAATCAGCCTGGCTGAGTATACGGGTTGATTATAGTATATTGGAGGGAATTGTTTGTTTGTTTTATATTTACCGCCATGGCGGCAAGGGCGCAGCCGCCCTTGCGGCAGACCTCCCGAAGGGTATGTGGCGTGGAGGGTCGTAGGCTCTAGCTATATACTCTACAGTACACGCCGTATCCTGACGTCCTCCAAATCTTGCTCGTGAGCTGCTATGTGTTCTATTCGTCCCTAGTTCCCACTGGTGCCCTAGGTCCGTTATAACCATCTGGTTTCCTAATAGAATTAGTTTGTCGTTTGGAGAATAGGTTATGGCCTATCTCCTAGTACCGCGGGCAGATCTTCTGGTAGAAGTCTGTCACGCAGAGGAAGGCCTGAAAGCCTTCAGAGTCAGTGATGAGCCCCTTGAAGTAGCGGTCGAGGGACCCTATAGGTCCCACGGGCTCCTGGCGGCTGTAGGGGTAGAGGATGGGCCACTGTTGCCTCCTCAGTAGGGTCTTTCGGCAGTAGACTAGATGGTCTGCCTCCTTAACCTCTCCACAGGAACAGGTTAGCAGTGCTTCTGTATGGTTGAAGCGTTGGTGATACTGTTCAAAGTCCCCGTGGCCTGACCGCGCCGCGAGGAGGTGATGAAGGGCAGCCCTAGGGAGGCCAAGTTCAGGAGGGCAAGCAAGGGTGGCCTTGAGCCCTAGTTGGGTATAGCGGGGGGTTGCCTCTTGTCTCCACCATTTCCTATGTTGGTGCTGTTTGCGCACTTGGGCAAGCCGTTTGATCCCTGATAGCGTAGCTAGTAGGCCTCTGGGGACTGGAAGTGTTGTACCCTCCTTAGCTAGGCTGTCTGCCTCTTCGTTCCCTTTTATCCCTTGGTGCCCTGGGGACCAGTGGGTTTGTATATTATATATCCTGGCTGCTGCCTGGATTTCTAGGAAGGCAGCTTGTGAGGAGTCTGGGACGTCGCTGCGTATCCCCTGGATAACACTGGTGTTATCAATACAGATGTGTATAGGCTGGCCTTGGGAGGTAAGGAGAGCTCGTTGGAGCCCTGCCCTCGCCCCCTCCGCCTCGCCATCGAACACTTCCGCAAGACTGAGGCGGCCGCAGCCTTGGGCTATGCGTTTATTGTCACGGTAGATAACAAAGCCGAATCCCGTGGCCCTATTAGGGGCTTTAGAGCCGTCTGAGTAGATGATCGTGTGATTACCTGGCACGGTCTTGAGCCAGGCTTGGAACGCTTTTGCTGCCTTCTCCTTGCCTTGTCCAGCTGTAGGGTCCCGTGGTCCTGGGTGGTACTGTGGCTGTAGGAGTATCGGCCTCGGGCACTTAGGTAAGAGAGCTGCTGTTCTTTGCAGCCTTGTTTGCCGCTGCCCTTGCGGGGGGAGCCTTGAGACTAGGGGATGCTGTTGGTCAACCCTCTGTAGGCGTGTAGCGAATCGTAGGCGTACCCCTTCGAGGGCTACTGTTGCTGTAGGCAGGCCAGCGTCTCGAATGAGGCTGCTGGTTGGTGTGGTCCTCCAGACAGGTAGGATAGCCCTTGCTGCCGCTGTTATAACTTTTCCCACTCTCCTGGCTAGGCTCTTCTGCCCCGTACTGACGGTAGCTGCCTGGTTAGTGGCCCTGCTGCTGTTCCAGGCTGATCTATTTAAACCTGCATACCAGGTCTCAGCTCCATATAGGGCTGTTGGGAGGACACAGGCAATAACAGCTTGTCGTGCCGCAGCCGCTGGGAGCCCCCCTTTGGTGTTTGATAGGTGCTGTAGGAACTTGGCCACCTTTTTTGCTGCTGCTGCCTTTGTTTCAACGTGGTGTCGGAAGGTGAGTTTCTTATCAAACCAGACCCCTAGCCATCGTATAGGCTTAGTTGAAGCCTTGATAGTTAGGTCTCCTGCTTGTATGTCTGGTACGTCTTTTGTCTGGTTATGTTTCCTGCTAAAATGGATTGCCTCGCATTTATCTGGGTCGAACGCAACCTTATTATCAGTGCCCCAGTTGAGGATCTGAGTAATCTTCTGGCCAAGCGCTACAGCATTATCTTCTAGAGATGGGCTAGAGGCCAGCAGGGCTATATCATCTGCGTAGCCAAACCGTAGCTTCTGGTCGTCGGCTAGGATATCGGCTATATAAAGCAGAAAGAGTATAGGTGATAGCGGAGAGCCTTGTGGCAGCCCACAGGATAGGGGGAAGTCCTCTGTAGTAGTGTCTTCTAGCCTGACTCGGGCAGTTCGGCTGGAGGTGAAGGTAAAGACCAGCCTAATCAGCCTATCAGGCCAACCCTGCTGTCGTAGCCTGATAATTAGTCGATTTCGTAGAACGGAATCGAACGCCCCCTTGACGTCCATTGTTGCTAGAGTTGCAGTAAGCCCTGAGTCTAGAGCCTTTTCTATCTCATGGGTAAGACAGGTTGTCAGGTCGACTGCAGCCCTTCCTGGCAGTGCCCCAATCTGCTGTGGGCTCGCAACTCCTTCTAAGATGGTGAGGTAAGCCATCCTCTTTGCTATCAGCCGCTCTAGGCCTTTGCCTAAGCAGGATAAGAGTGAGATTGGACGCCAGGATCTAGTCTTTGAGAAGTCTGTTTTCCCCGCCTTCTGGATCATAACAACCTCTGCTTTGCGGAAGGTCCTAGGGAAGTAGCCCGTTTGAACGCAGGCCTGAAAGAGCTGCTGTATAGGTGCAGCTATCAAGCCCCAGGTGCATTGTAGTAGCTTTGTAGTTATCCCATCAATCCCAGGGGTTGTGGCCTTTGTGAGAGTCGCCTGGCGCACTTCCTCTATGCTGACTGCCTGCTGCCAGGGTATTAGACGCCTTGCCACTACAGGAACAGCGAAAGGGTTCCCGGGTAGGTCGTCTGCAGCGTCGAATCTCTCTAGTAAGGCCTTCCGTAGGGCCTGTGCTTTGTCATAGCTGTTATCGACTGCCTGTCCGTCTACTACTAGCGATGGGGCTTTAGTAGCCAAGCTGGACTTGCGCCAGCTTAGTACTCGATAAAGGCCCTGGTTAGACCCAGCCTTCTCAATCCTAGCAGCCCAGTAGGCGCGTTTTGCCTTCCTGACTGTAGTCAGAAAGGCCTTCTGTTCCTCTAGGATAGGCGGTGGTATTACTAACCCAGGCTCTTGGGCTTGTTGGCGCCGGGCTTCAATAGTAGCTTGGTGGGCTTCTGAGCACTCCTCTGTCCACCAGGGTGCTCCCCTACCCTGGTTAGTTCGTCTCTTCCCTACCGCCTGGATAGCTGTAGAGAGGAGGCTGACTAGTTGGGTAGCTTGAGAGTCTAATTCTGCTGGAGTAGGTTTCTCCCTTAAGGTAGGTAGGGCTGAAACTCCTACCTTTACTAAGTCGGCAAGTCGAGGTAGGGCTGTGTCTGGGACTGAGAGATGGCTAATCTGGCGTCTCTGTTCCTGGACTTTGCCTAGAGGAATAATTGTTGTAATGGCCTGGTGGTCTGCCCCTGGGTGTAGGTGTGGGCTGATGTGGGCCTCTGTAAAGGGAATATTTGAAAAGGTTAGATCGAGGGTGTGCCCATGAGTATGAGTTGGAGCCCCAGCTTCCCCAATAAACTCCAGATTGTGGCCTTCGGCCCATTCTGCAATATCGTCTCCCCGGTTCCGACTACGGGCGCCGGGTTCCCAGTAGGGACAGTGAGCATTAAAATCCCCAGCTATAAGGGCTCCTGTTGGCGGTTGATAGCCTAAGAGGGCACTTGTTGTATGGTTGATAGGCTCGCCCGGCGGCCTATAGATGTTTGTAATGGTAAAGTTGCTAACCTTCACCCATAGGATATCTCTTGATTGGGTAAGTCTTTGTTGCTGTATTTGCAGCCTTAGACCCTTGCGTATATAGGTCATAACCCTAGGCCTTGTATCTCTGCAGTTCCAGAAATCAACTGGCACATAAGAGTTATAGCCTGGGTGTGTGTTGATTTGCATCTTATCTCTATAGCCTATCCAGGGTTCCTGGATCAATACTATATCGATCTGATCCTCCCAGCAGAGCTCTAGGAAAGCTGTATGAACTGGGCTTCTCTTCCCCACGTTACACTGGGCGACTCGTAGTACCCGTGGGGAGGCTGGCCTTTGCCTACTGCTCTGAGTCGAGGTCGAGGTGGGTGTAGGCATTAATAACGTTGTAATCAGGCTTCTGCGCCAGCCGCTGAGCCCTGCTGCTTGAGGGCGCTAGGGTAGGTTGGCTAGGTAAGAGGGGTAGGACTGGGTCGTCAGGGGCTTGCAGCCCCTCTGCTTCAGCCCCAATCTCATCTTCATCCATGCTGCTGCAGCTAGCCGCATCACAAACATCCGCTACGATAATTGAGTCCTGAGTAGGGGTAGGGGCGCGTGGGCGCTTTGAGCCGGGCTGATGGCTCGTTACACTGGTGTTAGGTTGCTGGGTGTTGCTGTCTTGGGTGACAGCCTGGCTGCTCTGATAGAGTGCCTCATAGGCCTTCTGCCCAGCCTTACGGATCCGGGAGAGCTCCTTCCGACCTGGGAGGGTTGGGGAACCGTTAACTACTAGGGGCCTTGCTGGACAGTCTTTATGGTTGGCTTGGAAGGGGCCGGCGCAGTTAGCGCACTTGGGTCTAGCTATGCAGGGCCCCGTCTCATGAGAGCTTGAGGGCCGGCCGCAGTTACCACAGAGTAGCTGTCGGTTACAGTACCGGTTCGAATGATATCCCTGGCAGCCAGGGTCATGTCTGATCAAGGTCTTCTTCTTTTGAATAAGCTGGGACCTGCTGCTTTGGTTAAAAAGTCTGAAGGGTAGTACTTCTATAGAGAAAGAGATGATCCAGGAGACTTCGTTTGTAATCGGGTTTGTACCAAGTTGGGATTGTCGGGCCCGGATAGGTTTACATCCCGTCTGTGCAAAGACCTCCTCTTCAACCAGAGTGGCTGGGTCGAGGGCATCCCCTTCGATAGTCCACAGCTTAGCAGGGCAGCGCGGGACGACGTAAGTGAACCACTTAGTAGGGGTCTCAACCTTATAGGCTCGAAGACTGTCTGCCAGCTTCTCTTTGTTCATGAGGAGGACTTGCTGGACCTGCTTATTCAGGGGTCTCAGTGAGTAGCCAGTTGCAATGTGGTAGATATGTGGAATATCTGCTAATTGGAGGCTGAGGGCCTGGCAGACCTTCCGACGAAGGACAAAAGGGGCGTGCTTCCTAGCAGCCGTTAGACCCTCTTCGGGGACGCGGGCAAAGACCCGGAGGTCCTCCTTTGGCTGGGATAGAGCCTGAGTCTGGGACTGGGGCTGGGTTGGGTTTCGGTTGCGGGCCGGGGCCGGGGCCGGGGCCGTGGCTGCAGTTGCAGCCGAGGCCACCACCACGTTAGCCCAGTTCCGGTTCGGGGCCGGAGTCGCCGTTTCGTTCCCCATGATCCTTTTTAAAGCTTGAATTACATAGGTTGTAGCCTCTTTTGCGATTTGCTTCCTAGGCCCCTCAAAGCAAGAGACTACGTTGTCGACAGATTGGGCGATAGCCATAAAGACATCCTTTCGGGCTTCGTAATGCTTGGCCTCTTCAGTAAGGGCTATAAGGACAGCTCCAGTAGCTGTCCCATTCACAGTTGAGAGCCCTTTAGCCGGTAAGGGGGTTATTGCAGAGGCGTCAGGCTGGCTTCCCACGAGGCTGGGCTGGGATGGCTGGGCCTCGTCACCGCGGCGGCGTTTAGCCCTTGAGGTTGGGGACGGCTCCGGAGGGGTTCCGGAGCCTCGATCAGGGCCGGCCGAGGTAGCCGGCGGCGGTCCAGGGCCCGGCGGAGGCTGTGAAGCCATCGCGGTAGGGCGCTGGAGGCGAGAGGTGAAGGGTTTTCAGCTGTTAAGGACTTTAGTGGTAGCCCACGTCTTGTACTAACAGTAGATGCCAAGAAAAATTAGGCGAGAGGGAAGTTTGAGAGTCATTATATTGGAGGGAAGAGGTCAGGGAAGAAGTGACTTTAGAAGCCGCGGCTCTACTAGGCGACCTACGTGGTGCTACGGCTCTCTCTATAGCTATCTTCCGTCGGATTTATCGGTGCCGTCGATGCCAGGCCCTTCTCCAAAACCTCGATATATTGGTGTTGAAGTGCTATCAGGATGTCTTGCCGCTGTCGCTCTCTTTCCAGTGCCTCCATCCTGTCCTGGAGCATTTTGATCTCTTGCTCAACGGCGCCGAGACTGACGTAAAGTCGGTTCATCTGCTGGGCTGGCGAACTTGGAAGGTCACATACGAAATCGGCCATGCCAAGAGTCATTCTTGTGCGGACGGTGCGTCGAGAGAAACGCAGCCCGGCGTCGTCAAGCCGCAGACTACTTATACTTCCCTGATCTTCAACCGCGATAGCGAATGATAGGACGTAACGGAGACAGTCATAACAGCAATCGACCATATAACCCCGGTTCAACGTTGACGATCCCGTGATGACTCAGAATCCTTCTGCCTGAGTCTGAAAGTCGTCAGTGAGATCTGCCTCGCGACCTTTCTGCGCACAGCATTTTCAGTCGGATGGCTGCGTAGCGGTCGTCGCAGCGCTATTTGATGTTATCTTGGGCTTCTCTGTTTCCGTTGGTTTCCGAGCCAGATTGATACCCGGTGTAGGAGGGGTCTGCGTGTCTTGCGCGATTTTCGAACTGTTGGTGGCCCAGGCTCGGAATGGTGACTGTCCTGGCTTAGTCAATTGCGTCTGAATCTGAGTCGTATTTCTAAGGGAGAAAGAGCGAGTGCCAGAGATCGTCGAGTAGTACTCTGGAAGCAAGTTGATATTGTGGGCGCAGTAAGTGTAAGCATAACCGATGCGGTCAACATCTTCTGTTATACCTTTGTTAACCTCATGTAACCTTTCGGCGCTACTGTTAGAAGGTCTGGACACGCTATCAATCGCCCCGGTTCGATCACCCTACTTTAGTGATGCATCATAGGTGTCACAGAGCGCGGCAGTAAGTCTGTCCTAGGCGGCTAACGTCGGGCAAGGAACAGAACGCATTTTGCTGCTGCGAGTATTGCACCCAGTGTTCTATCTATTGAATAGCAGATATAGTAGAAGGACGCTAAGTATCCCGCCTGGCTTGAGTCACTCACGGCGTTGAGTAATCAAGGAATGGTGTGTTACGCATCTCTTAATAGAAACCAAGCTCTCTGTTTAGAGCTTGTGAGCTTTAGCCTGCATAGGAGATCGTGCCGAGATCACGGCGCCATCCTGCACCCCAATTTCAAAATAGTACACATGCAAACCACGTTTCCTTTACTTCAAGACTGAGACAACTAATCGGTGTCTCAAGAAATGATATTTTTGTGTTCGCAGCATATAGAATAACTTTCATTCCTGATCCATAAACTCATAACAATCAATCAACGCATGTTCTCACAATTAACCTGCTATCACTCAGGTGCAATCGTCCCATAACCCCCCATCAGAACTTTCTTTACACTGTAGCGGGTATGTACAATCCTGCCAGCAGCCACGGAAAGATTGAGGTCGGCCTCGAACTATGCCGTTCTTTCCATACTCCACGATGTCCACGCATCTCTTGCTTTTCGCACCCTTTCTGTTAACGCAACAATAGTGACCATCGTATAGGCAGCGATTTGTAACAACAGACAAATATGTCTGAGAGCAGAAATGGCATACCCAGCTCAATGTATGAGGCATAAGTGACATGCCTACTTGCTCAGATGGTTTCTTAAGTAGGTTGAATCCGTCAGACTATGGAATGATCACTACTGTGATTCAAAGCGCCCCGATGTAGGTCATAAGACGTCTTCATCATGACCCCATCTGATGCTATGTATGCTGACGATGACAGATGAAGAGCTTTGTGAAACAGGGTGAACTATTGAATACAGCAGAAATCACTGACTCTGCAAGTGGTAAGTCATTGACAGGTTTGCGTTGATTTGTGAAAAATTACATTTTGGCCACTACGATGACCCAATTGCTTTACGTCACCCCAGTGTCAGAAACTTCCTTTTTGGAGTCCATAGATGATCAATCCGCGAAAAAGCTTGGAAAAAGCACCCGCGGAAACCTTTGCTTGTAGTAAAAGCCAAAGCACTCAAGACCGATTATGACGCATTCGCTCGTATTTATGCACCGTTAGTTTGTCACTGTGACAACAAAACACAACACATAACCCGAAGACCGCCGAGAGGGGGAAAAAGAGTTTCATCGATTGCCATTCCTATGTCAGGGACCTTACAAGAGGTCAGAGGATTAGGTCAATTGAAATGCCATCAGATGACAGCATAAGGCCGAATCAGTTAATTCCAACAGAAAGGACATTGAACGAGACCTCTATAAGGTGAACATAGCTATGGCCGTACAGCCAGCGCCTTTGTAAGGAATAGTAGGAATCTGGATTCTCCTCGATTTAAAGGCGACATGTCCTCTTCTTACGTCAAGTGCCTTGTGTTGATTCACACGACAGACTCCCTGGAGGACCGTTATGATATCATTCGTGCTAATGCCAGCATAGCCCTTGTCCGGCATCGCAAGAACAGCACAGTCGCAGTGTCGCGCTCGACTCGACTAGGCAATCTAAATCTCCTCCACCACATTTCCCATCCTAATATTGCTACAATCCATGCCATATTTCTAAACGAGAAGAAGAGTTACGTCATTTACGAACATCTCGAAGTAGACTTAGCGAGCCTTTTCCTTACGACAGAAGTTCAACTAGCGTCCGCCTTATCCCAGGTAAGCTAGCGTACATATAGAAATTTTGAAGCGATGCTAAGTAGCGAGCAGCTGCTCGATGGTACTCAACATCTAATCGCCAACGGCGTCCCGTTCTCTGCAGACAGCGTCCAAGTCTCCCTGTCAGGAATCGTGAAAATAGGTACGGTCTGTCGTTTCGCGACGTGGGCAGCATTCATCATGCTGACAATGAGTAGTGTTGAACATCGGCTTTCGACCTTGTGACAACTTCGTGGTTGATCAGCACTACTGGGCCACTGTCTGTACTGATAAAGTAAATCTGGAAAGGCGTCCCCTCATGAGCTACCGTGAGCTAGAGGTCTTTTCAGTGCTTAGACGCGGAACGCTGCCGGATCGATCTGTAAGTCATAAGGCAAACTAGCCGTGGCATTTCAAGGAACTGATACAGCCTGTAGCACAGCTTTCTGCATCAATCGCAGGGGCCCCAAGGCTTGTTAGCTGTAGTGACCCAAGCATTGCAAGTAAAACAAGCCGCGGTACTTGCGCCCAAATCACATAGTTGGGTACCCTACAGTCTACATCAGATACTCTTAATCGGGAACGCTGTTCTTTAGTCATGATCCTCTCTAAATCGCATGCAGGATCCTTACTCGCTAATGTTCATATGATTTTCATGCTTATTTGATTCGTAAAAGAGCCCTTGGCTTGGTTGGGAGAAGACGGTATTTGCAGCAATAAGAAAGTCACTGGAGAGAGATCCTATAAAGAGCGTAAAGGTGGATATGAATAGAGACAAAAGACATTCAAACCATTCATATAACCGAGTTCGTGATATGATCTTTCGTGAATGAATTTAAGTTTGGCTACCCTCCGTTTACTAGTTATCTGATGATTGAAACGCCAATAGATGGAAAATAAATTGCTTAAATACATCGATAATCTCGCAACCGTAGCGCCAATAGTCAAGTAGGACCCCTTGCGTACTTGTGTAGGAGCAAAGGCGCACAAAAGCACGGATCTAGAGAACCAGGCCTGAGCAGTTGACAGGCAACTGCCGTGCATGAGAACTCAACAATCTGCGCAGAGGATCTACAGACGTGACATTCAGTTCGGCAATCTTTGCACAATCGTAGCTGAAGCCAGATACGTTGGACTATTCGCCTGCCCATTACGATTTCACTCGTGACGGTTTGGAAAAGAAAAAGAAGCATGCCTGCCGACCATGCCGCCGATCATACCTGGCGAAATTTCTCCACATCCTGTTGATAGAGAATGGGACAACTCATCAGATTTATACTCGTCAGTGATCGAGTACTCCGCCGTAAGCCACGACGTAGTTAAGATGATCAATTTTCAGTTGTTTCATCAGACCCGTCCTTAGGTGAAGCCACTGTAAGTAAAGTGTCTGATAGATTGACCTTCATGCTGTCTAACGAGTCTTCGTTGTCGCTCTTTCTGAAGTCTGCCAAACTTCTAGAATTTCCTTCCTTGAAATTGCTGGCGCCCGGCTTTGGGCCTTCGGCTTTGGGTCTTGCTCCCACATCTCGATATTGTTCTCATCGAAGGGGCCTGCGACTTCTTTGCCAAGAGCTTTGCCTAGTCGCTCTTTGAGTCCTAGTATTGGCCAGATCGGTACCTCGGTGTGCTCGATTTGCGTGTTTGTGCTGCCTTTCAGTGTTCCAGCTAATGTCTCTTCTTCTTTTGCTCGATAGTCCTTGGTCGGATCATGGAACCTTTGCAAAAGCTCTTTCCTGACTTTTCCCTTGTACAAGATGAAGCAAGGAGCAGAAGCTCTTTGTCATTGACAGCCAGAATGCACACCGTTGTATCTTGAAATATAGGCTCTCCGAGAGATGACGATTCGGATGAAGACATCGACGGCTTGTCAGCTGATGGAGGGACCGCCCTGTAGAAGTGCCTTTGTGCTAACGCCAGAATGACGGCGGCAAGGAACGGATCTTCCACCATATTCGGAGGGGTGATCTTTCTGTACAATTACTTCTTAAGCCTCCGGACTGGCGGGTTATCCCGGGGCGGCTTGTATCTAGCACGCCGTGTTACGGCGATTGTCTTGAGATCGACGTAGACAAGTACAGGCTGTTCTTTTACATTACGTCCATCAATGGTATCCACTATTGGACCCTCGACAGATTCTTTGGCTCGCATGGACATCGATTCGTTAGCAGTTGTGTAGCTGGAGCGCGCTGGCGTGACATCCCAGGCTGCCTGTACGGGGCAACCAATGCGATATGCTCGACCGCCGAAGTATTGATGAAGCTCAGAAGTACGTAGAAATGACATATGCTGAGGATACAGCATCGAAATGACAGTGAGAATTGAGCGTGTCCGGCATTCTGTTGATTTGGTCTCCAAAAGGGTGTTGAGGGCACCAAGCAGAGCCTGTGCCGAAGCAGATAGATCTATCGTAGCTTTCGATGAGTCGACCGTCGGTACAGGCTGGCTAAGTGCAGGAAGATTGTGGAACTCCATGTCGAGAAGTGTAAGGTGAAGACCGGTCCATTTAATGGGATTGACGAAGAGGCGAAGCCCAGAGTTTTTTATCAAAGTGGCGTAAAGTGAACCATCCTCAATGCTTTTGACGTTGAATTTGTCGTGAAATCTAGCCTGCGTCTTGCGTGGTGGACAGATGTAATTGTTCGATATAACGGGGTCATTGTGGTGTATTATGCCGATAAATGTGTCTAGTTTGTTTCTTTTCGTCATGTTCGACGGGATGTCCGACGTGGTAGTGATGTTGCTTGATGCACAAAAAAGGAAGGGAGAAAGAAAGAAGAAGACAAAAAAAAAAGGTGGAAGGATGCTGCTACTCAACAAGTCATCAAAGATAGCAGCCACGACAACCAATCAGGAGGTATTGGCACCGAGAGTGTTGTTGTTAGGTAGATGTCCTGTAGCCAACGTGGAAAATGAACGAAAAATGCAAAATGCGACCATGCTTCCTTCTATGGACCAACCTAGCCTTTTGGAGATGCTCGTGTACTATGCACACGATATTAGTCACTATGCAAGATACTATGCAAAGTCGCACATCTGACCAGGACAGGGCTGGAGCTCTGTCTGCTAATTTTTAGGACTTGCATTATTTTTCCCTGTCCGACCAAGTCCTTGAAGATGCTAATAAGTTCAGTTTCGACGTCTTTCGCAGAGTGATCACCCCAAGCATCAGTGCGAAGCCGAACTTGACGGTACCGACGAAACAACGCCTTAGTAAGCCCTACTCTGCACAAAGCTGGAACTGCTCTCTCATCGACAACCTGGTAGAAACGATGGTCCGGCCGTCCGTCGTGGTATAAGCATTCATCCCTCGTCCATGTCCAACCAGAACCCTCACGCTATACTGTTTAAGGAGAAAGCGTCGTGCCAGATGCTTGGCATCGACGCGACTGCGTTGGGGCGATTGATCCCGGCCGCGGAGATGCAGGGTCTCGAGCATGCATGTCGGGATGATGCGTTTCTACAGCGAGAGACCGGTGGGTTAGCCGCGAACAACAAAGGGATGAGAAGCGATGCGGATCCCTACAATCTGGTGCGACCTGGTATATCGAAGGTGAGACTCATAGTTGCGCAAGTCCAGAGGCAGACCCAACGTTTGGAGTGAAGCGCACTGCTCGACGATTTCGCGGAGATCGCCGGGCCTGTATTTGAGCACCGACGAAGGGTCTATGAGGTTCTGCCGAGGATCCAGGACTAACGTACGAAGCGTCGATCTATGGCCCTTTACTTGCTCAAACGGAATGGGTTCTGATAGCCCACCGATGCAGAGGGTGACATGTTCGACATTGCGTGCCGACCTAAGCCACGCCGTGAAGTTGTCGGGAGTCCCTGACTCCGCATGCGCCACGACCCGAACCTCTGTCAAGTCGGGTGGCACGACGACCGCAAGTCGCTGGCAAAAAGACTCTGCGCCAGGGCAGTACCTTAGGTCGAGTGACTTCAGGGCAGGTACGTTCTTCGGATCAAACAGAGCCACGTTGGTAAACGCAAGGCTTAATCGCTTGACTCTGCTGAAATTGGCGTGGTTCAAAAGAGCCGCAGCCCTCGCTTGTGTCAGGTTGCACGACAGTGTGAATGAGAGGTGGACTTCCGCTAACGACACGCAGTGATTGAGATGCCACCGCACCCACTCGATGCTCTGTGGACCGACGGCACCACAGTCGAGCTGTCGTAGATTAGGGAAGACGAGCCCGGTGAAGGAATACGCAGCAGTCCAACTATATGACCGAATCGCTGTCGACGCATTAGGCGAACTCAGGATGTGCTTCAGCATGATGCTCAACAGCGTGGAGGTCTCGCGCGTCCACAGGCAATCGTCATCTACCACAACCTCAACGCGCCGAATCAACTGATGGAGGTAAGAGGGCCGCATCAAAGTGCTGAGAAGTTTTGGCATCCGCTGGTCATGCATCCCAGACCTCACTCGAATCCGCAAGGTCTCGTATAGTCTGGGCGTGACGAGCGCATGGTAGAACCTGCAGCATCTTGCCGTCCTGCTCAAGTCTGACGGTCCCAGGGTGTCAAATATGAGCAGAAGAACTTCTGGGGGGAAGTTGAGCATTGTGATTGAAACGACGATCCTGAAGCAAAACGAATCAATGGTGTATAGACTGAGGGTTGCTGAATTCCATGAACGCTCGCGTCTACGTAGCAACCGCGGGCAACACCTAAATATGAAGAATCCCCAGCATCGTGACTTCTTGATCATCTCCATTTCATTCAAACAATTTTGTTCTAACGATTGTCTCCAGCTTTCCGTATTTTTCAGCCGTGTGTCCAACCTGGCCAGGTCGTTTAGTCAACAGCCTGTTTCATAACGCAGCTGTTCCTTCTCATTTTGCGCGTCCGTCGACAGCCCAAAGATGGACACACTGAGGGCTTTGCGCGTTCTGAGTCAGACGGGTTGTGTAATTGTCACAAAGTCATTGACCTTTCTGCATTCTGCTTCTCAATGTTCTTGTTTTGCACGACTCTTCGTCATGACGGTATCTTGTTTCGTATAGCAAATGGCCTACAAGGTTGTCCAAAAGCTCCTACCGACATCAGGATTTGTAGCGCTGTTGACGTGAAAGACCGACCCACGCTTGACAAGGCCAGCCCCACTGACTTATATAAACGATCAGAGCCGACGGCAAGAAGACGGCATGGATACTCTCAAAGAGTCTTAGGTACTTCACGCTGATATGAAATCATCAACTATCATTTCTTATGTAAATCGGTCGACATGGTAAAATGGTGTGATGGCTGCGCACCGTGGAGAGTGTGACGCAACTAAATGCGTTCCATTGTCATGGTCGCCAGTGAGTGCTTCCAACTTGGCAGGCGTGGTTCACGTCTATGGTTCGCCCTCATACTATCTTGGACCGTAACCTCTCTCACACCGGGGTCTCACTAGTATTACCTCCTGGACAGTTCAGAGCCATCTTATGCAATACGAAGGATCTCAATACACTGAAGCAAGACCTTAGCTCAGCCCTTGTAAGTCAATCCTGGTCAACTGAAAGGTCTTGTTGGCACGCAACATGCACAGGGCGAGGTTCAACAAGTTCAAACAAATACTTGAAGCAGCGGGTGTTCCTGTTCCTCGTCTCGGACTCACTAGTGATCATATTAATTTCGGACATGTGTATAGTTCTCAAATCCGATTTCACTGTCTGCAGCCACGCAGAGGAGCTGGTCATGATATGCCGGCACGCCAAGCCCCCAGAAGCAGACAGCAGACCACAAGCCCACAGACAACGTGAGCTCTGTGGCACACAAAGAAGAGGACGCTTCCAGAGGGAAGGATTCTGTGCCATGTGCATCGACTTTTTCACACCCTACGACATCACTCACTCGGCTAGTGTGCAGAAGTACCAGAGATACAAGGCAGAAAATGGATGGACCCAACCCGTTCACCCATCCAGAATACCCCGCGACTATCTCTTTCCATATAAGGTCATCGTGGTGCCCCGCTCAGTCCACGTTCTCAGCAGTCAAGCCCGGGCGAAGCTGCAGGTCAACTCTCAAAAATGGTATAAAGGGATTCATACACCGACGTCGGTGGACTTTCGGCGCTGCATCGATGGGTTTCACTTGGATGAGAATGTAGCCCGAGGATTAGTACTCAGAAAGCCACCAAAGGCGTTGACACCTGAAGTTTGCATGAAAGAACTCCCGCCCCTGCCGAATAGTGAAGCCAACAGCTCTGTTCGCCCCTCACAGATTTAGTGTTCAAGACGGGTTAATATTTTCACTCGATAAAGATGTATTGGTCTGTGGTATCTTGGGCAAGAGCTGGGCAAAAGGATGATAGTTGCATGTCGCTCTGTTCAAATGAGCAAATAGTGACGAAGATGCTCTGTCTAGGAAACCCACCAAATACTTTCTTCTTCCTCGTTTTCTTCTCTCATCGACCATGCATTTTTTAGTGTTTCCTTCTTGAGCGGAAACAGCTCGAAGCGAATACAAAATACTGGCCCTCAATTTGAGCGTGTCTCCGGGACTTGCTGGAAGCTCGCCAATTGCTTTGCCTATTTGGAAGAGTCCGTGACATCCGCAAAGGCAACCAGCACACACCCTGGACAATATGTCACATCACTTAATAGAAGTGCGCAAAGTTGTGATGAGAAAAGTGGAGCGAAGGCCCCTCGGGCCAGGGCATGCTACACAATCATTCTGAAGAAAGTTTGTACATCTTATTGCTTCAATCGAATCAGTAGAGTATTTTAGCAATGCAAAGCAGATGCTTCCAAGATTAATTGTATGGGAGCCAAACCAATACGACGTACGATCGATTGGGCTGCAGCAGCACGACTCGTTCTGGCTACAACGAACCATGACACATGCCAAATACACAACCTCGCTAGGACACCGTAACCTGCCCGACTGTGTTCAGTGCGATATTCCTCTTCAGAAATGCCCCAATACCCTACGCCTCGGCATATGCCTGGCCGGATGGCGTGATTGTGGGGCCGTAGACAAAGCGGCCATCTCTGACCTTGAAATAAGCGTACCGCTCAAGATAATCAATTGCGTCCAGAAGTGGAATGACGGCAGTGATAAACGCGGCATGTTGCTCATCGCTACCGTGATCGACAGCAAACTCAGTAAGCCAGACAGATTTATCGCGACATATGTCGCGAACCGATGACAAATGAATCAAAAGGCCTTCCACAGAGTCGCCGTACCAGTGGGCAACGCAGAAATCATACTTGCAGCGTACAGGTAGGCTATCGCATGCCTGCACCCATGACCCCAACCAGCTGAGACCTTGGCCGGCGACAGCGCTGTTGCTGATCGCGGGCGACCCAATCTTGACTCCATGTCGACTAGCGTACCCGTTGACGAATTCCACATGAGCTGCGGCGGCAGCTTCAGCATTCAGATTGCACTGGTCAGGTCTATCGCACTCGTTAAAACTGAGGATGTGGGTAGATCCACTCAATATCATTGCCTCCACATTCTGCGGCCAGCGCTCGGTTTGTTCTGGAGCGGGGCTCCACAGCATCGGTACAAAATCGAGCGAAGGCTGGAGAAGTCCGTAGTCGGTGGAGTCCCAATTGTATGCCCATGAACACTTGGTGCACTGCACGCTCTTCGTAAAACGGTCGACGAGGCCCGCGTCATTGTAGGCGAAGCCGCGTTTGGCTTTCGGAGCGTCGACGATGGATCGTGATAGGTCAATGCTGCTTGAGTGAGACGTGGTGACGCTGGTCGGCGCGGCTACTTGTCCCGACGTGTATGGAGTAGTGAACAGTGCCTCTGACACGGGACAAAAACATGGATCATGACTAGTATCTTCACCCCGAAGCGCATAGTCACGGCATGTTTCTCCGTCATAAGCCATTATTTGCTTGATAAGACTAAGAAGAGTGAAAAAAGCGAGAAGACGTAGCACGGTCATCTTGCTATGAAGGTGGATAGAGAGTGGGATAGTTGGCACGCCGCATGCGAACCATGGTAAATATACGATTGGAATCGAGACAAACAGGGTCATTGGAAAAGCTAACCTCCCACTAAGCAAAGTTACCAACTTGGGCTTAACAGTATCAGAGCCATAACGACCTCTGCGCGTGCTTCACAATTGAGCATATCTCGCCGGACAAACTACGCAACCTTACAGATCAGACCAAACAGTCCCCTGAGAAGGTCAGAGAAATGTAAAAAAGATGCATAGAGCTAGTACAAGTAAGACCGAATGCACTGATGAGCAGCGCGTAACCTCGCGTGTCCACCTCTATTCTGATGGTTCTTCATATATTGCGAAGAAATTAAGCTCATATGCCGTCCTTCAGAACAGCGGCCGAGAGCAGGCGAAAGGCCCTTATCTAGGTTATTATAGCCATACTCAGCATCAGACGTATTGAAGGCGTCTTTTGCCTTTGCACCCACACACGGGATTTGTGCGGCCGTGTTTGCCAATCGTGCAGATACTCTAAATTGCAAAACACCGAACTAGGTCTATTTCGGTGAATGGGCTTTCTGCGACCTCACTTCCCCGTGTTTCGTTACCTACACCCAGACTAAGAGCCTACACCAAGACGGCACATGCCGTCAATTGGCGTCAAAAACTTGGCGAGGTCCCATGCCATTGAAGGATCATTTAGTTAGCTTCTGTGCCCTGCATCGTGATACTGCTGGAGGGGAATGACACGACAGCGCGCTGCGGAAATGAATCGGGTCGGAATTCAACGACACGTGCTTACGGGTATGTGCCCAAACAAGAGCATGACCGAAAAGGCGGGATTTGGTACGGAGTGGAAGGAGTGGGGAGAGTGGGGGCAATGATTTGCATGGGTGCGGTGCATTGGGGCCTACTTCGACAGACGGTTAGCCACTGCGTTCTACCAAAATTGTAACATAACCTTAACGACATAGCTAAGCATGCCCACGTCAAACTCATTTAAGAAGTGTTTTATGAGCTGTGGGGGACCGCAGCCCCGCATTGATCTACTATCAGAGATTGACGTGTGAATTTTAGGACTTACTGTCGGAGTATTAGAAGCTGGTAGCGCTCTCCCTTCTCAAGATGTTCTCCGTCTTACCTGAACAATTTCATGTGTGTCTGTTTTATCTTTCATGATCTACTAAAGAGTGAGATTGTAGAACTGACTGGTTTTGTAGATAGGGACTTTCCCCTCTATCTGAGGGTGCTTAGATAATACCATAAGGCGCGAAAGGGCGATCGTGGACCTTGGTATGACTGTCGACGTGATAAGAAGTGCTTGCCCTGAGGCGCAGCTGATAAACCATCCTAATGGCTGTTGTTGTTGCCATTTTAATCATTTCAACCGATTTGCTGAAAAATAAAGAGGGGGTATTGTTCATTATGACGTATGTTAATTATGGGTTTGAACTACTCGGTACTTTGTTGGCTACTTTCTGGCTATTTGATATTTTGTGGAATGGTCCTTGAATGTTCTTAATTCTACTTCGCATGGAAAATTCGTCGCGATGGCTTCAACCGCCCGTGGCCTCACAGCATGTCACGTAACCCTCGGTACACAACCACCAAGATCGATAACCGCGTGCACCCTATTTTTCAGAGCAAGCCTCCTACCTATATCCCACTTTTCATAGACAACAGTTCTCTACAACCTACGTCGATGCCCATATTATGGTCATACGATAACGCTCGGTAACGCTATGACCGTACTACCTAGGCGGGGCGTTCCTGTCCTGGAGTGACGGCGATGCCGGATTGCCGCTGGAATCTGCTGCATGGTCGCCGCCGTCTTTGAGCTCGAGCTGCGAGCGCATGTAGCCCGTGATGTCGAAGAGGAGGGTATAGAAAGCTTTGCGGCGGGCCCGGTTGAGGACCACCACGAGCTGCCGGCGGTCTGCGGCCAGGGCCCATATTGTGCCTATAGATGTAAACGGATCGGCAGCCACAGCTCAACAATATCTATGTGCGAGAGGGTGGGCAACGGGGCTCGTGACCGCTTGTGGATGGATCCTTGTTGCTCTACTCTTTTCACTACTGACCAGGACTTGAGTCTTGAGGTTGAGTCAAATGGAGTTTTCAGTCATGATATTTTAAGCAATAAAATCTAATCTTCTCCATGTTAAAAATCCTAGCCGCAAAAGATAAGACCTGAATTCCGCCATCGATACTGTTGATACTGTTCATAGTGGAAGAGAGAAATGTTACAAACACGTTGCTTCGAGCATCCTGTCGATTATTGCTAGCGATCCGTCCAGTTAAGCCACTGGCGTTGCGCACTGTTCAGTACACAATGCTACAGTCCCCATCGTTTGAGCATTCGAGAGGCTGCGGCTTGGGTCCATTTGATCTAGATGAAAAGTTGGACTCGGCGGGGCTAATGTTTCCTGGCTGAGCTGATTCTGAAAGGGATGCTTGAGCATTTGCATAACGCCTTGGCAGTGTAGTCGCAGGCTGCTTTCGGGAGACGCAGATATTGATATCTCAGCGGAGAGACGCCGGGTCGTTTACGATGTTAGTAGCGACGATTATGCCTGAGTGGACGCACTGGATGACTTGTTGCCTTCGTGATGGCATCGCAGCAGCATGATGGCATACTCGGCACTGTCAGGGTCGGGGTACTTCCAGTCATTGTGGTTGTCAGTCTCTGACCGTAGAGAACATCTATCGGGCTGACGGAATAATACTGATGGATCAATACACATGGTATCGTCTGGGACAGCAGCCTCTTCATCGTGATGCGCAAACGAGGAAGACTGTCCGTGAAGGGATGGCAAAGGAGATGGAGGACGAGATTCATAGTCCAAACCTTGAGATTGCTGATCCCCTGTTCCAACCAACTCAAAGTTGAGAAGTGCTGTAATAGGTGAGAACGCGACGGTGTCTGCGGTCAGAGACGAAGGGAGGAGCCCAAGCAGGTCTTGGTGAGTCTCAAAATCAGAAACGAAGGCTAGTTCCTGACCTTCGACTTCAGCTGTATCGGATGACAAAGGTATCTCGTGATGTTCTTCGATATTGTCGTAAGCTTCTTGGAAGCCGTCGATACATTGCATATCGTACTCATTGCATCCCTCCATGAACGAGAATATCTGGGTGTTGGAACCCATCATTGTGAGAATATCAGTAGATGTCTGGTCGTTACAGCCGACGAAAGATGGGAACGTGTCGAGGTAAGCTAGACCCCAGGCGTCTAGGTCGTCTCTCCTGGATGGGTATGTTCTGATAATCGGGGCGGCTTCCATCAATTTTGGTTTGTCAGATCTCGTCGCCATCTTGGTTTGCTTTCGTGAGTCACAGTATATGTCGTGCTTGCTTTCTTAAAGTAAACTATCGAGAATGATGATGGCTGGCTCGAATGTCTTGGGTTCGGGTAGATGTGCTGTTTATTATCGTGTTGGATTTTCTTTTGACGACGTTGCCTGGTGATGAGTACAACATCACGTGATACTACTCTGTCACGAGGTACAAGTGAGGTTAATGCCGCTGGCGTTGACTGGACCGTTGCGTTTTTACGTCACATGTGCCACCGTGAATTCTGCAAAGTGGAGCACTTTTGTCAGGGATCCATGAATGACTAGTATGTCAAAACATCAAGCCTTACCTGGTAATGAAATGAAGGTATTAAGATTGAATCAGATTTTACAGCCAATGCTGACCGTGGCACAGGTGCTGGATAAAAGGCTTAAAACAGCCCCGGACTTCGGCAAAGTCCTGCATCGTTGGTGGGCAGTGTGGTATTTCGTAGCTTTGTAGGCAGACCAGGATTAGTTACAATGTCGACGTGGGCCTGTTAGCACCGAGCTCACAAAAGACATTCACCTGATTTATATCCGAGTTCTTAAGCAGTCTATTTACACATGCACTACGTTCTCAAACGCAACATTCTATGTCACTCGTGAATTTGCCGTATTTATTCCATGCCAAACCTACTTGCTGTGGCCTTGGGGAAGTGTTTCCGTTGGTACATACCTCAGCAGGACATCAGTGTGTTTGGTGCGATGGTCAGTTGTTGATTTTGTTACGGGTTTGTGCATGTAACATGAGAGATGGAAGAATTGGAACTCCTGAGTAGCGAGTTGATCAACATGACTCAAGTGCTCTTGCTCCAAGCGATTCTGGATCATCCAGTACTTACCTCGCCAGAGTGATCTTTTGGACATCCTTTCGAAATGAAGATTCCTAACAATAAGAGTATCCAGGGGATTGATTTCTTCTTTCCTTCACCGTCAGGCCCATTGTATCAATGCGTATCAAATGTGAGTCCGGGAGAGCTCATCGCCAGCTATGGCTATCAAAGAGTATCGCCCCTAACCAGGTGCGGGTAACAATAGCCTGAATGCGCCCCGTCGTCGATGGAGATTGGGGAAAGAATAAGGGTTGAACTGGGAAACCCAAGTCGCCGCCTATTTTCTTTTCTCAAGATTCCTAATCTTCGATCAAGTAGCCTCCATTGGACCATTAGCTCAAGCTCTGTAACCTGTGTGGGAAAACGGGCAGCAGCTACCTTCACTAGGCAACCGAGACTAGGTAACCGTGACAAGAAATCCCAAAACCTCTTGAGACGCATGAGGTTCGCCCGTCGGTTGGTTGCAGGCCACTCAACAGCTCGATGAGTGCATTCAAAGGAGATGGATCCTCTGATAGATCTCGCCAGTCAGCCGTCATCGATCAGAAAGTTGCATCTGACACAGAGTCACTTTCGACTGCTGCTTCCGCCAATTTATTCAAATCCTGGCTCTTTTCTGTATAACACACTTCATACAAGCTTCGCCATCGAAACTGCTTACCGGGCTAAAAGCTTCCGTGCAGCATCTGTTTCTGTAGGAAGAGAGAGGGATAAGAACTTGATAGGCCATAGCTGCAAAGCTTCACAACAAGTACAACTCTCCATAATATTTATTAGGTAGGATAGCGTGTCATGTCTTTAATCTCTCTGAGTGGATGTTCCTAGAACGAACCGTTGAAGGTTCTTGATTGTAGAAGTTATGGGTATGCTATACGGGTGGCACGTAAACAAGTATTCACGTGGTACGGCTTCTACTACGGCTGTGTCTTCATGGCCGGACCTGGTTTGCTCTTGCCAGCCGACTGAGAACTCTATGAGGTGGCACAATACACCGGGATGGATACGTATGGTTAAATTCCCTCTCTTTCGTGGTGATATATGGGAATTCGAGATACTGCTACTGGGTATAACAAGGCTTTGCCTGACCATGGGAGAAAAGAGCGGACACCAAGTCGCGCTCATCTGTGCGCAGTTCAGCAGACTGATTACGATGAAAGATCTCTGCACATCTATCAGTAGCTAAAACGCCTGCTTATCGCTCGTAGTATGACGACTTCGTTTCTGTCGCCTATTCTTAATGCCTTCGAGTCCGAAGCGTAATGATTGATGGGATCTATCTGTCTAGACAACTGACACATGGTTCCGGTATTGTCACAGGGATACTCAATTGATGTGTATATTATTGCATCAAGCTTGATTAAAGGCACTGAAACCTCGTCAAACTCCAGTGTCCAAGAAACAGGACGCCTTGAGGTTCATTTGAAAATCACAGTACACCACGTGCTTTTCTAAAGTGTATCACGTAACAGAAATAGGCTGGCTTCAAGCAATTAGATAAAGTGGCCTGTAATTCACTACGTATTACCCTACACCGCCGGTAATCTGTATTTAAACAGTGGCTTCTGACCTATTGATGGGCGTTCAATGGCTCCCAAAAGAAAGCTACCAGACAGCGTGCAGCTTGAGGAAAAGCCCAGTGAGAATGCACCCAAGCCGACCAACGCCAAACGCCACCCGCGAAAGATCCGGCGTCCGTTCGCTAGAAAGGGGCCGCAGCTGAAAGGAAGTACCAGACAAGACACAAGGAACCAGAAACTTTTAAACCCGATCACAATTCTTCTCTCGGAAAACGTGCAAGCGTTCCTCAATAAATTAGAGCTACTTCACGTGATAACAAGAGATGCTCGAAGCGACATCGAAGAGAGAACTCTGGATCAACTAAGCGACTTCAAAGTAGAACAAGTCTTCATGTGTTTCGTCAATCTTGCACGACACATCACACTGGAGGACCTTCAAACAATTGAATGGCGACCAAGTAACCTACTAAGCATCGTGCACTCACCGTTGAAGGAAGTGCAGGGCAGTGCGAAAGGGAATTTGGATAGCAAGGCTATATGTTTCGACCCGGGAGACACTGAAAACTTTCTTCAAGGGGACGATGAGTCTAATGGGCTGGTCGTGCGGACATGGGAAAGTCTTCTCACATGGGGCCCTGATGAGGCCACTACTGCGTCCAGTGGAAATCGGAACTGTAGCTGCTCAAAGGAACAGATCCTCAGACTCGAGCTTCAAGCGGCACACGATACGCAGACGGACTGCAAGCACACGGAGCGTGTGGCAAAATTTCGTGAAATAGTTTCCGAGATCCTAGTTCAACATCTTCGACGGACATCAAGCAGCGAGCCACCTCCTAAGCGTCTCACAAGGCTCCGGATGGAGAAGGAGAACGATGAACTAGCCAGGGAACAACTGTTTCGAGAGGAAGCTGCCGCACTCTTTCCGCTTGTCACAACTCAAGCCGATGACAACGTACATCAACCATCAGAACCACTGGTAGAGAACACAGACCTGCAAATGATGAACAGCCATTCATCACCTGCCTCGAATTCAATCCCAAGTGCAGATACCTCATCTACTCATCATCACGAACGAGATAGCGCAGCAGGCGCTCTCACATCGCAAGCAAGGAATGACACCGACACACTGGTAAAGGTGCGAGAAAGGAGAAAGATAGGCTACAAGGAGCTTGAGGCAGGAAGCCAAATGCAGAGTCTACAAGCCTCGGAAATTCTCCAATCTCATGTCAAACGCGAGATCCAAGCCAAGATTACCGAGATGCAGGCTGAGATGGAAGAGAGCATTTCTGAACGGATAGACGAAAAGGGAAGTCTCTGGATGCAGACTGTGAGAGACACGTGCATCTCAGAAATCCATCACAGCATTCGAACCAAGACTATCACAATTGAACAGGCTGTAGCCAATCTCTCAGCTGTTCAGAGTTCGCAAGGCGGCAGGCTTGTGACCATTGAGGACTATCTGCCCCGTTTGCAAACTGGCCTTGACGATGAAAGAAATCAAACCGCTTCCTTGGCTTCAAATTGCGACAAGCTACAACACGATCAACACTATTTGCATGGCGAAGTACAAAAGCTTGTAGTCAAAATAGGCGATCTCCAGGCCGAATTCTCGCGTCATGCGAGACAGGTGGAACATAATCAGCACCAAATGGAGATCACACTAACGCAGAAAGTCTCCCAAGCTGTTCTGCAGGATGTTACGCGCATGGTGGACTCCCTTCGCAACAAGACAGAATCAGATGCGATAACGCGACAAAAGTATGTAGACAAAGTCCAAGACCAAACGAACCAGGCGATGGCACAAATTCATCAAGCAGACCTCGATAGGCATAGGGCCATGCAATTGAAGGCAACAAAAGTCCGAGCAAGACATGACGCTGAGATACTATATCTGAAGCTCATGGCCGAAGGAAAGGCAAAGGACGTAATGCAGAGACTAGACAATATCGAAAACACAAACAACTCCCTCAAGGCAGAGCTAGAAGGACAGTCAGAAAAGGTGGACCTAGTCGCCAACGAGCTGAACGAACGCATAGAGAGGGCAAATGAGTCCACTAAAGTAGATCTCCGAACCGAATTCGGCAGCAGCCAAGAGAAATACCACATGCAGATCACCGACGGATCTGCGGTAACCATACAAGCAATAGAGGATCGGCTCAGGTGCCTCGAACACGCGAAAGGTGCTACGGAAAGTGATCTAGAGGAGAGAATCGCGAAAGAGCTGCAATCCTTCAAGCTAGAGACGGCACAAAAGATGGGACACATGGAGAATATGTACCACGAAAAGGTCACGACATTAGCCAAAGAGACAGGAAGACAGCTGGAGGGGCTTCAACCATTGGTGCCCACAACCGAAGAACTATCTGGAAAGGTCCATGCGTTACAGAAGACTACCGAAGAGCAAGCACAAGAACTAGAACTTATCAAAGCTCAGTCGCAAGCCTGTATACTGCAAGCAGGCGAGATCGAGGGGCTCAGAGCCGACGGGAGGATCTTGGAAGAAAGACTTATGGCGCCACTGGCAAAAGCCGAGAAAGCAGAACACTTGACCCAAGAGACTTTCCTGAATCATTCAAACAGAATCCGGCGGCTGGAGACAACACTCAACAACGAGTTACAGAACTTCAGCGCAAAGAGATCGAACCCAGAGACCCTGTTAGAAACCCGAGATGCGGGAAGTACCGAAAACGCCTTACTTCTCCAAGTGACAAGAAAACCACCGGACGACGTTCCGGAAGCGGTTCGGATGCAATTGGATCAGACTCAGAAGGACATACAACTTTTGCGAGAGAACTTTAATGGAAGACATAATGAAATGACCCATTCATTGGAAAGCTTCAAGCATCAGACCAGCGTGCAGTGGATAAGTGCAGAAAAACGTCTGACCGATCTCGCGACTGGAATGTCGGCCGTCAAGCGGGATCTACACAGCAAAGCAGCCGCGATTGACCCAATCCTGAGACACTTACAGGACGATGTTAGAAAGAATGGGGACACTTCAGAGACGTTACGAGCATGGATCGCTTCCCAGGCTTCCGGGTGGGACGAGCTCCGAGACCAGTCAGAACAGCGTGCGCTGCTTGACGCACAGATGGAGAAGCTAGCGAGACAAGTTGATGAGTTGGAACGCAAACTGGAGAGTCAACAACATCAGAACGAAAGCTTGCGAGACCAGATGCAAGATCCAAATCGATTGGCCCTAATCTCTTGTGATCTAGATCAAGTCAAGCAGGAAGTCCAAGGGGTTGAGAGCCATTGGCAGGACGAGATCAACACAAGACTGAGTGCTGTTGAAGGCAATGTGGAAACGCTCAAGCGTGGTACCGAAGCGGCTCGCGACAGAACGGAAAGCCTCAGCCAAGATCTCAACCATGTGAAACTTGATGTAGAGCGCAGCTTCGGAAGCCAAACAAGCGCTCTGGAGGCCCTTTCGAGACAAACACACGATCGCATGCAACAGCTCAAAATTGAAATGGCACATTCTACATCGGCAGTAGACGAGCTCCAAGTTCGGTGCCGAGATCTGGAAAGTTCGATCAAGGGAATGGTAGACAAAGTCTTGACATACTCGAGTCTTCCGATCAGCTCTCTGCACCTTGGGAGGAAAAGGAATGCGGAAGGTTGCCAGCTGGAGCAAGAAAAGAGCGATCCAGGCATCCAAGCAGAGTGTCTAAACCCGAGAGTAGAGGTCCGCACTCACCACAAAGGACAACCAGAAGGCCGCAGCCAGAGTTCGAATATTCCGAGAGATTCAAGTGTAAATGCTTCTTCTTCACGAGATCGACAGCCCACAACCAAAGCAGGAGCAACGGACACAATCCTTGGTTCGGAAGCATGCCCAAGTTCAAGTGCGAGAGAACAGGCAAATAGTACAGGAGCCCCGCAAAATAGGAACCCCAAGCCAGTGGGAGTGCGAGTAGGAGAGAAGACAACGTCACCTAAGAGTGACAGGGCAGCTATTGAAACAAACCCAGAGCGACAAGCGGAATCGTGGACAATCAAAAATGAGATCTCAGATACGGCAAGCAAGTCTGCAAATGCTAGGAAAAGGCCAAGTGATCGCCCACCATTTGACGGTGCAACCTACGTTCCACACAAGGAGGATGAAATCCTCAAACAGAAACACTGCCAGAGCCAGCCGGTTTTGGAGAAATGGGCCATCCAGAAACTCGAAGAAAAAGACGTCGAGATTACATGCGTCATCAGCTATTACGAGAAGCAGCGATCGAAGCACCTACGACAATGCCAGGCTTACTTTGACGAAACGAAAGCCAAGATCCAGCGACTCAAAGACCAAGTCAGGCAAATGAGTGGGGATTTGCAGCATGCAACTCGAAAGATCCAGGACAGGGACGACCACATTGCGTCCATGTCCAAGGCCAGTGGCGACTTTTCCTTGAACAGAGAGAAGACTCAGGATGAAAGCAGCCGAACCGAAATGGATTCTACACAGCCTTCGCACAGGAAGCAGACCAGGACAAAGCCGCCGAATGATGAAGCGTATGCTGAAGCGGGCATCGTAGAGGCTGATCCTTACGTGGAGGAAAACAGTCATGCCGCGACTGCGATCGAAGTACTGCCTGGAACAAGGGTGGTCAAGCACAAGCAGACATCGCAAACAAGCTTTTCACGGACCAGACCCAAGAGGTCGAAGCGCGAAAACGAGCCTAGAGGGACTTCGCGTTCTGTGCCAGCGGGAAAATACACCGAGGACCCTCTGGAGACCATCCCAAGCCTTGATGACAACGTCGATTATCTCCAACCAGGGTTTGACGCCAACTCCATCACTGTGAAAGAGTTGAAGAAAATATTCGTTACGCACGGAATCAAGTTTGATCATAGCTCAAAGAAAGAAAATCTCGTGGCTCTATTCCAGAGAAAAATCGAACCCCGAGCTAGTGCTACGTTGAAGAAACGGGCGAACATCAAACGCTCGGCAGCGGGCATCGTTGATGTTAGATAGGTCCAGGGAGCTTGGATGCCAAAAGACACACCTAGTCGTTTATTGATGTATTTTCACTTGCAGAGATATAATCGGATGCTTCTATTCACTGCGGCTGATAATGAGGTGAAATGGAGCATTTCACGTTGATGATGGGGTGTAAGCCACACAGGGAAAAAGCTTACATGTGCTGTTCTATACATTTACTCCAGGATAGGTTATGACTGCTGTGAATGTGCATGCTGGAGAAACAATTCAAACGACTAATGTGGTACATTCGGATCGCCGTAAATGCCAAATTCTAGCATTCCTATTCGCCTAGTATTCTGATATAAAACATGTGATTCAATCCATCCGTCTCCGTAACTTTGAGCAGTTCGGTATCTCACCGGAATGAGTGCCTATAGACGTCACTCAAGATTAGACAGTCATTATCCAGATACAAATAAACATATCTCACATCTCCTGATGATAGATATCTGCTGTTGTGGCAGGAAGAAAGCAGACATTTGCACAAGAAAGTGTCTCCTCTCCACATACCCTCCTTCTTTACTACTTAATTACATATCCATCCGTCTCTTCTTCTCCGAACGACCTGCCGATATGTCTCCCGTCCTAGAGAGCTTCCTCTTCCGCACTGACTCGTCTATACATACGCTACCGTCACTATGAGCTTGTAAGTCAAGTAAGGCGTCGGCAGTCTGTGGAAATCCGGAGATCGAAGAGGACGTATCATTGTACTTAAGCCTGATATCGAAGGGAACACTCAACGACGGCAAAGTGAAGCTCACGACGGTCCGCTCGTCCGCAGCGATCTTATACTTGTTACCAGCTACCACGAGGGAAAGCCCCTTGAACCGAGTCGCGAGCACTCTCGTGACTGATGGGTCGTCCCCATACCTACAAGCGACGAACCCTCTGCATAGTACCTCACCGCGTCTGGTCGTTCGCGTTGTCGTGTCGAAGGAAAAATAGAATAGAGAGGCGATCATGACTAGCGAGACTTGTTGCACACGCTGATGTAGGTCCCGATTGACGAGAAATTCTCGGTCCAGCTGTCGAATCAGCTTGCTTATGGCATCTGCGTCATCCAGCGCCACCGCTTCCATATCGAGAGTGGGGTCGATGCGAAACTCATTGAACGCTTCACCCGCTGACCCACCTAGTCTCTGATACTGCCGGTGTCCCCACAGAGATTCCAGGCTAAAGTGAGCAAATCGAGACAGTGAGTTCGACATGCCGTTTGGGGCTGCCTTCATCACCCCGTTGCCTGCCGAGAGGATGTAATCAGGAACCGTCTTGCGAGGACACAGCCGTAGCGCTTCGGACCGCGCATGTAGCAGTGGAATCTCCAGCCCGTCATAGTATGACGAAGTGGACGACCCAAGACGTTTGGCCGGAAAGTACCTGGCGCATGTTAGCTTGTCTCTGATCGTGTCCTTTTAAGATTTCTCCCCGTTCTTCTATGAATTGACGTGTACGTACACAGGAGCGGCCGACGTGATTTCGGCCCTGTTTTTGATCCAAGTCAGCTCGGACGCTCTGCAGCACACATCGCGCGGATACCTACGCCTCTCGGACCAGCAGGGGCCTCGGCCTGCCAGACTCTGCTTGCCGATTCTCATGGCCCGCATACGTGGTGAACAGCTTCGACATGCTCGTTTTCGAGTCGATGGACGTGACAGCCACCTTCATCTGCTCGTACGGCTTCCGATTGTAGAGCGACTTTCGCGGTCCTCTAAGTCTCGCCTCGCCCGTGATAGAACCTAGGATCGGCCCGCTAGGGCTGTAGATGCTGTCTTTGCACACAAAACGGATGCATCGCGACAGTTTCTGGCACCACCGCCCTATCTTTGTCGAAGCTTTGGGGAATATCCTGCGCGCCAGCTGTATGAAGTTCTGTTCGCAGGTATCCAGCGATGATTCTAATACACCGATCGATAAGGCATTGATGCCTCCTGGGAACAAGTCAGTTCTAAAGCTGTTCTCTCTCGCTTGCATGGAGAAGCGACATACCGACGCTGGTCCCGATGGCCAGGTCAAAAAATATCTGAACAGGTAGTCCGGTCACCTTCTGAAGCATCTGCAGGATACGCAGCTGAACGATGCCCTTCACCCCGCCTCCATCGAGGGCTAGGACGCGGCATCCCGCCGTGGGCGGTCTGAGACGGACGGCACATCCAGAAACAAACGCCGTCGCGCACAGAACGCACCTATCGAACGTGATTACAGTCCCACTCATCGTGCTGTTGCCATATCCGCGGTAGCACGTCTCGCACAATGCGCATTCACAAGGGAGAAACACCTCGGGAGGCTGCACGAAGCATACGAGACACAGACGGGAGGACCTGCTCCCCGCAACGCTGGCGCTGTGCCGATGAAGAAAGTGTGTTCGAGATTTTCGGCGTTCTTCTGGGTCCGCGTGGCGTAGTTGGCTAACCGTTGTCTTGACCACTGAGGTTACGAGTGCCTTAGCGTCGGCCATCGGCATGAGTCGCTGGTATGAGAGCGCTTTCGTCAGTGCATCATGATACATTTCCCCGAAAACGGTCTGGCCACAGAATCCTGTTCAGGGTAATCAGCCACAGACATCTGAATAGGGCCGATGGCCACGTACCATCGTAATAGGCCACCATATCTTGTGAAAGGGCATTCGCCAGTATGGGCAATCTCATCTGTCGAAGATCGTCCAGGGACATAGCCTGCTGGATCCACTCGCGCCAGGCCTCCTCTAGCCAGGGTCTCATCTGCATCAGCGGTTGGGGCAACCGGCTTTGGTCGAATGCCGCCACGTAGCTGACGTCCAAGTTCATGCCCGGCGCCGCCTCGGGCGCACTGGCCAACTGCTGCAAACATCCACGGGAGACCCGGAACAGCGTATACCAATCCCAGAGTGTTTTTTCCTCCCTCCTCTTCTTCCTCACGTCTCGAATCCGGGAGAGTACATCATCAGGAATCATTCCGGGTTTATACACACCCCGGGTCACTTTTACGTCGCCGAAATAGCAGTTTAATCCATCACTAACGAACATGCTGGCCAGGCTCTCTAGGTCAATGTTTTCGCTAATGTTCCTGACCACGACGCTTCCTACTGGACGGTGGATAGGTGGCAGGCCCCTGCACTCCAGGTCCCACGCACGGAGGAGCCGACGCGCAGACGGTACGTCCCTGGCAACGAAGAGAACAGCGTCGCTCATAAGCATGGACCATCGACAAATCACCCTACCAGTGCGACTGCATCGCACAGGGTACTTTACATGGCCAGGAATACGGGCCGGATGGGCTTGGGAAAAGGCGTTGCATTGAAAGTTGACTTTATTGATGACGACATGCTTCCTGGCGCGAATCACCTCGACTCCTTGGCCTTCCTCACGCATGGGCTCGTCGTCGACTACACTGACCACAGAAGGCCTTTGTAAACGTTGGATGGATGGAGGCAGACTGATGGCGGCTGATGGTGGATTTCCCTCGACGATTTGAACCCATGGGTACGGCATGCTGTGCCAATACTGATCGACCTTTGCCGTATTTATATACATCAAAACTATCAGACTCCCACCTCTTTCTTTGGCTTGTGGCGCGAGTGATGTGGTGACGGGAGAGGAGGTTTGTAACGCAGACCATACCATGTCCCTTGAGCTCTGCGGTGGTGTGGCCAAGAAATGCGCATTGATCTCGTACCTCTCGTGAGCAGTAAGTGCGTGTGTCACTTGTGACTATCGCTTATGACAGCTCTCAAGCGTAGCTCAGCTAAGATTGCACCTTTACCATTAGCCAAACATCTGCAGAGGCTCAAGTGGGCGCACCCAAGTTGAAAGTGCGATGCCGAAACTCCTGCTGTATACCTTCTAGACAGTGTAGCGCAGTTATACTTGACACCAGCGAGAGAAAGCCGTCACCCGTGATGTTCAATGTATGGAGTTGACTTCCGCACTTGAATATCCCAAAACTGCAATCGTTGGGTCCAGCGGGAGTCGGAAGGGTTCTAGGAGACATCTCAATAGCATTGAGTTACGTCATGTTGGCCTGAGCATCTCCATTGCTGAAGGCCTACGCTTTTGACTATATCGACGATTAACTTCATTAACGCAAAGCATTACGCAAGTTCGAGGATCAAGCGGCGGTAGGTAATAACCAGGCTCTTGATCGTATTGCGTAAGTGAGAAACGACATGTGACCGTTGGTTAGGCTCGGGATGTGCCGACAGAACGACGATGTCTTGGTCCTATGTTGACAATGGGAGGCAGCTAAGCAATTAATTATCGCCCAAACGGCAGGACTTACAGGATCTGATTAACTGTGAAATATGAGAGACGCGTCGACGTATCGGCCGATCATGTGTTCCCGAGCTACTCCGAACCCAATCAATAGGTTCTTTCCCTAAGGTTCATTCCGAAGAGTGCCGATTGCAAATTGAGACCTCATTTTTCGTTGAGCGCTCGAAACCTTCTCCTACTTATGACCAATCTGACGTATGATGGTGTATCATATACCTATCGCAATCGCATTCTAAGCCTTTCAAGGGGTTCTCAAACTTCGGCCTGCTGTGGTTGCGAAATTGGAACCCGTAGAGGAGTCGTCGACCTCCTCGTTCAAGGATGAATTTCGCAAGCACCATCGGACTCATCCCGAATAGGGAGGGAATATATTGGTTGCCGATGCTGTTATATGGAGCTATGGCTGTCAGTATTTGGCGGCGGCCTTTTGGCAACAAAATTGCAAGCGGAAACGTGCCTTCGTAGGTAGCTGGAGCCAGCATTGCCATTGTACGGAGCGAGGGACCACTCCATCATGCGTGAGGCAATAGCTGTTTACAAGATTAAAAGCATCAGGCTCCAAACATAAAAAGGTAGGATTGGTAGCATCACACAAATGGAAAGAGCGATAACCCATATAGTTTTCGCAATACTGGTTCCGCTCACCTGCAATAGACACGAGAGTCATCTTCATACACTGCCCGTCGAAAAGTGATGAGTCAGGGTTATACAAGAAAGCGTTCTCAATATCAGTAGCAACGAGGATCAAGGTACATGGTGACAACGTCCGGCTTACAGATACGAAGCTATATCTAAAATATACAGCGAAGGGCCTTCACCACGTCTTGAGTCCTCGGACGGTGTAGAACGCCGATTAGACAGGGCAGCGACCAATGCTGGTGATAGTCTGTCGGGTACCCATGCAGGGCGAAAAACTCAATAAATCAGAGCGAGACGACGAGACGGTAGACTATGTAAGTAATGTTCCTTGGAAAATTTGGCAAACTTTTCACAGCATTGATGTGCACGCAGGGGACTCAGGGGTTGTATTTGTCAGACAGATCTGCTAAATTGACCCGAAAGTGTATGGCATATGAATAGGGGCACAGTCAGGCAGCATTCCCATGTTTAATCTCGCCCGCACAACACGCTCAGCTTCTACCAGTCTGTCCTATAATTTGCATCAGATCTTTTCAATGGCCGAAGCAGCCCGGGAAGTATCTTCTCAAGATTCACAAGAGTCCGTGTCAAGTGCTCGAAGACAAATGGACGAAGATTGGCCTCCACAAGGACTAGCAAACGCTTGCGAACTCTCGAGTGGGTTCGAAACTTCCACCAACGTTCAACGGCCAAACCGACAACATTCATTCTGTGACCCTTCTCTGGACCACCAGAGACCTATGTATCAGAGAGACGACGAGGACGAGCCGAGACAGCCTTCGTATGCGCAACTGAGAGAGACACCTAGAGATGACCTGTCAAATGAGGAATCAGCATCTATATGCGACGATAGCGACAAGGAAAACACACCACCGGAAGCGGGATACAAGGGTGCGACGTTTCATGATAAGCTTCGGGGGACTATAGAGTGCGATATTGGTGATAATAGTGTCGGTCGCTGTGTCAGCATCAGCATCACTTTGCCAACTCCTGAGAGCACTTCCAGTATCGACTTGAAAGTCTCGGTCGGACTCCGAAAGGAGAACAGACAAGGTCGAGGCAGCAAGCGAAACGGTAGATCAGGCCGGGTCTCCAAAAGAAGAAACAGGGCCTCAAGTACCTACAGCGGAAGGGCAGGCGGCATGAGAGACAGCGGAGATCGTCTTTGAGATTGATGCAAGCTGCTACCAATGCGGTTGAATGACTTGAATATCGTCATGGTGTGGCCGTCCAAGTTTCATTCGAATGAATTCATCAAGTGTTCCTTCGTGGTCGCGAAACTAGTGCAATGTTGAACAACTTCAGAGGCCCAATGCCTTGACCGAATAATGAAGGTCAAAGCCTCGCGAGATTTTCAGTACGATGACAAGCATCATACTTTCAGACAGAAGCACCGTGTCGCCGCCACATTCATGGTTCATCCAGGTTGAGCATTCGAATTGTGTACTTCGGAGAGTTCTTGGCTTCCCTTGACTGACTTACGAGCTGAGGCATCGTCTGTCAAGCGTGGGCACGAGGCTATGCATCTTCTAGCGCCGATTCACAGTTCATTATTCCGGGTCCAACATAGTAGAAAAGAGAAGGGGTAAAAAAATAAATTCACAAGAAAGCCACCAAAAATCAGGAGCACTGTCTTTTGAGAGCACCGTCACCCTCACCGTAATTGTGTGCATAGAGATCCTCGAACACAACCCTTGGAATCTTGCTGATGTCAAGACGCTCTAGTATCTGTATGAAAGGCGCGAACTGTTGGTTGAAGCGTGGTAGCAGGTCCGTTGTGAGGGGTTCTTCACGCAAAAGACTCGGTGTCACGCATCGCTTGCACAAGAAGCCACCATGACGGTCTGCGTTGTCGATAACATCGATCAACGGCCAACTGCTAAGGCATTTGGGGCAAGTATAGTATCTCACGATCTCTGTTGATGATTCCCGCTTGTTTGTACCGAGAATCCGGCGTCTTAATTCGTGGATAATGTGATGAATGGCGTAAACGGCTTGGTGGTAGTCGAGATAGACGTATGACTCATCTTCGTTGAGCTCACGCCTGAGAAACTGTCAATGCGGGCAAGAATGACACAGGTTCACCAGCTCCAGGGCTAGCTAGATGCTATGATGAGGCGTGGTGGACTGTTATCTAAACGCACTCACGTACAAATGAGCCTTGCCCGCTCCAGCTCAGCGCAGGCCTTTCTCAGCGACACGTGTTCAGGCGTGATGGATAAAGAGCGTAGTTGAGTCATTGATAGGCTAGATGTAAGGCGTCGTGAGTCGTCTTATCGTGATCTTTGCGTCTTGGGGACATACATTTCGTGATGTGATAAGACCTCAATTACGATGGCTTGTTCGGAGCTGTAGAATACGCGCACGGCTTTCTTGACGAGTGTTTTGGCGTCATCCATGGCGAGAGTGTTCTTTGGCGTTGTTGGCTTTGCTGCTGTTTGAGGAAGTCATCCACGTTCGATATCGAGTTCTGCGTTGCGTTATGTGAGCGTCTCGCCATCCGTGTGTTGGTGGCTAGGCCTACAACGATAGTTTGCATGACTACGGGGGCATACCAGCCATACTTCACCTCTTCAACAGAGTACCTAGAGCCTCAAGATACTACATTTCTGTGACTACTATCTTAGCTGTATGAAGATTCGTAACTTACAGGACAAGGCAGCGGGAGATGAGCCTGCCGCTAAGTGTGAAGCAAGTACACACACTCAGGCAGCTATTCGTTATGCAGCTCTCAACAGGCGGATCCGTGTCCAGGTACCACCGGAATAATCGGTTATAGCATATTAACCAAATGATGTTTACTTACCTTCTGCTTTATAACCGGGAAAGTGGGATCTGAATGGGTGAGCTCGTGACCTGAAGATTCCGGTTGCAGGATCGTAGCCAACGTCTAACATAGTACAGCCATAGTTAGTGATTCCTGTGATACAATGTAACATAACATCATTGCCACACGCGGCGTTATGGTCGGATACCATAACAAGAACTTCCTTGGGTGGTTGCATCAAGGCCAGATATCCTACTTATGCTTCTAGTCGCTACTCCCGAAAACAGACTTTCCGAGATCCGACGTCATTTCAGCCTTTCGTTTTAGAGTAAGAAGCACTAACAACAGGCACTATATGACCGAATGGTACCTGCAACGTCCGACAGTATCTCCTACTCTGTTTTTAGCGCATTATTAGAAAAACCCAATCACTCACCAACCAAGACGATCAGAGGTTTGCAGGGGAATAGAGATGCCCTCCTCATTACGAGCTGGGTCAGAGGCCTGCCCCATGCGACAACGGTATGATCACGTCCCAGCCGTTCATGTGAGGAACGATCCAGCCCACGCACTTTTCGTAGTGGGCCGCCGCTCAGCAACGTCTCCATGATGGGCACCTCGTTGATGCTATCCTTGGCAACGTCTGGATCATGAAGCTGATTCAATGGCGCAGTTTGCCTGAAGTCGATTTCGCCGCAAATGTAAAGACGATTAGTGGGGTGGCTTCCACTGTACTTGCGGGAATAACGGAATTAGTAGGAGTAAGAAGGAGAGTGGCTTCTATCATGTCACGATACATCTTGGTCGATTGCCTTTTGTATCTGGGAGGGGCCGCGGTCCGTACACCTCACTTCGAGTGAACATGATCTTCCCTACTCATAACAAGATTTTGAGCCTAGACGGCTGTTACGAAATGGAAAACGAACACTACACCTCATCGAGCTCGCCACGCGGTGAAGTCGCGCCTTGAGCATTCGAGGCTCAACGGCCGGTATCCGCTTTTACTAGTCTCGGGGTTGAAAACGACGTCGGGTCATCGCTAAGCTTCGAACGAAGAATAAAGCTGATATCGAAGAAATACTGATGTCCGATAACCCTCCATCTAACTTTCTTCCGTATTGCTGGCTAGATCCCCGAACTAAAAGTGCCTCAGATGAAGTGTGCATAATGTCCTGCAGCTGCAGCTTGAGCTTAGACCAGTTGTGACTATATTTTCGTTGCCACTGAGACGAACCGTCGTATTAACCGCAAACGCACCCTCCGTGTGAAGCTAGGCATCTCGACAACGTAGCGACCACTGCAATGAGAACCTGGCCGCTCGCGACAGTTGTTGCAACCGTTGTCCAGGCGATGTGTAGTGACGAGATTCGTTTGATTACGCTGGCAAATACCATGAGGAAGTGTTAGCTCGCATACCTGGCGGATTGGCTCACACGAGAGACAGTGTGGGCACTTGAGGACGTGGACTGTGCACATGGCGGCTGTGATGACCATTCACCATGCAGGCTCTGCAGGGACAGCTTGCTACGATGTGAGCCCGGTCTTTTCGATGAAGATATACCTTGTGCGTCTTGTGTGGTTATGTGTGCCAGACCCGTGGGACTGCCAGCGATGCCGTATGTTCGGAGCAGAGTACGAGCCGACTGTCACTCCTGGCATTGCTTTCGCGCTGTGTTACCGGTTATCCTGACCATAACTAACAACTCAGCTGAATTACTTGACATGCTTCAGTATCTTTTCAAGGCATCTCTTGATATACGGTAAAGGGATCTAAATGACGCTCAATAACAAGAGACATGAAATGGATAAAGCCAATCACATTATGAGGGTTCCACAGAGAGCAGAAGTATATCAAAAATCTACATATATACGACCATCCACACAAGAGGGTCATGCATCCCGACTCTCGACTTTAATCCGTAGAGAAGTCGAGATTCATGCGATAGGAGATCTCGTACAATGACGGCTCCACCAACCCAAAAAAGAAAGCAGTCCAAAAGAAAACCTTACTCAGAGTTGATCCGCACAGCACTTCTTCGTAACAGAAACAAACCCATGAGTCTCAATCAACTTTACGACTGGTTCGAATCCCACATGGACGATGGCGTGCCCTGGGTCAAGAGCAGCATCCGCCACACTCTCTGTGTACATCAGGTCAGTGCTTCAGCCTACGATCATTATGTTACACAGCGATGGAATGGTACTAGAGGGCCTGGTGCCAAAATGTTCGATCTTGCTTTTCCAACATGACCAAAATTCGCACAACCCACCAGACACATCTGCTAAGTCATGCAGGCTTTCACCAAAAGTCAACGCGGACGGTCGAATTGGCGCCTGTCGTCAAACCTGCAACATAACGTTCAATCGATGAGTCCGCCTCAAAGGTCCGTCACACCATCTTTTCACCCCGAATCCTCTTCGAAACCAGGGTGGAACGAGACCACCTTCGACGATCATTGGTTTGGAGTCCCTCTCGAAAGTATACCCGAGCTAGATGGAACTTCAGCGTTTGCATCGCATATCCCGATGGCCACCGTAGAGGAGCAATCAGTCGTGGATAACCCGGGTACAGAATTTCAACTGCCCCCCTCAGTGGTGAGTCGTCGCCCCATGTATATCGCATCATAATTATCGTGCCAACGACCAACACCACACCAGGTCTGCTTCTCGTGCCTGCTGAGTAACGATTCGCAATGTGACGGCCAGAGCCCTTCTTGCAATCAATGCTTGCAGCTTGGCTTGACGTGCGAGGAACGACGACCCAATTTTAGCGGCAGATAAAATGTTCCTCGGGGTTCCTCCTAACGTTGTGAGCCCGGGGGTACCTCGTCCAATTACCGTTGATATAGGACGAAACTCCTAAAATAAATAGACGTTACTCCTAGGAAGCGTCGAAAGACAACAATAACCGATTATGCCCTGTTTTTGCTGCTTGTTTTTGGTCAGTGTCATGAACAATGTGATGAAGAACAAACGGTTGCTTCGATGTACAGGGATCCACTAAAGGCAGGGCACGCGTGATCCCACCAAGCCGTTATCTTATTTAATTAGTGGGAAAGAGAGTGGGCCTGACGTTTCGGGATGTGCTGCAGCCCCACAACAAGTTACACCAGTTACAGGCCACCCCCGAAACCTTAGCACAAAACACGGCAATATAACATATAAGCACCATTTATCTGGGATTTCTTCTCTCTACGTCATTCTACCTATGGCAGACCGACTTGGGCAATACGGCATACCTATCTAGGTTATGCTGTTATTCTCTGGCGTGTTAACGGCCTATGACAGACCCAAGAGAAGATGCCGATCAATCCCGCAGCCATTTCCGGTCCAAACCCAGCCCTTGTTGTCGGCGAGACCTGTAAGTGGCTGGAGGGGTTGCGAGAGCCGTGCTGAAGTTCAGTCTTTTAACGTCCTGTGATGAGCTCTAGTAGATAGACATATTCTGTAATGCCTGAGATTTTTAATCCGTCGTCTTTATCTCCGGTTTAATCTTCCCATTGACTCGTTGCGAATCAACTGCAACGAACCACCATGTTCGCCGCCGCAAAACTCCATAGCGTCTCGTGCTTACCCAGCCCTACCTCGAGACCGAAGTGCGGCCTCCACCTGGCTGGAGCGGATCTGGGAGTACGTCTGAGCGGTGCCTTTGGCACCAGCGTCGAGTAGCAAGTTCACAGCCGCGAGGCTGTCGTTGCGCACAGCAAAGTAAATGGGCGGCCTGCCCCATTCTCCAGGCATGTTCGGATCAGCCCCATTCTTCAAGAGCAGTCTTGCGCATGCAAGGTTGTTATACAGAATTGCGACGCCCAGAGGCGTATGCCAGAATATCTGTTGTTGGCCTTCCTCGTTGATCCACCCGCTGTTCTGTGCGTTGATCAGAGACATGCACGCGCCTCTGGTGCCCTCTCCGTGGCCATCGTCACCACGCCCAAGAAAGAGTTTGAGGAGCGGGTACCCTTCAGTCTCGTTGTCTAGGTCGGGCGGGCCAAGATCGCCACACACGGTGTGTAGAATCGTGTCTCCAATCCTATCGCGCAAGCTGAGATCCACTCCCCTAGTGAGTAGATCGCAGATGACATCCAATTTTCGTACGTGTCCAGGTACGTGTCCGGGCTGTGGGTAGGCGATATCGTCCCGGAGAAAGTCACGAGCCGGCGTTCTGAGCACCGCATGGAAGATATAGTCATCGTACGCATTGGCAACTCTGCCTGCGAAGTTGTGGGCGGGGTTGTAAGCTAGCGTGCCGATCATCTGCGTGCCGTGGAGACAAGCGTCGTAGAGGACCTCGGAATTGGCAGCAGACAGTGAAACACCAGCACGACAGAGAACCTCGACTTGCTCCAGGCGGTGGCTTCTGACGGCTTCAATCAGATCGTCCTCGGCTGACGGGTGAATCGTCGCTTGACCGGAGGACCACGAGTCGGTCGGAGAGCCGACCAAAGTACTATCTGATGTTGAGCTTGCCGGCGTCAATGGGTTTTCCCGGTGCTCTTCTTCCGGCCAAGAGCTACTTGGAGTGGCGTCTGCAGTGTCCGTGTGGACGCCGAAGTCATCGGGGCGGAAAGCACGACACCAAGGCTCGACAATTTGTCACTGTTCAGGAGTGGCAGACTGTTCTGATCTTAATACAGTTATTCGGGGCTGCTCTTCAGTATATATGTGGTCTCCTCCAATTCAACTAGCATCTTTGGCCTGAAATTAGACCAATGCAATGAAGTTAGGCTGGGTTTGTTTTTCCGACATCAGGCCGCGATCGTTACCAACGACAACAGCAATACCCGCATCGGAAGAATCTCTCGTTGAAGCGCATCCACTATCGTCATCACAAGCAAGCATCATCAGTGGCCAAGCTCTTGCATATACTCTATCTGCCGTAGCTATACTAGTCGCAATCGCAGCTTTTGTTTATCTTGTTTGGCAGAAACGCCAACAGCATGTACGCTTGAGGCTGTCAAGCGGCAATGTCCAAAGTTCATCTCCAATTCTCACCAAGATAGGCATTACGCCTAGACGTCTTCCACAGCCTCCGCCTCGGAGTCACAAAGTGAGCACATTCATCCCTCGCATTAGCAGCGGGCCTCGACATCCACGCTCAAACCATGCTTCTCTCGTGAGCTCGCGGTCGATGTTGTAGAAGCAAAGCAGAGACGAGAGGCAAAGTAATACTGAATAAGACGTACACAGCTCGAATGGCGGACGACGGATAGTACAGACTTAATAAAAGTGGGGCCATAATTATGTTGCACTGTAAGGCGACTCCATTCCTTTGGGTAGGTTCTCTGGCGTTTCGTTGCTCTCATCCTTTGTGAGAGACGTAGACAAATCCGATCAGCATATCGTGGTTCCTGGTATGCTCTATATTTATGTGATTCTAGGGTTACTATCGCGCTTGGTTCAAGTTCGGGGTTACCGCCAAAGGCAAGCGGAAAGCAGAAAGAAAGCTTGCGTCATTCCCATTGAGACAAAATCGAAAATCCACTGACGTTTTTGTTCTATTTCATCTGGTCTTTCCTAGTAGTTAAAATGAACATCATAAAAACAATCCAAGCCTTTATAGCTGCCACGTCGCTTTAGCCGACTATGGCGTTTGTGGCTACGTAGAGCAATGGATTCGCTAGTGTTCTATTACGGTCCAGTCAGGTGGGTTGAGGTTCAAGTCTAGGGCAGAAAGACAAACAACCCATCCCCGCATCCGTGCCGACTCTCAGTTCGCACACACGTGAAGTGAAGTTGCCATCTATGTTGCTACAGGTGGCAGGTTAGAAGCTGTCTAACTGCCCTGCAGGAGGTCAAACGTTGAATAAATTAGTTCGCATATGCGTGCTATTCATAGCAAGCAAATTTATTTTGATTCACGATCGTCAAATCTTGGTATGCCCGATGAGTACCGGAGATCACTTGGTACACTTGCCGTTTCCCCTTCCCACAATTTTACTCAGTATTCCTTGCTATGTACCATGGCCTACATCGGCGAGCCTGCAGTAGAAAACCCCTGGGGGATCCTATGAACAGTGAAAATATATCGTCACATTGCGAAAGCCACACGTGAATGTGGCGTCTTGGTCGTCGTAAGCGTAGCTATATGCGTCCGGACACGTCTCCTTAAACCACGGATTGTTACCCTTGCAGGTCGTCGCATCGTATATACCCCTGCAACAATACTCGTCTGTCTCGTGTACAGCACAGTTGGAATAGCAGCCGATGGGCGCGTCACCTGTCCTCGGGTCAGTGATCAGGTTGGGTGGGGGACATACCAGTGACTGATCCTCGGGATCGATGCCGAGGTAGGGCGGGGCTATGCAGGCGATCGCTTCGCAGTCATGGTCGTCCGGTACAACATGAACGCCACATGTAAAACTGTCGACTACATGACGAAGATGAGATTGGTGTCTTGGGATATGTCAGATGTAGATGCAGGCTCACCTAGGCTGATGTCGTAATACATCTTGTCTTTTTGTGCGGTGATTTCAAACAGCGTAGTGCCGGTAGATGAACGACCCCAACAACTCGGGTGACCGCAGTCGCCTAAAACACAGTTCAATCCGCCGGCTTCGCAATACTGCCTCGCCCAGACGCGTCCCGACCATGGAAACGAGCTGAGATAGATTTGGACCTGCGAGTTAGCTTCCAACGCAAGGCCTTCAGGTAACGGGTCTTGAGAATAATCGATAACTCGTCCATCGACAGATGACTCTATGAACGAGCCTGAGCCTTCAACTGCAGGCCAAATTGTCTGGTTCGTGGAGTTGTTGACAATGGTTAGAACCAATTGCTGCGCATAGAGAGCTACAGGAAAGAGTAGAAAGGTGAGCATCATCAATAGTTGTTACATTCCAGGAAAGACGGCGCTTTTGTAAAAGTCTGCACATATTCACCCGAACTGCAGACTAACATATTTGTTGTCAGATGCAAATGATTCGCCAACGAAAATCAGAATGAGATGATGTAAACGATACTTGTTATTGTTCTTGACAAATCACCAGCAGGTGGGATGCTAAAGTTTTATGGAGTAGTTGACTCGGGGACGTTGAGACTGGAAGGACTTGGGAGATTTCGCAGCACATATATATATGTATATACGAGAGCGGTCACATACTGCTATCTTCGTTTTTTGTCTGCATGCAGAGAGCCCTCCATGAGAATCGCAACGTCAACTCCTATGGGGGAGCCACTTGGCTCGGGATCATTTGGTACAGTATACAAGCTTAGAGGTCTTCCCATCGCCCGCAAATACATAACACTCACTGAACCTCGTAACGGCTTACCACCTGAGGCTATACGGGAAATCGCTTGTCTGCAGCGGTTGAAGAAATTTGACTCGCGCGCTAGAGTCAACTGCATTGACATTCTCGGCATCCACATATCGAGAACGGCCATAATGATTGACATGGAGCTCATGACTGGCGGAACTCTTGGCGACCTTTTGGACAACTCACAGCTACAGCCCGCGCTTCTCCTATCCTACTCTGTACAGATGGTGAAGGGCCTCAGTTTCCTTCACGGCGTTAGTATTATCCATCGAGATGTCACACCAGGCAATATTTTGATTTCATCATCGAACTGTCTGAAAATTGCCGACTTTGGTCTTTCTCATCTCATGAGCGGCATCGAACCGCGAACACCACTAGTGAGGCTTCTATGTCATGTCTGACGTGATTGCAGTTCTCTTACACCGTTGTCTAGGTATGTTCATTGTACTATAGAGCTCCCGAGCTTCTCCGAGTCAATGCGTTCGTCGGAGATACTCGTAGCTTGGTATATACCTGCGCTGTTGATAACTGGTCTGTTGGCTGCATCCTTCGAGAGATGATCATCGGACAGGGTCCGGAGTTCAGACCGGCGAGGCCGACTTTTTCGCCCACTACTAGTGCCATTGAACAGCTAGATGCGATTATTAGGTACGAGCTATGGAATACTGTTATACGTGCCGATACTAAGTGGCCATAGAAAGTTTTGCCCGTCTTCTGGCTTCGTTAACGAGAGACTGGCCATGATCTTCTGCGACTCAAGCTTGAAGCTGCCTGAGACCGCAGTCTCGCCCCGGGCACCTGCGTGGGTGATTCAGATGCTGGAAGTCACACAGGTAAGGCAGATGGTACTGCCAGCATGCTCATCACTGACTGTCTGTTAGCTTCTTTTGGTCCCGGATCCAGAGCTCCGTTGCACGGCAGAAGCGGCATGCAGGATGCTCGAGCAGCTAGACACAACTTAATGTGACGTACTTCCAAGGATGTGTTGAGAAAACACTTGCGAGGGAATCAGGACAACCGCGGGCATTATTGGGGAGGCTTGTCTAATCTAATCCTTGACACATACTAATAGGGGAATTACCCCGCGGCGGATGATATAGTCTTGTTTGGAGAAACCCCCTCCTATGCAACTCGTTTGTTATAACGACTAGAATTCTGTTAAAAGTCTCTTGGAAGTCTTGCAAAAGGCCCATTGCTTTTATCTGGACTTTGTTGTCGTTACCACTACCTTCTAGAAATATCAAGTCAACTACCACCCAAAGATGTATCCGAGTTATAAGAAGCACTGAGCCCTTAGCTGCGTATAGCCGGTGGCTCGCTAGAAGCACATACCCCTGCGGTCGTAAGCAATTTATAATATGTACTCACGTGTCACGAGTGGGCCGTCCCGCCAGAATCCTTTGAGGAAGGATCACTCCTAGACACAAATTCCAATTTCTCAACTACCTCTATTCTACATAATTCCATTTTTTCGAGAGGCTAAAGTAAAGTGGCCCGTGCATGAGCCTTGCCATCTAGGCTGGGCTGAGGTTGGGATTAATACCCCAATGATTGAGGCAAGGCTCGCCCTTTCTGCCGACTCTGGTGGCACCTTCCATAAACCGCCAATTACCTGTGTCCAAGCCCTCGCTATACTTGCCTTGTGCCTTGATTCTTCAACACACTTCTCTCTGCTGATATGATCAAGCCAATCCAGTGCGGATGCCATTTCACATCCATTCATTTCTAGGCAACATCAGCAGGGGCACGATGTGCTGAATTGTGCCAGAAGGCCTGTCACGACTTCGCCTCTGCCTTGCATGGACCCCTTATCCCGGCTGACGACGTCCACGTTCCCATTGGCAGCTTCGGACATGGTTTCATTCGCATTATAGCATACCATCGGATTTCTACGGCCACCAGCTGAGCGTGACTATGCCCTCCATCTGCAGCCTGTGGGGTCAGGCAGTGCACGGCAGCACGGCGAGGCAGACCACCAGGGCAGCATAGTACGGATACGCTGAAGATCTTCCGGTACCTCTTGCATGGCTAGGCTGCTGACTGTTACTTCGCTGACACTGCCACTTTCCTAGAATTGCTTGCTAAATCTTGAAGTCTATACGAAGCTGTTAACCGCGCTCCTTCTTCCTACTTACGCACCATTGTCTTGTAGCACAGCTCCCCTTTCTAAGCCACGATATATTATACTTTTTCCAAGATTCTCCAATCGGCGGTTTACTGCTGCTAATTATCCTTCTTTGTTCACTGTCATGTCATCCCCCCTCGCCAGATACGAGCCTACGCCACGACCATATCATAGGTCATCAGGCCATTTCAGATTTCTGATACGGACGTCGCAGAAACCGCACATACACGTGTTACTCTCGGTAAGTTCGCCAACTCTAACGAAAATTGGACCAAAATTTCCGATCTCGCCGAGCGTCGTAGGATCCAAAACCGTATTCCCCAACGCAACTACCGCAAGCCAAACCCAGTCATTGCGGCGCTCAGCCACTTCCTACATGTACTGACCCTCCCATGTAGGCAAAAGGCTGAAGCGCAAAGCAGAAAACACCGCAGCATCCATTACTCCCAATTGGTCAAAGGCAAATCTGAAGTCGCCAACCAAGACGCAGAAGAGGCGTACCTCCGTAGGCTCCGTTAAGCAGCCCAAGTGCTCTTCTCAACTGCACGCCGACAACGAGTTTCGATGACAACAATTCCCCCTTGACTTCTGCGAAAGGTCAAGTTCCGGCGCCACTCCAATTCGAGTCAATCCAGTTGATTCTTCATTCGATCATTCAATCAATATCTCTCCTTGTGTCGGATTGGAAGTCCAATTCGACCTCGAGGCAAGGGGCCCGCGCAGGGGCCACTTACAGACCATACTTACGAGATCTACGGTCTACCTAACCTCCGGTTGGAACCTCTTTTTTACACCTTACGCAGAAGTTAAATATATATCGATTTTGACCTCTTCGTCACCCACGGTTCGAACCATCCCTGTGATAGGAATACCAACACCTTGTCACAGACAGTTGCTCGATTTCACAGCCTCCGCGCCATGCCCGACTGACTTCATAGCCGCAGATCCAGCCAAGTGGTACTCGATAAATCACCTTGACGGCAAACCAAGGCAGAAATTCAATACCGATTGTGGCTTCTTTTCATACTCTACAAACAGTGGCCATAGTCCGAGTATCAGTATGAGTGCACAGGATTCTCGGCACTCTTCATCGCCCGGACCGGTCGATCGGTTGGGTATGCCACCCCATGAAGCACCAAGATGTTGGATTGATGGGCAGACTAATCCCGTCGGTTCTCTCAATCATCCCGGCGCATTTCCTGATGACTTTGAATAAGGAAGATGAAAGAAACAGTCGTCGGCTTTATCGCTCTTTATTAACCATTCTGAGAGGACTGTGGGCGAAGAGGATGAACCGACCCGGGCAGGATTTACCTGAGACCGGAGTCTTTGGCGCAAGACTCTGATCTTTAGTTCTCTTCGATAGATCTGGCTAACAGTTCCGGCGCATTAAGAGTGTATAAGATTAGTCAAAATATTTGAACAAATCAATATAGTCCGCCAGCTTAGCGCACCTTTCGAGAAGATCCAGAGCAGGCCACACTTCTTTAATCAGATTCCTTCTCGCAGTCTAAGATTGCAGGCTTATGCTAAGACTACCAATGTCTTTTTGGTGTATTTGAATGGCTCTGATCGGACTTATAGGGGTCAGCGCGGCGTTAAGCCGCTGAGGTTCCGAAGTTCATCAGGCAGCCACATTCATCGTAGGTAGACGCACTTACTTCAAAGACAAGCATTAGCAACCTGTTTCGTTGGTGAAGCCTGAAAATCACCTAAGTTCGAACTTGTATGTGAAGATAGCTGTCTCTGTCAAACCAATCGCAGGCCTCAAAGCTGAAAAAGACTATTCTGAAACAAACTTGTCTAAACGTGACAAACATATCAATTATTATGGGCGAGCACCGGCCTTGGCTGGATGACAAAGCCATACCGCAGTCCCGAAGCTCGCACAGGACCGTTGACGCCAGGTGGCTGGCTATAATTAATTGCGAGGTCTGCGCCATCAGTGCCCTTACTAAGACTTTCTGCACAGGCGTTACTTTCATAAGAGAATCTAAATATCTTACGTATCATATGTTGAATACATTCGCTCACGTCACCAGAACCGACGACTACTAGTATATATATGACGGCAGATATACTAGCTTTGTGTAAGGTCATGGGAGAATCAACCGAATGCCAGTTCCCTGAATGCCCAGAACCAAAAGTCACGAGGGCTCTTCGAGGGACCCTACAGTATCACTACCAGAAGACCGCCAAGAAATACTGCGCCGTACATTCGGCGGCTATTCTTTTCAAACCTGGCCAATGTCGATCAGTTGATGATAATCTGTCCTTGAGCTTTTCAAGATGCAGCATTACCACGTTCAACAATGAACAGTGCAAGAACATGCTCAGACGCCAAGACGCGATATTTTCCCAACAACTCTTTGAGTTTACCGAAGGGATTTGGAGAGTCTGGCTCCTTTCTTGTGACTTACATAGGAGACAGCTCTCGAGCTTGACGAGTACCCTCTCTGGCCTCACGCGTCAACGACAGGAACAGCTGCATCAGCCGTTGTTTCCCCTACAATTTAAAGAGCTCTTGAGATACTATGATGGTGTTACGCACAAATTCCCATCAATGGATGAGAGAGCTCGTCGTTCGGCTGCAATGATTCTACAAAACTGCACCAATCTCAGCAGGCCATATGACTTCTCGAGGAATATCTCAATCTTGAATAGGATTGACTGGGAAATCGACCTGCCACTGAGAGATATTGCCATCAGTGGCAACGTCTCCTCTAGCGAGGGCACTGGAGATGACAGGGAAGCTTTCTTAGTCGACCAGACCATATCGTGGGGTTCTCTGACCACCATTTTGGTTGTTGAGCACTGGTATGACGAACTGCCTGTTGATGATGAGCTGATTGAAATCAATGTGCGAGGAAGAAGTCTTTTCTGCATTCTTGGAGCCATTCAGGAATTTTACGAGACGGAAAATCGTATAGAAGGCATGAGGCATACAGTGTTCGAAGGGCTCCAACTTCAGAGCGATGGCCGGTGGCATCTGTCCCTTGGAAGCTAGAATGAAACCTGGAGTCCGGGAATTGCTCTTTTGTATTCAGGAATAGACTGATGGAGATTGATATATGGTCGTACGACATCAGAGATCAAGGAACAGGTGCTCGTGGCGAACGCAGCCTGTGTTGTGCCGTTTCTCACCTGTGATTGTTTAGTTCGTGTTCTCTCAATTGCTCGTTTGCTGTAGCAATCGATTGGCAGAATTCGAAAATAGAGCAGCCAACTTTGCGCACCCCGATAATGCGTAATGGGACTGTAGTGATTACCTCATTGAGATACGGTCAATGCTTCGAATGGTCACCGTTCGTACGACGTCTCTTTACATATATCACAAGATAGGATCGGTATCAGCACTCAACGGCCACTCTCTCCTGCGCTGGATCACGTATATATCATATCTCTTTAGTATACAGACTACTTTCACTTCTTCGTTCTAGATGGATTGGTTGAAGTAACTCTTAAGGCACTTCGCATGTCTATTGCTGCTTGTCATAACTCGTGACGGCTTAGAACGAGGGCGAAAGTGCCCTCCGTTGCGAACATGGCTGTGAAAAGTTAGAAGAATTCCGAGAAAAACAGAAGCTTTCTCAGACTATCTAGCATGTTTAGTGATTCATTGACGGGGATAGAACACAACAGATCAGCGATTGAGGTTTGTCATGTCTTTTGATCAACCCGATCTAAGGGCTTAACGACTAGCAATCGCACCTAGCTGTAGTATTTCTCCCTAGGTCAAACTGTTCTACGTATAGTGGTAGTGTCGACTAGAGCCTGAGATGGGGACTTCCGCGCTTTGAGTGTTATCCCAATCCTGATCTCACCACCTTGTCAATCGGTAATAACTCCCTAGAGACTTATTGGCCGTCTTATTCCTAACATGACTATGATCAAATTTGATAAGTATGTCTTTGTAGATTCGAATCCGTTAAGTTATTCAACCAGACAGCAAGTCTACGATATCTTCACCGGAACGCTCTTCAAACGACGGGCGTCTCATATGGCGAATGGGGTCGGCAGACTGTATTTTGTGTGTTGTTTCCGCAACGTCGCTTAAGAGTCTTACGACCACTCACTCCCAGGTATTTCTAATACCCCAATAGGGATAGAACAAGTGGTAAAAGCGTCTTTCCTGCCTCATCAGCATCTGTGAAACTGCCTCTGGTAAGTTGTGAGAGTGCCTGCTGAAGGAGTGGATGAGGCCGATATCGCGAGGAAGAATATCAAGGGAGCCTTGATGCCTGTGTTCATCTGATAGCGAGTTACCGTTGGTGTCATAATGCTGAACTCGGCAGCGGAAATGACCATCGTCATCAAACCGTCCGAGAACGACGGGCCGCCTCGACGACTGCTTGATCGAAGTAGCAGACTTTGGCCAACCGAGACGTAGGGAGTATGTTAGCAGTAGGTTGTAAGCACGAGGGCTATGAATCAAAAACCTTGTGGAGAAGCCGAGCAATCCATAGGCAGTCGATACGACTGCGGCTTTCGACATGAGCACGATGTGGCAAGAGACTTCGAACTCCGGCTTTGACGACCGCGCTCGCTGGCCTGTCCGTTTCTCCAACGCCCTCCGATCTTTTCCTGCCACAATTTCTTGATTAAGACCGTACCAATTTGCTCGCCGACATATCTTGCGCAAACGGCGCCGGGGCGCTTCTCGGTACTGAGGCCTGCCTTCTTTCAGATAGAGCTTCATCCCTTCTACAATGATGAATATGGGGTCAATTCTAAGCGAGTCGAGATCGTTGAAGCCGCGGTATTCTACAGACGGTGGTTTGCTACGTATTTTATAAAGAGTATCGTATAGTTATAGTAAAGCAATAAATATTGTAATTGTTAGCGGTGTTCGATTCTCATACAATCGGGTTTAACCAAGTCGACTCCGGTAATCTAGTTTCTAATTGAATTACGATATTATCTCAGTGCTAATCAACTTTCACACAAATGATGTAAAACCCACCAGATGGTTTTCTTGAGCACTGCATTCCGTTAGCTCATTATGGACCGTGACTGGTCGAGTGCGTGCATCAGTGTTACACGTAGGTAAGGTTTATATTGGCAAGTTCAATGCGTAATCTCAAGCTACATTCATCACATATCCGTGATGTTATCAGGAATTGTCGGTGACAACCATAATCATCTTGTACTTTAGTTATGCTCCTGACATTACGTACTTAAGCAACACTTCAGGATAGGCGAGTGAGTAACTTCTGACTTGCTCATTACTAAATCTCACCCCTTCTTGAACAAGAGGTCCCTCAGCCCATTTGTAGCAGTTTGTTAACCTATAAAGCGCCTAGCCTTTGTTTGCCTCTACAAATCTTTACGTCAAGCTTGCATAGGTGGTCTTGACTATTATTGCATAATCTGTAGCTACCTACTTTGAACCCGAAACTCACGTAAATATAGTCGAGTCATCGCCATAACACCAATACAACACTCGAGCTGCAATAGCGGGGAAGTTCGTCAGCCATCAATCGAGAAAAAAATTTCTATATTTATACAGCTAGTTAACAGGTCTTTAGCTTACACAAAATCTGGCGTATGAATATGATATAGCAATACTTTAGTAGCTCAAAGCCCATGAAAAGTGCTAGGTTGCGCTCAAGGGATAACATAAATAGCATCAGAAGAGTAAAGTCTGCTGCCTAAGCTAGTGATATGTCATGCTCAAAGTTACGGATTTAGGTGAAAAGGCAAGTCTAGGTTGCTCATCGGCTTAGTCACATTATAGAACCTGCCCCATGATGGCACGGGAACCTTGCTAGATCGTAAGGAATAAGACATCATTCCCTTTTGCCCGACTGCAGATGAGTGTCAATATCGGCCATTTACTCAATTCAACGGGTAGTAAGAAATTCTTTGATACAAGTAATCCTATCATTGCGGCTGCCCTCAAGCTCGCTCACGGCGTCAGACCATGGGCGACATTGTATGATACAGAGGGATGATGTGACGAAACTCTCCCACTCAATCAGTAATGACCAAGATATAAGAATGATGGTCGTCTAGGGCACTATCAGCTCATAACCAAGATGAATAAGCCTTCGACCTATGCTAGCCCTGTGTCTCGTTACAAGTTCGGCGCGTTTGGCGCTAAACGCGGAAGCAAAATCTTCAAGGATAACATCAGAAGTATTGGTAAGCCAGACATACGTCGATTAGCTCGTCGTGGTGGCGTGAAGCGAATTAGTTACGGTTTGTGATAAGCTTCCTATCATACCATCAAGGATGACACTGACTGATATTTGGAGATGTCTACAATGAAGCTCGCGCCGCGATGATGTTATTTCTAGAGAATATCATTCGCAGCGCAGTCATGTATTGCGATCATGCAAACCGCCGGACAATCACGTCGCTAGATATCGTTCATGCGTTGAAATTGCACAAGAGGGTATTATATGGGTACGGCCACTAAACCAGTGGCGGTCCAAGAGTTATCATATCTGTAGGGATGGAAGTAAAAATAACAGCAGCGTCACTTCCGGCTGATACAAATTTACGATGTTAAAAATTCACAAGACGATGAAATTGTCACGATATCAAGTACGTGTGATCAGGCAATGCGAGCTAGCTTGTATCATTTCTGCCTTAGTAGACCGAAAATTGCAAACACCTTAGCCAGTCCTACTGCTTTTTCGGCCTATGGCGATCTTGTTCTGGCGGTAATTCATTAGAGTAGCATTCTCCCTCATCTTCGTGATGCGAAGTGTTAGGTTCAGCTAAGCCAGGATACACCAAGGCGAGCTGGTGAGCAACTCCATGTCCAAAAGCATACAGGCCGTATAGCGCTCGGAGATGGCTGAGGCATCATCATCGTCAGGCTCGTTTCGTGAAGCAGTCTTGCGGCCATCATATCGAAAAGTGCACGACAGTACAGCCGCTCGCTGTTTATCGGAAGATCACCGACTAAGCAGCATTGCGCGGACATGCAACAGAAGGAAAAGAGACAAGCTCTCCTGCTCTCGGGAACTATGCGGAGAGTCGTGAGCAAGAGAAAGCTCATGCTGTCCATTTTATCACGATTTGGACCCTCCTTCCATGTAGAGTTCTCGTTGCTTTGAAGAGACACAAAAATTTGCTTACTCCTTTTCATGAGAACGCGTAAACTGGAAATTGTGAATGGTTGGGCCCGCCTAGTATTGCAACGCAAGTCAATTCCGCCTGGGATCGACGAAGTGATGCTCTTGAAGGGATTTCTGCGCCCTGGAAAGGTGCCACAAAGCGGACTATGCACAGAACCGAGCGATTGACGTTGGCAACACGCAATCTGACTGGCTGTTGACAAAAGGACAACATGGGCATGATCCGATTCGCTGATTACCGGATGAGGATCATCTGGCATACCGAAAGGTCCACACGTGGCCGGTCTGGTATTGGTCTTGCTTCTAGATCTCACTGTGGTCTGTGCTGGACGTGGAAATTTCCTGGTACATTGAAACATTCGTCCACCACCTCGCGTAAAATTTGGAGGATCTAATAACATATAATCTAATCTGAGTAAGCCTAGAGGAATACTTTGGTGAGTCATTCTGGCCGTAGTCATGTCAGGTTGCGTGAAGCCAGAATTGTCAACACAAAGTTATGGCGGCAGTGGGATGTCTTGGCCTGTTAGCGGGGTTATTATTTGATCGCTAACTATCCTGGACACACGCTTGGCAACTGAAGAATGCTTACTTTCTCGATCAGAGTGGCTCTTCGCAAGCATTTCGCCCATGCCCTTCGTCTCTGTTTCGCTGCTCGGACGCGCACATCTGCGTAACGGTGTCATCCGCTAAGTCTTTTGAATAACCACCGAAGTCTTTGCTGTACGCTCTCGGCCCTAGGTCGGGAACCAGTGGGTGCAGTGCTCCTTTCAGTACTGCGGGGCCGGCTTTCCGGTCGCACAACGTTCCCGGCGCCCCCGCGTCCTACGTGATACGGCCGGAAACGATCTCTCGAAGGGGTTGAGTTTTTCATTTCAAGAGAGGGTGGGCAATCAATTGTTTAGCGTACTCGACGTCTAAACATGTAGAGAGGGAAAGACGTAAAGATATGAGAGAACCAGAGTCACTGATTCGTCTTCTTAAGACTCACTACCGGGAGGGGGTCTCAATACGGTTCACACGTTTCCATGCTGTTATGTTCCCATGTGAGGAACTCAATAAATAACTGTCACATCACGGAGGGAAAACGGGCAGGCGTTAGCAACAGCTGTGTTATAAGCAGTCAGGACTATCGTTCCTGAATCATCCGAGGCCCACCAAATCTTTACCCATAGCTTAAGCACATTCTTACCTCTATGTCGAACAAGTGGATACATCGATCCTCCCTACGCTAAGGATCATACGAAAGGATTTCGACAGGGCCATGCAGCTGTTCCGTGAACTTTCTGGCTGCATGGCACCTTGTCTAACTTCTTCACACGTTACTTGCCTGATGGGCTGCAAAGCATAACGGTAGCGCGTATCGCTGCGTTTCGATGCCATAGCTACTCCTCTCACCGAACTCTGTTCGTATTGATCGCCAATCACAGTTCATCTTAAATTCCTCTAAGATGGAAGATAGTGAACATCTCGATACCGTCACCTTAAAAATCGTGAGCTACTGAGATGACCCATCCCGTTTCCATAGCCCTCACTTGGATAAGGAGGTAAGTCTAGTCGATAAGAACAGCAGTATGAGCTCCTCTCAGGCTCCCATGCCTCTGTAATTCAAGCTTTGAACACATGCGGCCATTTCTAAGCAGTCTGAGTGCTTTTGGAGAGTCCAGACATAAGAGCTTTCCAGCCAGTGTCTATCACGAACAGATCATCGACAAAGCAGACCGTGAAACAAGATTTTTCCATGTAATCGGCAGGCCTTTTCAAGGGCGTGGCTACCTCGCTGTTTTCTCCCTACGCCTTGGTGATGTATATCTCGAAAGGGCGTCTCAGGTTAACGAGAGCGCATGAAAGAAGGAGGAGGCTCGTTCTCAGCCTGAATGCCTAGGATGAGGTGAGGACGGTTTCCCTCTCCCCAACTAAGGCAGAAGGGCGCGTGATAGACCGACTATGCGTAACGTTAGCTAGACTAGTAAAGAGACGAAAGTGAACTTGCAGGTAGAGAAGCTGTGTATGGTCGCATGGTGCGAGGCCGGCCCGTCCGCGATGTCGAATCTTTAGCCCTATGGAAGTCTCCTGTCCCATTAGCATAACTGTGCTGCTTTGGTTACGTTCGTTAGTAGTCAGTCTCTTTGTGATCTACTAGGTCTTGCTGGGTTACCGCCAATGAATTACAACAAGGCGTAACATAACCTTGCCACGCTAGCTTTTCTTGGTTTAGAGAATGTGGAATGTATTCCTATCATTAGTGGCACTGGAATGCCCACGAGCTGGCTCCCACTGTTTTCCCGTAGCCAGGTTGACACGCCGGGTCACGAACCTGATTCGGCTTGCGGCTGACAATTGCGTAGGATCAGGGGGGGGACTGCATCAGTTAGCTACTATGCTGCGATTCGCAACCCAAGTCTGTGTCCAAGAGTAGTAACACGTTAGGAAACCTCTGTCTCCAATTTGAAGCGCTCGAAGCTAGGTACGTCTTCAGGTTATTCCGCCGTTTAATCAGCCTATCCCGCTGGCTCCACAGAGCAGCGCTACATCTAGACACCCGGAGAGAATGCTGCGGTCGCCTTACAGATTAGACCATCTATCTAATCAGACGCGTAGCGCTTTGACTTGGATTATGCGCTTCTGATAGGGCCATGACAGTGATGCTGTTGGGAGTCAACAAATATTTAAATCGGGAAGTCACTGCACCCGCAAAGGTAACGATAAACATCCTCTTACAGTCCCATCTCCGACGACATTCAGCCCTTGAGCTATCAACAAAACAACGAACTTGCAAATGCATAAGATGCAAATTTACTTCGTCCTTTCCATCGCCGCTGTAGCTGTCGCCAGCGCTGCATTGCGAAGTACTGGGGTATGGCTTTTCAACCTTCCCCCCCACCCCCACATGCAACCATCCCGCTGACACCGTGTCGCCGCAGGAACTTGGCGATGCTCCAGTCGTCAAAAGCCCACAAGGCATCGTCTATGAGGCGATCCTTCCAGACAGGCCCTTCTTCAAGGCAGGTTCCATGACTAGAAACGTGCGAGGGACCATCACCGCCATGACAGCTCGGGATGGCAACGGCGTCGAGCTCACAGTCGAATTTTCGGATCTGCCAACCGAGGGCGGCCCGTTTGGTACGTTGGGAATCGTTTCCCACTGAATCACTTACTCATATCGGTCCGTTCTAACGTTTATAGCCTATCACCTTCATGCGGATCCAGTTCCGGAAGACGGCAACTGCACGAAAGCACTCGCGCACCATGACCCCTTCATCCGTGGAGAAGGTACACCGTGCGATGCCTCCAGGCCAGAGACTTGCCAAGTTGGAGACCTCAGCGGTAAGCACGGCTCTATCGCCGGCGACCACTTCCATCAAACATACGTCGATCCCTATCTTTCGATCGTGCAGGGGCCAGGCTCGTTTTTCGGCAACCGTAGCTTCGTGCTACATTTCGCAAACAAGACACGGATCACCTGCGCCAATTTCAAACTGGTCGAGAGCGCTCCGCCATACAACAACGGGACCGGCATTCCTAGTGCGGTACAGGCGACCAGTGCTGCACCTATTGCAACTCCTCATGACCACGTGCCATTTGTCGGCGCGGCATCGACAATGGGCGTATCAGTGTTTTTCCTGTGCCTGACGTGTACCGCGGCTTACCTAGTCGGCGATATTGGCAATATCTAAGTCTCGATATCCATGGACAACTAGATGACTTGAGTTTGAGTTTGCTTTTAAAATAGAAAGGGGTTCGAATGGGATATCCATCAGGCTTCCAGTCGCACTAGAATATGATTAAAATTCTGGTGGGCGAGAGTAGAGGGTGGCGCTTGTTGAGGCCATGTTCGGATGGAGGCATACCTAACGTCACTCCTGCATCTACAATCTGGTTTACTCGCTCGATAGATTCCTCTCCCCATTATTTACCACCCTCCCTCCGTACGATTTGTTAGCAGTAGACATTGTGGATAAAATCATCTTCATCGAGCGCTGAGATTAATACGACTATAGCCATCTGAAAATCTAATAAGGTTTGTTTTTGACTTCCTACCTGAAAACGTACATGATGTTGAAGTGATCAATGACCCGCGATAATGACGATGGACGGTGCCATTATGAGTGTTCGTGCATCGAAAACCAGCCAGAACTGGCTTTGAGTGCTATGAACTGTCGGGGTTTTCGCCACACCTTTGCAACAACACACGGCCCAACCAGACTCGTATTCCGAAGCAGCACGTGGCCTGACACCTTGGACAAAGCTTGACGATTCGCGAATAGCTACTCACCACGCTCCCTATCTCCGCGTACTATCGATCAGCCCGCCCTGTCGGGCATACAACCCAATGTTCATCAGAGACAACTCCCAAACCTATAGGCTTTGTTGGTATGCGCCTCTTCTCGTGACGATGCAAGCTGAATCGCCTTCTCCGCTGCAACCTCAGCTTCTCGTTTTCCTGTCGCTGCGCCAACCGAAGATACTGTTTACGGAGAATTGTCTGCTGAAGCGTATGCATTCTTTGCAGTGCACTGTTCACCTCTCCATTTGCTTCTGAAAGTTTATGTTGCCAGTTGGACACAATGATGTCCGTTTGATACTTGTGCAGTCTGCAAAGCGCTCGTTTTACGATCTCTCCGAGCTTAGCGTCCTCGAAATGAACGAAGCTGGCTTCTTCGAGATCGCTGCAGATTCTTTTCTTACAACGGCCGCCAGATTTGGCATGGCCTAAACACTCCCCTAGCGCCTTCAAATTTACACATCTCATAAACCCAGCGATCGGAAATAATCTGGATGCTATCATGATGCTTCAGGAAGAATGATTAATTGGTAGAACGAGCTTACTCTGAGTCCGATCAACTAGATCACCATCATATAAATAGTTCGACCAGGCAAGATGGGGTTGCTATCACCAGCGAAGGCTGTCAGACATATGTCCTTCATTAAAACTGCCATGACCGAAGCATCCATCTAGGCGACTAAGAATATGCGTTCATCGCGTGACGGTCATCTTATGCAATCGCTACTTCAAGCTTATTCCGCAGTTGCACACCAAGACTTGTGTTCGACTTGAAGCTCGTGATCTGATGGCCTTTCGCAGGTCCCACTATGAATAGTCGTCAGCTCACGCTCGCGCATTTTGCGTTTCCATGACTGTGACTTGTTCAAGGCTCACAAAGATCCATTGTGTCACGGCAAAGATGGCCAGTCATCTGACACGAACGAAGCCTTCGCAAAGTCAATATGCATGGCATGACAAAACCACACGGGCAGATTTCGCACCTTCTCAATCAGCCGTCTTCGTTTGTCAGATAGCACTTCGATAGAGAAATGAAAATAGTAGAGGTCACCATAACGGCCTAGATGTTGGCTTCGGCAGTCAGCGCAACATCGAGGATGAACCTGGTGGTAATGTGCGTTGAATTTCCATCAGCTATCCCTAGTGCGTAATTCCATTTGGAAGCTCCTCGATTACCAAAATGTCAGAAGTATATCACAGGCGTAGTACATGGTGAGTCAGATGGACAGCAATTATATCTGTCCATGTCATAAATATCTTTCGATCTAATTCTAGTAAGGCTTTGTATTGCTCACCATGGATGGGGACTAGAGCAGGAAGCGGATTTGTCAGAGCAGTCGACCCTCAGCACGCCTCTCTAGCATGGCCCCCACGGTGGGAATGATCTGTTTCCGATTACCTCCACTAGAATGCTCCACTCCAGGACCACACAGATCAACCACATACCCCTCTTTTGTCAGCTGGATACGTACGTGGATCAGGTTCGGAACAAAGCAGACAACGGGAATGATTGGCATCTTCTTCCCCATGGAATAGACTGTAATCTGCCAGTGCGCATTCCAAACTTTCCGGCAGGTGTGTTCCGGTCGAGGGGCGCTCTCCAACTTCCATGAGGGTCTACCATTCGAGTCTGTAGTGCCGTTCAATGAAATGTTTGGGACATCCAAGCAGTGCAGAGTCACGAAAACACCTGCGATAGGTCGTTTCTGCGTGTCGAGTACTTGCACAGTGATTTGCATAGCTGGCGAATTGTGACTTGCTGTACGTAGGCGATGTTGGAATCATTCCAAGCACATGGCGCTGGGACCTTTTGTACCCCATCATGGCTATGGCTATACTCAAGTTTAGCGGAACACGTCGCATGAATGGTTCGAAGAAACCAACGTGATCACTTATTCTGCGATAATTGAAACTACCATGGTAGGATAACACGTTATATCGCGTCCGATGTTATGTAAATAACGAGCTAACAAGTGCGAGTGGTGATCAACCTCTTACCAACTTTCTGCGCAAACCCGTCAATTTCTTGGCCAAAGAGTGTTCCAGCTCTATATCACATATGATCTAGTGCGTGTAATGAAGTGGGCAATGCATAACATCCACGAAAGTGTAAAAGGCAAGTATAACACTTGTCAAGGATGTAGCGTTCTCATCCTGTGACACTAACAACTTCGGTTCGCATACCGATACATCAGATATAACATCTCGAAGTAGATACCTTTGCTAAGCTGTCAGCTGCTATAACACTCAGGCCCGTGCACCTGCCTGCCTGACTGCCAAATGGCAGTTTTCCATGCTTTGGAAAAGGAGACGGCGCATGTTCGTGATACACACTATTGACATTGGGGTCATCAAGCATTAGAGATTCCGTTAGCAGGACGAGCCTCGAGGCCGGGAGCTCGCTACGACATTCTTTCAGCCCCACCTCCGACGAGACCTAATGGCTTGCGCACTGGCCCTTGGCGGATGTTCTTTGTTCTATTTCCTTTTCCTTCTTCAGTGGCATCTTCTTGTCTGCGGGTCTGTGATCCTGCCAGCGGATCGGCTCACTCAGAGGATCTTTCGCATACTCAAGGAACCGCTCTGCCCAGGCGTCGATGGAACGTTCTAAACCAATTCATTCAGGTCTCTGAAGCAGCTCGACGACATCTTGGGCACAACGGCCGCACGTGTCTGTCCATCCTAGAGCTACATCTCGCGTCGGTGCAACTTATTCCACCATCTAACATGCACGCCCAATAACCTCCTCATATCAAAAGAAATCTTCACAACATGTCATCCATTCTATGCCATCGCATATTTGCTATCCTACTACGTATGCGTGGATTTCTTCAATTAAAACTCGATGTATTTTCGCCTAGCTTGTATGGCGTTCCTGGGGCCTTTTGGCTTCAGACCTCGCGCGTCAAATCCTCTTGGGAGACGCCACCAGTATGCCCACATCGATCACGGCTGCAACAAGTGTACGTCGATACGACTTGACCGCAGTTGCCCCACATCACGTTGACAGCCTCTGCGAGGTTCTCCCCCATATTGACGACTTGGTGGTATGTCCCTGGGAGAGTGACTACCAGCTCTCCTTCTCGACAGATTATCTCACTGAAGTCAATGCCCCAGTCACGGAGAGCCTCAGTCGTTACGAGCACATTTGTATGCCGCACAAACTGTGAGCAGTGTGGCGCTGCGCGTTGAGGCCTACGGGCTTGTGCGCGCCACTGGAATGTCTCGCGGCATTTCTTCTCGAAGGCTCTCACATTCTCTTGCTCTGGCGTGACGAACAGCCATCGCTTGGGGGCACCCCAGCGTACCATGTTGACTGATGGCACAGCGAGGTCCTCTATATGCATGCCGCTTCCAGTGAGTGCATGTTTCGCATAGTACAGATACGGCGTCGTAATGCCCGGCTTGGCATCGTTTACGAAGAGGCTCTCGAGCTGAGGACCGCAACTCAACAACGACGACGGCTTACCAACCAGACAAGACCAGTCGCCAATATAGTAGTGGCCGTACATGGCTGTGCGTCTTTGTAGCGCATCAGCTGAGAAGAGGTTGTTTTTATTAAGAACTGCGGGCGCGTAGTTTGTGAACAAAACCATCTTCGGGCGACGATATGCGGTGTTGGCGTATTGTAAGTGAAACACAGCGTTTCCCCGCCGCGAGGGTTCGACCTTCGTCATGTAGAAATCCACTCTAGCCGTGTCGTCGTCTGTTTCCAGTGGGAAGCTGGCGATTCCATTTTTGGTAAAAATACCTGACGGACTGTAGTCGGCGATGCGGCAATGCCAAAAGCCTTTGGCTACTGTGTCTGGGTCGTTGCAAAATCGGGCCAACGTAGCACTGGTACTAGGGCCCAAGTCTTTCAAAGTGATAGTGACTGTATCAGAGGTAGGGGTGAGAGGTGATGAGATCGGTCGCGATGAGAAACCTAGCCTTTGCGATTTGTTGTTGGTATCCATGATTGTAATTGGCGTTCGTTGCGATGTTCTAGCTCGTGTCATACAAGGATATTCCGAAGTTGTGCGAAAGCTTAGACTAGGGACGGGGACTTAAATGCCATCAGCTGCTTTCACTTCAATCGGCTCTTAGTCAACAGATCCTCCTATTCAGTCATGCTTTGTCACGAAAATGTCTCCCAGACACAAGGTTACAGAAACACATGAATAAGAGGGTTTCTCTCTGCCCTACTTGTACACTTCATACGATGTGTCAAACAGCTGATTCCTAGATGACACTGCCGTCTGTTGGCCCCTTTGTTGATTTCGCAATATCTCACGAAGATAGACCCCTCTCACTACCTGGCCCATTATCTCATCACAGTAGTCGGCCCACAAATCGACGAAATGACACAAGCCCTTTATGGCTTGAGCAAAAAAAGATAGCTGTGACCCTAATCTCTGTTCTCTAATTGCTACGTCGCATCACAGAATGTCGAACAGAGCTAGGCTTAACTCATCTTCAACGCATGAATACGTATTCAAGGAAGGAGCAATCTGCCATTTTTTGCAAGACGACAACCTACTCGCTGTCTCATTGGTCTCCACCAATGCATAGCGTTATAAGCCACCGCTCACGAAGGATGTTGATTCGTCGGATCTCGATGACCGAGCTAACATCGACACCATTACAACAAACTCAACGTAAGTGATTTCTCACGCAGAATATTGAACATACCAGACCCCGAACTCCAGGATCACTTTAACTTGTATCGTTGGGGCAAAGACAGCACGTCAAGTATGTCAACCAAAATGGGGAGGTATATAGCGGCGATGACTTCGTTATCTGCTGCATTCATTCTATTTTCTATGCTTTTTTCTGTACATCCGTAGACGCGGCTCGTCGCGCAGCGTAAAGGATATAGCTGGCTGCCCTTGTGATAATTACCCAAGTCCCCACACATATCTACATGTCGATTTGTTGTTCTGCGTCAGTCCGTGGGTCAACATCTATGCTTTGCTATGCAACTGTCCGATAAGGTCATAGCGTCTTGCTCTCCACAACCTCGCGTGATTTTGCGGAGGAGACGATGCGCTCTCTAGTGTAATAGAGAACTCTCTTTACACCGCATTCCGGTGATTATTCGCTCCACTGCTTGCCGAAACCCTGTGCGGCAAGTTCGAGCGATAAGGCGGACGGGTTCCTGCCTCTCTGCGGTGCCTGTAGTGCGTATTCTGAAGGCATTGCTGCGTGCGGCATGGGCGTTCTACGATGGACGTTTGGTATATCAAACCCCACGATCTTCCGCTGCCAGAGTAGCTGCTGTTGCATGCTTTGTCTGGTTCGTTGTAAGTCGCGGACGAAGAGTAAGGTCGCGAATAACTTGTCCCATCTCGCTGGGGACGAGCCTGGGGGCCCGAATGGATCATAGCTGGGCTCTCATTCTCTTCCAGGTCTTGCTGCGAATCGCGTTTTTCGGCCTTGGTCAGAAACTTGTCTAGTCCCAGCTCCCGCAAAGTAGGAAGCGGTACCCCCGGCTTGTCGATAAAGTGGTGCAACTGGCCTCTCATCAAGAAGCTGGGCTGTGCCGACATGAAGGGAGTAATTGGCGTGTTGCATTCTAAACCTGGACGGCAGTGAATCATCGTTCTTGAGTCAAAACCACGGCCCTCAAATGGTGTTCCACAGCTCATGTTGACGATTTTTTTGCAGCGATCTTGAGAAGAAGCCCCGCGAGCGACGGAGACCGTAGTACATCTTATGCGGCTGCGGCTATCCAAGATCAGCAACATCTCGAAACGAACTTAAAGGGGAAAGGTGTCTTGTCTACGACGTGCAGTGTTGAAGAAGCAAGTCGCCTCATTTAAAAGCGTGCATCAAGCAATACCGTAGGAATATGTGGTACAATCGGTTGGCTTTCGTCAGTGGTGTTACTGTTATTTTTGTTTTCATCTACGAACACCAGCGCCGTAAGTTGGCATAGGAGGTCTAACGCTGGTTAGTTGGCCCACTTTCCCGCCGAAGCTCACCATCCCCCTGCCTCTAGCAAGCTTTGACGATCACCAACGCAATCGCTAACGGGTTTTGAAATCCTCCCCACCACTACACGTAAATTTGACGGTCACTGGACGACCGCGGCAAAGCAGGATGCATGATACTGCGGATGGCGATGCAACAGACTGATTTCATCGTCAGGATTCCCGTTGCTCGAATACATGTACACTGCAGAAGGACCCATGATCACATCTCAATGATTGTCTCCACCGTAAGTCAGCCAGCAATCCCGAATTGTTCTGTTATCCATTAGTAGAAGAGAGGTAATTGAGAACGAACTAGCTAGAATACCTTTGTTGTCAAGACGTGGCGATAACCGATTCCGTCCACAAGACTAGGGCTCATTCGTCCATAAGACTAAAGCTTATTTTAATGGCTCCGATCAACGCGTTACGTCCGACTATGTAGCCAAGCATCGTTATATGCAGCGCGACTCGCGTTCGACAGCCTCATAGCTTGAACTCAATAGTCAACTTAATCTCACATCTCGGCCTTTGCAGCCGATGATCACTGAATCTAGACATCATGGTACATGCTCCTCGTCATTGATATCCAGATTCGGGCGTTTAGGCAGAGTATCAAGGCGATATCAAACGTTATTCTCCAAGACAGTTGACAGTGGTGCTTGTCGTAAGACACAGGTGGCCTCGACAGCTGGCTGCGGTGAATGGCGTTATGTTTGCGATATGTGTGGTGTTCAGTATCAGGGTTCACGTTCACGACATTCAGATTACCTCTATGGTTCGTGTGCGGGTGAAAGCAACAAAGCAAGTACATTGTCCTGTTTTGATACGCTCTTGTCACAAAACATGGCATTTTCCAGCACCGAACTATCTACACTTTCAAGAAATATGTCGAGGTCAGTCCGCAAGGTCGTATGCGACCAATTCCAAGTAAATGACAGTGCTTGAACTACCCCGAGACGATATGGCGCTAAATGATCCATATAGGAGAACTCACAGTTTAACGCGTCAAAGACAGCCACCTGGTATATAAAGAAAATAACCTAGAAGGCATATTACCATGTCATTATTCTATGAGCAATATACCACTCCATCTAATCAGCAGTTGCTTCGAAGGCGCCTTCTTCAAGAAACACATCCCAAATCGACGATCTCAGATCCGGCAGAGCCATGTTCGACTCCACGGGGCTTTCCAGGCCAGGACATGCATGTCGGAAACACGCTTCCCAGCGGCACAAAACTTGTTCGCAAGTCCATTGAAGCCGTCTCATCGCAGGGCAGCATGGGTTGTTCCTCCTAGTTAGGTGTATTAGATGTTTCCGAAGGTCGCTTGCACACTGTTGCCATTCATCCAAGAATGAGACGATATCTTCCTTTTCTGGGATATATGGGAGGGCTGTCAGAGGCACGGTGACCACATCACCCTCGTCGTTTCGAGTAGATAATTTGGCTGGTTTGCCGCGAAGGCGCCCATTATTTACTTGCTGAGGTCTGGGAATTACCCCAGATAGGAACAACGAGTATCTTGACAGGCGGATGCTGGGAATAGGAAAGTCCATATTGGCCGGCGCTGTGCGTGTGAGGATTTCAAGACAACTGCTTGATTCGGGAAACTCAGTCCTCGTGGTAACTGGATGAGCACAAAGATGGAAATAAAAGGCTTTTATGGACGATCAGAATGTACCGAGGATGAATTGAGATTTTCAGCAAGTCAAACTAAAGACATTGGTGTGACTGAATTGCCATTCGTGCCTACACCGGGACGTCGTCCGCCCCTGTTATACCTGTAGCGGGCCTGATAATAAAGGAACGTTCAACTGATAACGTTTGCATCCACTGCATTCGGAGGTGGTGTGACTAACTATTGGTGGACATGTTTTGGGCATTGCCGTGACGTGAGAATTCGTGCCATATCCACTGATGTTAGGATTAAGGCAAGATTTTGTAGTCCTAACGCACTCTTGATGTTAGCAAGCACCACAGTGTCAACTATTATCGCACCACCGCAGAATTCCATTTTCGGTTGGTGGGGTGAATTTGCACTGGTCTCGTTGGCCTGATTGTAGCTGAAAGTACATATGAATGTTATGACGCTATGGAGACCCGGGTCGACGGGGGCACGGCAAAGGTATATGCGCTTCTTCGAAAGACGCGGAAAATTCGTTTCTAATAAGCTGGGATTCTTTTCTGACTATTCACTAAATTCATCTCTGGAAACCAATGCGAGGTTTCGCCACATCCACAGAATTGATAGTAATCAGTCGTGTAGAAGCCAGAAGAAACATCAACTAGACAGGCAGGTTGACCTCTCCATCAACAATACCATTGGCCATACAGAGGCTCAAATCGACCCAAGGTGCCGTTGTGATGGGAATCATCAACGGACCCATCATCGGCCTCGATATCGGCAATGTCCACGTTACTCGTATGAGAGTCTTCCTTGCCTTTGTCCTGCCTATGAGCCGATTGGGCGGAAGGCAATCGAGATACCGTCTTCCACCCGATAGTTTGCACAGGTACATCCAAGATGGCGGCAACTCCTACGGCGCCTTCGTACAGTTCAAGCCCCCATATGCAAAGAAGCTCGTCTTGATGATCGACGTATTTCCATGACGTAGGACGAGAACCTTGGGCAATGAATGAAGATGACTGCAGTGCCTTGATGTCGCCTAACCAGCGAGACAAGGCTTGCACCTCCGTCTGAGCAATACGCACAAGTTCTGGGCTCGATTTGGAGCCTACGCAACGCAATAGAATGTTTTTTGAGTTTTGAAAGGACTTACGGAGTCTATGAACAGTAGTTCGTGAGTCTTCGTCAAGCGACTCGATCAATTCAGCAATCTCGCGATCGAGTGAAGACGCCATTTTCCGGAAACTACGACAGAAGAGTGTATGGGCGGGGTCATGTACAACTTACTCCAGGAGGTAGGCTTACAGCGATATAAGCCATTTCTAATCGAAATGATCGGTGCTTTCCCGCCCTGCTCATATAATTTTGTTGGTTAGTCTCAACGGCCCATTACGATATGTAAGCTCCGTGTGATGGCATTACGGCATCGGTACCTTGAATGAAGTCAAGGTGAATGATCATTTACAAATAACTCTTTTTCTCAAAAAAGCGCGCTCTTATCGAGAAATATTTTAATCCGATCGTCTCGTGGCACTTGTCAATTACGTCCCTCAGCCCATTTGCTGTCGGGCATATACAGTACAGGGTGCCTGTATGATAGTAATACTTGCTGACTATCAATCCTACTTTGATGAATTCCGATCAGCTTTGCGGTCTTCCTCGAGGCAACTAATGCGTTATTTTGTAAGAAGACGCTCTCCAAGTGTGTTTCAAGTCACGGAAGACCAACCAAACCTAAGCAATGACATAGTAGCGCATCTCTTGCCCATCGTGTCCTCCGTGGTCATCATTCTGAGCATAGCAGCCTGTGCTTTGTGTCACGAAATCGCCTCATCCAAGTAATGAGCTACCATAGCTAGACACAGATGCGAAAAGTCGGAACACCAAGAGAAGAAAGAGAAATGACTGACTTCAAAGCCAGATCGTCTCGGACCTAACATTTCCACAGTTTTTATTGATGCTTCAACCTATATGGTCAGGACTTGATAATCCGAATGTGTTTACGTGGTTTGTATGATCAGAGCTAGTCTGAAGCTCATCAAAACATACTAGAGCGATATCTGCCAATACGCCCTGATCTTTTCAGTGTTCATGCAAGCATGAAGTACCAGTGTAGAATATTGCCAATAGGCCGACTTGGACTACCGTTTTTACAGCCAGCAGCTCCATTCCACCCATCACAAAACAGCATTAAAAAAAATAGAAATGTTTCCAACTCTAAAGAATGCTCGACCTTCACTAAGTATTGCTTATGTCACTGCCAATTTGTAGCATAGAGCCTTGCTTCTCCGAGTTTGCAGATGTACAATTGTATCAACGGTGCCTGCATTGTCGCGGTGGCAGCTTCCTCCTGGTTAATCCAACGTTCTGCCGGCGCTTCGGACTGCGATGAGACGCCTCAACTGTGTTTAGCTGGCCACTGAGGTGGGTGACTGTCTGGTGCCAGTCGGACACCGCCCTTGCCAGTGAGGTAATTAAGACGCTGTGCCGTCGGAGACGAGCATAATTTGAGAGGTTGATCAGCAGCGAAATGGCGAAGGATACAACGCAAGCAACAAGAAGTTCTTCCATGGCAGTGTGAGTTTACATTAAGATGCGCTCACTTAAATATCTCGCAACCTGCCTACGTACGCCGCCGTGCCATTTCTCGCCGACGCATTTGATGTCATGGTTAGTCAACGGGAACTACTTTTATCTGATTGATGATGGTATCGAGCCGTCTTTGTCATCGCACTCCAACAATTGAACATGAGCCTTGTCTCATGTCGCTCGTCTCTGGGGTGCATTACGGCCAGAACCTGATACAGTTACGTCAGGTCTCGCTAAAACGAACATAACATGTCAATGACTCCTTCGGATCGGATATCTTGAAAGCTAGCCGATGACGAGAGAATATCTGGCTTCAGATATAGCGTCGGGAAATTAATTAGAGCCAATGTTATAAGTGAAGTCGCTGACGCTAGTAACCGTCATAACACGCAGTCGATTTTCATTGCTGCATGAGAGTCGTGCAATAGAACCAATGACATCACCTACGCACCAAATGAGTGGAGCTTAGGCGTTGGGCTTGTGGAACGGGTCGGTGTTTGGGCCGCAAACCAGTAACAATTGCTGGTAGATTAATCTTTTTCGACACTTCGGTTGGCCAACCGGAGATCATGAGGCGCTGTTAAGCGGATATCTCAGGGCATTTCTTTCAGAGTAAGCAGTAGATAGCGAGACAAGAGGCCGTTACAATCTGAATAAAGATATGGATTCCAATTTGACTATGTTGGGGGTTTGCTACCAAAGATTAAAACCTCACGTCTCACACATAGGCACGAGAGTCGAGACAACACGGGTCATTGGCCTATATCGCGGACTCTTTACTTTCTGTGGTTATGCTCTCGCTTTTTTTTTCTTGTTTTTCTTTCTTTTATGTTACGATCTTATGCTCCATCAACAAGTGATGATCAAGGTTTTAACTATGCAGACAGCGCCCGAAACATAACAAGGCTCCTCGGTTTGATTGCCCGTGAGAATCGCTCGCTTGCGGCTCGGGGTACGACGAAAGTCATCAATAAATCCGTCAGAAATGTCGAGTGATGCTTGAGCCTCCGCTATGCACTTCAGGTGTGCACCGGCTATTCAAATCCTTTCGAGAAGCAATGGAAGCTTGATCCAGGATTTTCAATTTGACCAACCACAAATCCAGTAAAATGGCTGCGACAGCCTCGGCGGAGACAAGCGACAGACAGCCTTGCTACGAGTTGATCCGTTGCGCTCTCTTGAGTCGTGACGACCGATCAATGACTTTGCAAGAAATCTATCAGTGGATTCGACACAACACCAAGGAAGATACGACTCCATCTACGTCCACGATTCGCTACAATCTCAGCATGAACGAGGTGTGTGTGTATCTGCGCAACGATTGCTTGCAGAAGTCCTTTTTTCCTTCTCCTCCCTTTACGGGACACCTCTCATGATTACTTGGCTGGCGAGCCTTTTTCTTTGTTCTGGAAGCTAATGACGGAAGGCTTTCGTTCAAACCTTCGACGAGCAGGCAAAATGGCAGCTTTCATCCCAATTCATTCACAAAATGTCACCCACAAGCTTTTACCACAGACAGTCCGTCGCCTTCGGCGGTATATCCCATAGAGCCATACGCAAACCGAACAATCTTCTACCCGCACGGAAGAAAAAGCGTCGTGGTAAAGATACCACAGATCTGACTGCGGGTAGATCCGTTGGCGTAATGCCTCATGTGAGCACCTTTGCAGATGGTGACAGTATCTGCGGTGCCCCGAGATGCTTCGATGAGCAACTTCCATCGGTGGGCAAGACTTCATTCCACTACACAAATATTTTGCTGATACACCGGAAGGTTTGCTTCCAGTGCCTGCTTGGTGGAAATGAGCAGTGCGACAAGAGGAGACCAACGTGTACCCGATGCTCAACGTTGGGCTTACCATGCGAAGAACAAGCGCCATTTTTTGAAAGCCGGAATACCGTGTCTCACCACTCTGTCATCTCTGTCATGACCATCAAGTAGTGCTTGCCGAACGAGGTCTCCGTCGGTGATCAGCGGTGTAGATGCAAGCTGAGTTTCAAGTAGTTGTGCTCATAGAAGAGAGTCCTTTTGACGAACGAAGCGGCCTTTCATATCGTTGAGCCATGGATGTAAATTGATTCTTGGAACAACTGAACGGTAGCTCATTACCAGCAGTCACAGTAAGCACGCGACGAGGTGTGTTGCTTGATATGATTCGGTAGTATAATATTCTTTTTGGGTTGCCAGCGGCATTTGATGTTGCTATGTGTTTTTCGTTGCCAGTCTCGGCGTCTACCCAGCAGCGTCAGATCTCTCGACTTAAACACAGTTCAAAGCTCAATTTGTATGGCAAGTAAAGTGGTGAGCTAACTGTGAAAGTTGTATTGGTCATTCTATAGCATTACACGGGCGTTCCGGATCACTCAAGCATATTTTGACGTGGTATCCGAGTTGACTTTTCTTCTCGGCATATACAACTTTCAGTAAGCTCAGCTACCGCTCAGGGTCGGGTCTGTCTCATCTAAAGTCAGATTAGCGCTGTACCCAAGCGCCCTGCTCAAAAAGACCGCCAGACAACATCAGCGAGGGAAGGCGCGGCTTACATGTACGTCTCAAAACTCTGAGGTTGATAAGAAGCAAGACTAGAACAATCATCGCCATAAATATTGCGAGCACAGAGATGATGACTGTCTTGTTCATGATGCCGGTGGAACGTACGACGATTGAAGAACTCCCGTGGTCGGCTCTATTAGTCGCGACTGTAATTAGCTTTTAGAGGAAAAAGGTGTTGCGAGTTGAGAGATCAATTCGAGCAAGTTGGAGTTAGAGTTGGTTATGTCTAGAAAAGTGTACTGGATCCCAGGGCCTGCAGGCGATTCCGTCGGCCCCCGTTCTTTGAGACTAACGCCAAGCAAACAGACGGTCGTTCAAGTCAGCTCTCGAATTACATTGGCAAGTGTGGACGCCACGGTGCATAGCCGACAGCTTTACGCTGTATTCTGAGTAACAATTGACCCATCCAATCAGAACGCGCTTCGTGTTATGAGCAGGCCAGGGAGGTAACTGTGGCACAAAGCAAAGACTTTGTTATGATGCCTCTGGCATCATTAATACCCTCTGTCCCGATTCCAGTAGCTACGCTAGCCACGTACTTTTTGTTTGGGCCATAGAAATAGAACTTGAGATCACCTATCCAAAAGGGAAGCCACGTGAGGCTTACTGTTATCTACCGCTTTCAGTTTAGGGTCGACGCTATTAGCCTCTGTAGTCTACGCATCAATCACCAAACATAGCAAAAAGACTTCGCATGGGGGGAAAAAAAGAACCAAAGTCATATCATCAGCTCAAAGACTCGAACAGTAGGCGGCAGGCTGGGTGATGATGAAAGCAAACTAATCACTCGCTAGAACCAACAAGAAACTTCTGGAAGTAGCTGGTAAAGAAAGTTAACCAGGGCGATATTGACCAGGCGCACCACTGTCAGCTCGACGAGACTTGACGATTCTAGTCTGGGGTCTCGCACGTTTTAAATTGCTGAAACGGTGCAGATTGCATTGGAGAATCTTTATAGACTACAGCTTTGGTCTGCTGGTGTATTCTTTGGTCGATTTTACAGGGTTCAATCACTGATACCCTCACGTTTCGTGACACTAAGTCGAAGATTGAATGTGCTTCCTTTCCAAAGTATGTTAAGCTAGATACCCCCGGCCGTGGACCCGATTTACTCTATACAACCATTCCGGTAACGTCACCACTATGCTATGGCGGCAAGCGTGCGAATGACTTGGTGATTGTAATCGGGGATATATTGCAAGAAAGTTCGTGAAGGAGCAATAGAATTGCGAATTATGTTGGTGTCCCTATTGAAGGGTAGTTGGTCGGGACCGTGGGCTGACAAAAAGGTCGATTGACATATTTGAAATCCTGCGTAAGGTGTGAAAATGTGGTTCCAACCGTAGGTTGGGTAGGCCGCGACGGTCGTCAGCCCTGCGCGGCCCCTTGCCTCAAGGTCGATTTGGACTTCCAATCCGACAATAAGCCTCAACCTCAGATTGAGGGACTAAAGTCTTGTCCTATCGATCAAAGATCCTATGATAAAAAACAAAACTACAAAACAGTTAACGGCCCTACGAACTAGCGATATGAGCCAACTTCGTTATTAATTGATTCATAGTGCCCTTTCGACGCCACACAATCAGTATATGACGTTGCAAGATCCATACAATACCAATGATTCCCCAATCGTAATTGACAATCTCGGAGCATGCACGGGCTGAGATATATCGGTGGAGCAAGAGGCGCTCAACATAATGAAAGCCACTACCTATGTTTTTGGTGTTGCCAGAGGGTTCAGTCATTGTTAGTCGATCACGTTATCTTTTTCCCCAGGTTCCTATTCAGAAGGACTAGACCTTAGCGTCTATTAATTATTAATGAAGGCATGAAACCGTGCACTCGTTGTGCTCACCACTTGCCAAAACAAGCACTTGAGTCTTCTGATGATTTATGGAGTTGCTACTATGGAGAAAAAGCGGAAGAAGGATACGAATGCAAGTTGATGAAACAAAAACGCAAGAAATCCGGGTGGTCTGTGTTGACTCGTGAGTGAAACTGCTATTCTCGGTGGAGTTGTTGCTCTGATATGCCCGTCATCGAAGAGAAAACTCATTCTTGATCACTGCTGAAATGTGTTGCCACACGTATCGATAAATGGCGTCTAACTCAAACTGTCCCTATGATGATGACGTTAAAATATAAGGCTTCTATAATGCTTATAGGCTGGCTTGATTGCTTCAGCTTCTTATTGACATAAAATCGAGAAATACCACGTAATCTGAAGGTGTAGTCGTATCACCTTCGAGTATATAAACCCCAATTAAGTTCCTCTTTTATTGCTACTGGCGTGCATGAATATGAATCATTGCAATCTATGGTTCATTACAGCTCTGGTAACTTTTGTGACTTTCGTCGCTCCTACTGGGCGACAGAACGCCGTCTACTTTCCCAACTGGTATCACAACACTGCTTGCTTGTGTTTGTTTTGATGCTGATTTCATCCTCTAGGAGTATCTACAGTCGCGATTTCCATCCTCAAATGCTACCAGTCTCTACAATAACGCACATTCTGTACGCTTTTGTCAATATCAAACCTTCAGGAGAAGTGTGAGTTATTTCCCTCATCCTCTGGCCTCGGCTGACAACCCCCGTTGCTGCTCATTCAGGTTCTCCGCCGACACATATGCGGATTTGGAGATGCATTACTCAACTGATTGTATGGCTATTTCGATTTCCTTTCCAGAATGTTGTCACATGTCTTTCCGGTGCTAGAACTGACTGGTAGATTAGCCTGGGAAGACACAGGCATCAACGTCTACGGATGCGTAAAGCAACTTTTTATCTTGAAAAAGAAAAATCGAAAGCTCAGGGTCATGTTAAGCATTGGAGGTGCAACTTGGTCAACCCAATTTGCCACTGTTGCTAGTAACCCACAGAGCCGAGAGCTCTTCGCCGAATCTTCTGTGATATTGATGAAAGACTGGGGGTTTGACGGCATTGATATCGACTGGGAGTCTCCTCAGGACAAGGTGGAAGCTGCAAATTTTCTTCTCTTGCTCCAAGCCGTGCGACGTCGCCTTGATGCCTACGCTGCGGAGCATGCCCCCTCGTACCATTTTCAACTCAGCATTGCGTCGTCCGCCGGAAGTGAAAAATACAAGAGGCTTGACCTTAGGGCCATATCGGATATCGTCGACTGTTTTTATCTCATGGGATACGATTACTCCGGGGCATGGAGTAATGTTACCGGGCATCAGGCAAATCTTTATCCTAGCACCTTAGAAGCACAGTCGACACCTTTCTCGACAGACGTTGCTGTCTCGGACTACGTAGCCGCGGGTGTGCCTAGTCACAAGATCATACTGGGTATGCCGTTGTACGGTCGAAGCTTTTACAACACCACCGGCCTAGGCCAGCCGTTTTCAACGGTTGGGGCAGGATCATGGGAAGCTGGCGTGTGGGACTACAAGGTTTTACCACGACCTGGAGCCCAGGAGGTTTATGATGCGGCCGTAGGCTCATCGTACAGCTGGGACTCCCGTACAAGAGAACTGATCAGTTACGATAGTCCATCGTCAGTACGACACAAAGCTGCTTTCATCAAATCGAAGGGCTTGGGCGGAGCGATGTTTTGGGAGGTCAGTGCAGACAGAACAGGCAACGCTAGTCTTGTCAAAACGAGCTATGACTGTCTCACTAAAAACGGTGGCATTGACTCGGAAGAAAATCTGTTGGATTATGCCAACAGTCAATACGCCAACCTCGCAGGCGGAATAGTAACCGGTTCCGCGCGCGGTACATAGCTTGATGGATGGGGCGTAGGGCATGATTTGCGCCGTTTTGTGAAGCTTTAGATAATCAATCTATCAAAAACATGGCTGATGAGAATCTGCAACAAGTATTGTTTCTCAGTTAACATAGTTCAAGACGTCGGGAAGCAGGTCACTTCTATTCCCTGCCTTTCTTTTGTATCGGTGTTTTGTTTATCAGCCTGACGCGTCGATAAAACTGGCCGACTATCGAGCATCTTATCATTCAAATCGAGACTCGTATTAAGATGCGTCTATTCGTGTGCTCGATGGTGTCATTTTTTTCGGTCTCTTTTGCCTGGGTTATCGTCTACCTAAAACAGGCGCACCTCGGGCTATGCTGGTCATAAGGCACCTATTTGTGGTCTTGAAGAGAAAGCCTACTACTTGGATAACGGCTGCCCTGGCTTAGGGGTGGTCACTCAGTGCACCGTTCGTTTCGGCTTGTGGCGCTGATAGTTGAGTAGCCACCGCTCGTTATTCTAGTGAGAGAGCATAGGCGCACAGAGACATAACAGCAACGTCCTGCATTGGCTAGTGAACAAGCCTCAACAAGAGCTGTTAGTAAGAAAAACTGCTGGACATGAACATATAGTAACCTGGTTGGAGGACAGTACTTCATGTTCACTTCATGACTTCCTGCACACTGGAAGCTGAAGACAGCTACACTGTCCAAACAGTGTGCGATTCCGTAGTATTCGTCACTTTTTCCTTCATGGGGAAGAGACTGTGCCGATGTGCCCAACGGCGCGGAGCAAAGATTATCAAGATGCAGCTATAGTCGATACTGGATAGTCATGAGCATGGCTAATCAAAGTAGCCGAATGTGCCGGTTTAAAGAGCGCTAGCTAGTGGATAAATGGGACAATGTGCCGCTCGCGTTGGTGGATGCTACAACTGATCGCCCCTTCCGCAGATCGAGAACGTGTAATGCAAACCATGGCCAGTAAGCCGTTTCCGTCCACCATGCTAGGTATTGGAGCCTCCGGATGATCTTGTACACATCCCGAACGTTCGATGTGGTTCCAACCACAAGTTTAGTCCAGAGGATCTCGCAATGGTTGCATCTATGAACGGGTCTGATGGGACAATTGAAGATAGATCACCTTGATTACGTCTCGGATTACCGCGGGGTACTCGATAATTGTCGAATATGAATCCAGTGAGTTGTCCCATTCTTCATCAACACCATGTGGACAGATTTCGGCGCGTATGGTCGGCGGCATGGTCGGCTGGCATGCTTATTTTTCTTTTGCAAACTGTCGGAAGTGTAGTCAGGACTGACAGGCACATGGTCTAATGTATCTGGCTTTTGCTACGATCATGCAGAAATCAGCGAAGTGAATATGACATGTGTCAGTCCTCTACGCAGATTATTAAATTTCCATGCACGATAGTTGCCTGTGAACTACTCAGATCTAGTCCTCTGCAGCTGTGCTTTTGTGCTGCTATGGTCCGGTATGAGGATAGAAAGGGTACCACTAGAAGATTGGTGCTACAATGTAAATGAGGGATGTATTCAAATAACCCTCCTAAAAATTCGCGGACCTATTATGAATATAGTAAACGGAAGCAAGCCAAACTTGAAATCACTCGCGAAGCAGCAATTTGCGAGCTCGGGTTTAAGAGTACTGTGGGTGTCTTCTGTCCCTGTTCACTTCCACGTTCGCAATTTTGAAGAGGACCATGACTAAAGACCAGCGTTCCCGATCAAGAGTCTCTGATGTAGACTGTAGGGTACCCAATTATGTGATTTGGGCGCAAGTACCGCGGCTTGTTTTACTTGCAATGCTTGGGTCACTACAGCTAACAAGCCTTGGGGCCCCTGCGATTGATGCAGAAAGCTGTGCTACAGGCTGTATCAGTTTCTCGAAATGCCACGGCTAGTTTGCCTTCGTCGACTCACAGATCGATTCGGTAGTGTTCCCCGTCTAAGCATCGAAAAGAACTCTAACTCACGGTAACTCATGAGGGGCCGCCTTTCCAGATTTACGTTATTGGTACAGACAGTGGCCCAGTAGTGCTGATCCACCACCAAATTGTCACAAGGTCGAAAGCCGATGTTCAACACTACTCATTGTCAGCGTGATGAATGCTGCCCACGTCGCGAAACGACAGACCGTACCTATTTTCACGATTCCTGACAGGGAGACCTGGACGCTGTCTGCAGAGAACGGGACGCCGTTGGCGATCAGATGCTGAATGCCATCGAGCAGCTGCTCGATAGTCAGCATCGCTTCAAAATTTCTATATCTACGCTAGCTTACCTGGGACAAGGCGGACGCTAGTTCGACTTCTATCGTGAAGACAAGGTGCGTAATGTCCACTTCAAGATGTTCGTAAATGACGTAACTCTTCTTCTCGTTTAGAAATATGGCATGGATTGTGGCAATGCTAGGATGGGAAATGTGGTGGACGAGATTCAGATCGCCTAGTCGAGTCGAGCGTGAGACTGCGACTGTGCTGTTCTTACGATGCCGGACAAGGCCTATGGTGGCATTAGCGCAAATGATATTATAATAGTCCTCTAGGGAATCTGTTGTGTAAATCAAAACCAGGCGCTTGACGCGAGACGAGGGCATGTCGCCTTTGAAATGAGAAATATCCATATTCTTACTGCTCCAAATACTTGCGCTGATGGTACGGTTATAGTCGTGGCCATGTGATAACGTTCTAGTTCTATGTCCTTTGTTTCTTGTTGAGCCCTGCGTCATCAATCAGTAGCATATCAGTTGGCCTGACTCTCCAACTTCTTGTAAGGCTCCTGACATAACTTCGGCCTGTTTCCCGCTATCTGATTAAACTCTGTTCATCCTCTCGACAATCTTTGGGTTGTCTGTTTTGTTTTGTTGTTGTCACAATATCAAACTAGCGGTATGTAAATACGAGTGAATACGGCACAAATCCGTGCTTGCGTTAGTGGGTTCCGCTAAAGCAAAGACTGTCAGGGTTCCTTTTTCCAAGCTTCTCCACGGCTGAATCATTTGTGGAATCGTAGTAGACATCTTCTGACGCTGGGGTGACGTAAAGCAGTTGGGCAATCGCAGTGGCCAAAATGTAATTACTCACAAATCAATATAAACCCGTCAATAACTTACCAATTACAGAGTCAGTGATTTTCGCCGTAACCCATGGTTCAACCTCTCTGACAAACCTCTTCGTCTGCCATCGCCAGCATACATAGCATCAGATGGGGTCATGATGAAGACGTCTTATGACCTACATCGGGGCGCTTTGAATCACAGTAGTGATCATTCCATAGTCTGACGGATTCAACCTACTTAAGAAACCATCTGAGCAAGTAGGCATGTCACTTATGCCTCATACATTGAGCTGGGTATGCCATTTCTGCTCTCAGACATATTTGTCTGTTGTTACAAATCGCTGCCTATACGATGGTCACTATTGTTGCGTTAACAGAAAGGGTGCGAAAAGCAAGAGATGCGTGGACATCGTGGAGTATGGAAAGAACGGCATAGTTCGAGGCCGACCTCAATCTTTCCGTGGCTGCTGGCAGGATTGTACATACCCGCTACAGTGTAAAGAAAGTTCTGATGGGGGGTTATGGGACGATTGCACCTGAGTGATAGCAGGTTAATTGTGAGAACATGCGTTGATTGATTGTTATGAGTTTATGGATCAGGAATGAAAGTTATTCTATATGCTGCGAACACAAAAATATCATTTCTTGAGACACCGATTAGTTGTCTCAGTCTTGAAGTAAAGGAAACGTGGTTTGCATGTGTACTATTTTGAAATTGGGGTGCAGGATGGCGCCGTGATCTCGGCACGATCTCCTATGCAGGCTAAAGCTCACAAGCTCTAAACAGAGAGCTTGGTTTCTATTAAGAGATGCGTAACACACCATTCCTTGATTACTCAACGCCGTGAGTGACTCAAGCCAGGCGGGATACTTAGCGTCCTTCTACTATATCTGCTATTCAATAGATAGAACACTGGGTGCAATACTCGCAGCAGCAAAATGCGTTCTGTTCCTTGCCCGACGTTAGCCGCCTAGGACAGACTTACTGCCGCGCTCTGTGACACCTATGATGCATCACTAAAGTAGGGTGATCGAACCGGGGCGATTGATAGCGTGTCCAGACCTTCTAACAGTAGCGCCGAAAGGTTACATGAGGTTAACAAAGGTATAACAGAAGATGTTGACCGCATCGGTTATGCTTACACTTACTGCGCCCACAATATCAACTTGCTTCCAGAGTACTACTCGACGATCTCTGGCACTCGCTCTTTCTCCCTTAGAAATACGACTCAGATTCAGACGCAATTGACTAAGCCAGGACAGTCACCATTCCGAGCCTGGGCCACCAACAGTTCGAAAATCGCGCAAGACACGCAGACCCCTCCTACACCGGGTATCAATCTGGCTCGGAAACCAACGGAAACAGAGAAGCCCAAGATAACATCAAATAGCGCTGCGACGACCGCTACGCAGCCATCCGACTGAAAATGCTGTGCGCAGAAAGGTCGCGAGGCAGATCTCACTGACGACTTTCAGACTCAGGCAGAAGGATTCTGAGTCATCACGGGATCGTCAACGTTGAACCGGGGTTATATGGTCGATTGCTGTTATGACTGTCTCCGTTACGTCCTATCATTCGCTATCGCGGTTGAAGATCAGGGAAGTATAAGTAGTCTGCGGCTTGACGACGCCGGGCTGCGTTTCTCTCGACGCACCGTCCGCACAAGAATGACTCTTGGCATGGCCGATTTCGTATGTGACCTTCCAAGTTCGCCAGCCCAGCAGATGAACCGACTTTACGTCAGTCTCGGCGCCGTTGAGCAAGAGATCAAAATGCTCCAGGACAGGATGGAGGCACTGGAAAGAGAGCGACAGCGGCAAGACATCCTGATAGCACTTCAACACCAATATATCGAGGTTTTGGAGAAGGGCCTGGCATCGACGGCACCGATAAATCCGACGGAAGATAGCTATAGAGAGAGCCGTAGCACCACGTAGGTCGCCTAGTAGAGCCGCGGCTTCTAAAGTCACTTCTTCCCTGACCTCTTCCCTCCAATATACTATAATCAACCCGTATACTCAGCCAGGCTGATTGCATCTGATCTTGTTGCACAGTTGAGAGGAAAATACTGTGCATATTCAAGCCATCGTCCATGCGCCAGACGTGGTCCCCATCATCGCTCAACGAGCTTGCGTGTGGAGTGCCATCCTGAGCAGACTACTGCACACGCCAGGCTAACGAAAGCTTTACCGCCGCTGCTAGCGCGAAGACTGACAAAATGAATGGGCTAGACTCTATTGGTCAAAGGTGCAGCAGACCGGTCTTCCATGCCTTACAAATCAGCTGTTGGTTATATCTTGAGATGTCGTGAAAACTAGAATGACGTTGGTTTAACGTTATTAATATATTATTGGCCCACCTGACTTTGAGGCGCTGCAGCTGCCCCCGCTTCGATGAACGAGCAAATTGAGGGACCTGGACTGTGCTTCTCCTGAGCAAGCGACCATAACCTTTGGAGCTTCTTATTTGCCAGGCCGTCGCAGTGCAAGGGCGGACGACCAATCATCACCTGCAGTGTGCAGGAGCCACCAGCCCCATTTGGACGCGACATAACCACCTGCGAGCGCAACGCATATTCGCTTTAGCCGCTCTTCTACTTTCTTGGTGATTGTCACTCCGCAGTGCCCTGGCCTGTATGGATCATCTAATATGGGTCCATTGTGGAGCCATGTTTGGTGAGCCAACGAGCTTGATTAACAAGGAAGTAAAAGTAACAGCGTCGAAGCAGCGGCCGCCAGCAGCCTCAACCGGGAAACCGTGTTGGCCTTCCGGACCAAAGATTTCTCCCCCATTCGCGGTGCCCGTTTGGGCCTCCTACGACGGCAGATGGACGGACCATTTCCTCGATGCACACCTTTCAACACGGTTTTCTGAGGAGCCTTCTTTGCCGGCGTTGATTGACTTCTAATTCGTTTCCTTGATCGCTGACGTTGCGGGCACAAGTTCGACCCTCTTAGTGGGCTACTCGCTACAACCGCAGAGCGGCCTATTGACTGTCGGGCGGTCTGATTGCGGCTCGATCTGGAATTTCGCAAGGACTTCTGTCTGCGCGCGGCATTGCCGAAATATGCATACATGGCGAACTTTCAACAATACTTTCGAATATCAGCAACAGTTGCTTGCGGTGTGAGACGTGAACGCACAGCTCGCTTTCGAAAATGCTGGACCAGAGTGCATCTGTAGTGTGGCAAAGACTCATCCTAGTGAGGGCGACGAGGTTGTTCGATCGCCTTGTAGGCTGTCACGTACGATGGACCTCTTCGCAACGCTTCATGATTTGCTCGGACTAGATTGCGGCCGGAGGATCTTGTCGGACGTGCAGCTTTTCGTGGCATGCTCGTCTAGGCTCTTCCAGACGGTGCCAGTGACGATGACTTGCTGCTCGTCAGGATCCGAGTGGAGTCGCCGAACGCTTATCACAAGGTCATTCGCTTAGCGGTCCCATCGGTTGTCGCGCATCCCTGGTACCTCGAAAATCCATAATGAGGACGACAGACCGACCGAACGGTTGGCTTGACGAAATTCAATCATCTATTTGCCGAATCATCTTCGCAGAGCATTACGTTCGCGGTATCCGATTCGAGAAAGATGATACCATCAGCCTTCTTCTCCAACTAAATTGGGGATAAACGGAGTACAACATAACAAAACGTGCCAGGGTAAGATAACCTATCAACAAAGTAGGTAACATGGCTGCAGCAAGTAAGTTGAAGATGCCAGGGGCCACAACGCCTCGCTGCTAGACGGTCGACGAACGGCCGCCTGAGTAAAATTAGCCCCAGTGACTTTGCTTCATAAATTGCCTCCAGATGGGCCAGTCACCTAGCCATTGACCAGTCAGTACGGAGTTTCGTCGCATCTCAAAATCGCTTCAGTGCTCTAACCCAATGTTCGCAATGGATCTATTGATTGACTTTATCAAGTTCACATCATTACACTGTCAGCCTCCGTAAGTGTCCCTCAGACCTTCGTACGACATTGAGCTGACACTGCCGGTAGAATTAGCAATATCCGCCCGGCCGTAGGCAACCCAGCAGATGCATTTCCCGCGCCTGTTCGCGCACCGGTCGCAAGCATGATGCCAGACATAGCGGGCGAGATCGAGCGACCCCTGCCAAACAACTACTCTATCACCGGTCATCGCCGTGACGCTGATGTCGAGACACTTTTCCAGCTGCGAATCGAAGGGAAAGACGGACGACAAGCTTGGGTCCCTGAGAGCATCATTCAAAAGAATTCAGAACTGGCCCTTTTCGCCTACTGGGACAGTGTCGCGGATGGGCGTTTGGGCGCAATGGCCCACAAAGACCTTTGGCATCCGTTCAGGATCGAGGGTCATAGAAAGACTCACAGGGGTAGTCAGCTATTGGTTTACTGGGTGGGGTCACCTGAGCGGTCTTGGCAATACGAGAGAGTCATTAGGAAGGCTGGTCCCAAGCTCGTTGAGGACTACTGGGTTACCATACGGCAACATCAGAAACAGGACCAAAATATCCTGTGTGCGAGAAAATCAGCTCGTCGTCGACAAAGGAACCGTAAGATGTGTCAGAACCATGCAAGGTCAAACAGAATAACCAAGAAGTATGCGTACTCAAGGCAATCGAGGCAGTTGACACAGGGCGGATAAGCTTATGCAATCTCGTGGAGGAAACTGTGTTTCTTGCGTTCATAAGCAGGAAGAACACCGCCATAAGCTGGTATCCAGGCACTGCACCATTCCGATAGCAATGCTGCCATCGCGGGTTTCTGATTGCACCTGCCGCCTCAGTCGTAATCACCACAGACTCTCTTCTATGTTTACACCGTCACACTTATGCCAAGCTTGGCAAGGTGACCAAGGCTTTCCGTGCAAGCGCTAGCGGCATATCTGTCCGCATTCTATGTAGTTGGTGGTTTATCTCATCACAAGTACGATTATACTGCTCAGCATCAAATCTATTAGAGACATGTGACGGCAACACCGCATTCTTGTATTTCGCATAGAGTTACTTGCACTTGTCGTAGCATGGTTCTGCGTCTCAAGGGGCATTGTTTCGAAGGTCATAGGTCTCTTCCTTTGTATACTGGGCGACAGAGTCGAAGTCGGCGTCTGGTAATTTGTATCGATGTCGTCGACCATGAAACTTCGAATAAAGTCTTGCAGCGACTTTGCGTGACCTAAATGCCTCAAACTAATCAAACGCCCATCCTAGCACTGTTGAGGAATTCAGTTCGTATGAGTGACAGCAGTTATAGCCCCAGACGAATCTATCATGTCATAGCCTACTTATCTATAATGTCAGCTGTGATGCTGTAAGGGATAGAAGCGGTTGCATAAAGCAAGAAGCGGAGCGGCCTTACTCTTAGAGTAGTCAGATAGAACTAGAACGTTTCCTAGATTATAGTTTGATAAAGGTTTTTCTTAAGATAAGGACTACAATGAATAACTGTACAAGTTTTAGCGCCTTGGGAAATGGGGCTTGGCAGTGCTACAGTGCTATTTCATCTCTTCTTCTCTTCCTAGGAGAGCCTATAAGTCTCATGGCAACATGGAGGATTAAAACACGGCCCTGGATATTGTATTGATTTTTCGGGCTTTCAATACCCATTGTCGTCAGCGAAAGTTGCTCAACGGCATACGCGGCTTTGTTCTCATGTCGACTACCGGCGGTGGTTCGTCAGCCAGCACCTCTGATGGCGCGCGGAATGGAGCAGCTGACGAGCCAGGCAACTCAAACGCTGTCGATGGGGGATTCTCAACACCATGTTTCCTCCCTTGCTGGTCCGTCGGCTGTTCCAGGTAGTGATAGTAGTGATGAATGTGATCATGGTTATGATAGTGATGTATGACAACAACCTGCTCTTTCCTCCGTGAGCGGCATCGCCTGCATATGCCACTGAGAGGTTCTGAGCCAGGGTGAATTGGATGTTTCCTGTGATAAGATTCAGACCGCGCCCTGTGGCATACGGCACAGCTGTGCTGTAACGACATGTTCTCGGCTGCTTTGGTAGACAAGTAATGGTTGCTGGAATTTGGTTCTGTAGTCATTGTAGAAAGGCCACTAATATAGGCGTCACGAGTAGGTTATCGCATCACTTAATGGTTCATGAACAACCGTCGCGGATATCGTGAAGCGCGTCATAGGCTTAGTCTGATGACAGAAGGCATGAATTGAGAGGAATTTACGAGATTACGATTGACTAAGCAGTTCAGCTCAAATCACGTAAATAGACACGAGCCAATACATGAGGGATGGTGAGCAACAATATACTTAAACACCTGAGTGTCGTCTACAACAACTGCAATAATATCCAGTAATTGTTGCAATGGAACAAAGATCTCCCCTTCACCCTGTGCGAGCACTCTTGATCATTACTGCAAGTCTTTACATTATCGATGGTGTTGTACATCTTGTTCTGCCCACCATGCAACTGGTGACAATCTTCGCCTTAGTATTGGTGTTGGCAAAGCCGGAAAACCGCAATGACTTATTTCAATCAGCATCGTTTTCTGAACCACTCCGACGACTACTATCGGTTTTCGCCTCCTTCGCCTCATTCTGCGATATGAAAGAGTTCGTCATTACCTTTTTTCGCCAGCGAGCCCATGTACAGCCACTGCAGATGCGAGACACTGCACCTCCTGATAACCTTGACCCAGTACCTACGTAGCTTAGCAAAGATGTCACAGTACCAAAATACTTAATGAATTTGTTGCAGGTTCAAATCAAAGTCAAGGAGGGTTGATTGAGCGCCACGCCTTGTCTTCAAAGTGATCAATGAGCTCAGTAGCCGGCAGTGGCCTCTGCTAGACCGTCCGATCAACCCACATGAAGAAACCTGTTATTCAGCTATTGCTTCGCGCGTGATCCAAGCGTTATCTTGTCTTTGAAGCCGGCTAGGCATGCTTTCTCCAGTCCCACGTCCTATGCTTTTCACGTCCAATGCTAAAGCGAATAATCGTTTCTAGTTAGACAGGAACGCTGACATCCTAACCTCAATGCCTTTTTCCTATCAATAATAAGTAGCAATATTGTGCAGTATGGGATGGGTTGCTTGATGCGCCAGTTTGCTACGTTGGGCGCGGATATGCCTAAGCCGCATAAACACCCTCCCGTCCCCGTAGTAATTTTCCAACACAGGGCAAAGAATACATCGTAAGCGTGTCACTCGATTCTTCTTCCCTACTACCTCGAACTGATCAACAGAGCGTTGCAAGCAACTAGGTGGTAGTACGACTCTCCATGAAATCATTTTCTACATCAGAGTCGATCTTGCCAGCTCGTCTCATGAAAAAGAGTTTCAGTCAGCTTTAATGCGCTCGATTCTGGCTGATATGAAGCTGACATGAAAATCCTTTCCTAGAACCTTATTTCTATTAGCGTCCTAGATCAGTTCTTAGACTTTGTACATGTTTGGCAACATTACTGTACGATTCAAATATATATAATAGGTGAACAACGAGATCGTGCGAACGACATGATGACGTGTCTGACGAGATCCTTCGCACTAATTAGTCAACATCGAGGAGAGGTGGAAAGTGATTCAATGATGTCATCAGTTGATACAAAGGTGTTTCTCCGCTTTGCGTACCCTGTGTCATCATAGATGCCACTTTCTGTTGTTTGACAGGCTTCATTGCTTGCACTAGCGCACTCAGACGTCCTGTTAGTCATTATGAACCACGTCAAAAAACGTGATTGGTACTCTCTGGAATTTTTATGCACAGAATCGAGCGATGGGGCGTGGCAATTGCTTACGCCATTCTTGGAATAGATAGCCTAGGGTTCCTCCCGTTTGGTCTTCGGCTTACGCCTCTCAAGTCTACATAACGCTGAACGGCTACGATGTTATCCGCGTGGAACCATGAATATATGTAGTTCTTCAAACACCGCGACATCAGCTGCAAGTAGGTTCTCTCAGCTTTGGGTCCTGAATTTATTCCCGAAACTAAAAAGCCAAGACAGTAGCGTGTTCCAGTCGAGGGGCTTATGTGCCCAATTTTGCGATACTTGGGCTTTCGCCATTTTGCAACAATCCCAATGCTGGTGTTCCAGTGAGTCTCCCGTCTCGGGACTAACGGAGGCATCGTCATGCGACTCCCCATGTCCCGGGTACCCGTATGAGACTTGTGGGGGCAAAGGCCTTTTCAGCTACGTAGCGCTTCACAGAGTCGCCTCGCCCGATGATAGCATCACCTCAACGGCCAGTATTCCGAGGCAAACTTCGGTGGAGACGTTGTATGAGACCCGAATTACTGAAGACACACTCATCAAGACAGTAACACAGACGGTCACCGTCACTAAAGGCGACATTGAAGTTCCGTCAGACGCCCCGAATATCACGACAACTGCCCTTTCATCGACAGGATCAGCAGCGCCAGCTTCTAGTGAGAAGCTCAACCGAACACAAATTGCCGGCATAATTGGGGGAGCCCTCGCCACAACGTTGATAGTGTTAGTCATTGGTGTATGGAGCCTTCATCGGCGGCGGACACCTTTGAAGCAAGATGACTTGAACACAGGCTCCGTCAGCGAGCTCACACATTTTCCTGGCAGACTTGGGGTACTGCGTATTACCAATCCGGACTAAGGCCTGACTGGGCATGAACTACTTCAACGGTAGCACTTAGACGATGGACTGCCATGACTGTCTCATCCGAACTTGGAATTTTTATACTTGGTCACGAAATCAACGAACCCTGTTGACTCTACGACAGGCACCTATCAGACATGTCTCACGGCTAGCTTGTTATTGTACATTTTGGAGTGTATCAGCTCGGTCTGCATTTACTTTGTTTGATCACTCAACCAGGAGGTTACATTGCATCACGCTTTTAGTGATTATTATCATATCCACAGGCGAGTCACGTTACTACCCATTGTAATGCGGCCTCGGATTGGTTTCGGTTGTTAATCAACTTTCGTTAAGCATGGAACACTACGGAATCAAGCATAGGCAGCGACTGAATCTTCTCTCGTGTGTAACCTTGAAGTAGTGACAACAGCTGGCACAGAGTATCTCAATCGGTCTCATCACACGTAAGAGAAGAGCATTCCGTCTTGACAACGAAAAGTCATACATCGGGGTCCCGATATCAGTTACTGCCCGACGGGATACGGAATGTTTACTACAGTATGCCCCTCCAGAACAGCGGGAAAGCCAAGAGTGTGTGGACATACTGGGTTCAGGCCGAGAGCAAGGTCTACAGTACATGTTTCATCGTAACCAAACTGACAATCATTCCCCTGCGGAATGTTGTAGAGTTGGTAGTTTTTTGCCACCCAACTAGTAGGCTGAGACAAACATTTACCCAAATACGTCATGCTGTTTGATGCAGACAGTGGCAGCTTACCATGCAAGAGGAGATGAACGCACTCCTCCACGTCCACAAACTCGTAGTCCATTTGAACCCCACCTCCAGCAGCCGGTGCTTCTAGCGCGGACTTTCCCGTCACCAGATAGTTCCACGCATCGTAGCTAATATCATACGATCCCTGGGACTTATCAACCTTCAATAGATAGAGGCTTCGAACACCATGCGACATCTTAACACAGATCGCATCACAGTCGACCTCGCTCGGCCAGTACGCTACACGATTGTGGTTTATTTTGCATCCTAGGACTCCAACAGAAGACCCATACAGGGCGTGAGGCTTCATTAATAGTTTATGAGCCCTAGTCACGGCGACTAGAATGGCCGAGAGAATGACGATCAACCGGAAAAGCATCTTTGTGGGAGACTGGGTATCCGATGGGGCTTGAGTCTTTTATGTTTCGGGCGCTCATTCTAGTAGATCATAAGTTTTGTAAGGGATTAGGCATTCATTTGAGGTGGCTCGACTTTGCAACATGTTTTGAAACTCGAATTTTCAGCTTTGGCGCGTTCTCGTCATTGATTTTGCTATACCCTGTGAGCTCAGGCGCATTCTCACGTACCTAGTCATACTAAGAATTCTTTGGCGAGAGTTACACCTTATCAGACTGCTGGTCATATGATTATGGCCATACCTAGTGATTTGTTGAGCCGGTGTTTTCTCTCGTATAGTACCTGAACATTTGACACCTGGCGCTGATGTGCTGTTGCGACGGGAATAGAGTGCGAGAATGCTACAAGTACATGCACAAATAATTACCTAGTTTAGCGGGCTTCTCCCACGATACAGTCGCACAGCTCAAGATCCGATGACAAGACAACTATGGCACGTCGAATGACGTTGGAAAGCTTAGTTTAATGTAAGTACGGATGTTATGAATACACCTCACTAGCGCGAGTGAACTGGAACGAGGAGCACTCATGTTGGCTTTCTTTACGTTTCTCTTTCGCTTCTCTTCCTTGTTCATTTTGTCACACATTACGTAGACTACGCCGTTGTTTTGAGCTGCATTAGATTGGATAACGATTTATCCGTATCCTTCGCATCTCGTACTCTCTCCTATGTACCCCTTTTGTCCGTTGCCTGGCCGGGCGGGAAAAGCCTGCAGGGTTTACACAGCCGTGATAGCCTCTTCTTGTTAGGCTGAGGGACTCATAGCGTGGCGAGCCTGGCCGTTGGAAAACGTCTCACAGCTGAGGCACGGAGTCTCGATAAGCCGATGGGTGTGCTCGGCCTCCACACTGAAAAGCTCTCCGCGTTTACACAATGCGCCTCAGAACCATGTCGAATACATTCGTTACTAAGCCAGGCTAGACCACGAGTAGCTCGATAGAGCTCCTGGGCCGTCGGGACGACACGTGCATAGCTGCGCAGGAACCGCTACGTAAACTATTGAGCATCTACGTATGTGGTTTGATTGTGTCCCTCGCGCGATGAGCCGGCTACCGCTTCGACCGGAGCGACGCCTGGTCAACCCTCTGCTAGAACTACGTAACACTCGGCCGCACGGCTGTCAAAGACCAAAACAGATCACTGTCCATATTAGCAGCGACGGAAAGACATATCCAGCAATATATCGAGTGAGTATTTGTATATCTCATGCGTGTGCTGACGCAGGGCGACGGTTGGACGACTAACGTGTCGCGTTCAAGATATCGACTCAATTTGACAGTTCTTGCGTCAAGAAGACTGAACAGGAGGCATAGATGAGATGGACTAGCACCAGCCTTACTGGGCAAGGTGGACACGCTTAATAACACGCCATCAGTCCACTCCACTCAACAGCCACAAGGTTCATGGAGTCAACTAGAACTTGTGGGTGATGAAATACCATCTAGAACTATTTCATCGTACGGTCTTGCCGTTTTATGAGAGACGCAGGGGCTTACTGGTGATGCATTCTAGCATTGTTGTGACATCTTCGTGCAAGATAAGCCAGTCGACCTCTTTCAATCGGGCCAATTTATAATGCGTTGCATAGGCACCAACTACAATAATCCCCTGGTACTCGACATCCGATCCAGGTCGCTGAAGTACACGGTAGCCGTTGTGGAAAACGCGGCCGATGGCGAGATAAGCGCTCTGTAGATGTATCCCATCCTCGATGCTTATCCAACCATTGCTTTCGAGCAACCTGTCCAGCGTATGTTCAGCCAATCTCCAAGGCTCGAGTGTGGGGCCCGGGCAGTAGTCGTTTAAAAGGTGGAGGCTGAATTCGGTACTGTTGCGACATATTCCGATGACCAGTAAGCAGTCGAATCGATTTTTGGCCAGAATGCGTCTCGCCTCATATGCTGCGTTAGGATTCCAGAATCGGGTGATCGGCGTCAGAGCAAACCAGATCTCATCTTCCATCACGTCCGTGTCCTTGAGCAGAAGGAAGTCGTCCACTTCCGGGCAGTCGAGTTGTGGGGCGGGCTTCTGATGTCCCATACACTCAATGACATGCCTTGGTTCCGCAAGTCTGATCAATGTCGGGTCGATGCCAGTAAGATTTGGTTCAATATGGAACTTGGATCGAATTTGAGGTGCATCATGGCCTGCTCTTGGTGATCTTCGACGTCTTACAAGTTCTCGTGACGGCATGGGCGCTTCTAGTCGCGGAACCATTCGCTGTTCATTTGGTCGCAGGAACGATGGCGGAGGAAAGGTTTCTTCATGGCGCTCAAGGGGTGCCTGCGCTCTTTGAAGTCGCCGTGCCTCCGTTAGAACTTTGGCAAATGAAACCATGTTGTTTCTCAATGCTACGCGATGTGTGTTGTCGCCTGTCAAGATGGTCGACCTATGGTCCTCAGACTCGTTTTGTATGGCTACGTTCGTTAGACATTCTTATCCGATGGACGTGGCGCCTACTCCGGCGACTTAATTGGCTGAATGGCACGACTTTATGCAGTTACAGGCTCCAGCCTAAGCAACCTTCAGGTGTCTTCGCGTTCTCGTGCAGAAAGGTGAACGATGCAGTCTCCCAGCCTGAATCCGGGCAGCACTGGGTGGAAATAATGGTCAAGTCTTAGTCCTCCAGACACTGTCAGTCAATCAATTCTCGCCTTTGCATTCGACCGATAAGCAGTGAGAGAGTTGCAGACTTTCGTTGATACTGTGCTACGCATGTTATTTCTGTTAACGCCATTTAGCGGCACCAAGAATAACTCCCAAAACATCAATGCACGAGGCATGTGGCAGCTAACGTAACCGCAAATGATTGAGAGCGTCATCGTAGTAAAGTCAGCAATCCAGATCTGCTTACTTCGGACGTCAAGAGCAGTCAGTGGTGGGCTGTTAAGAGTACGCTTTTCATACGAGACATCCTTGCGCATGGGCAAAGTTAACGTCAGCCTTGAATCAGTATGTTCTCTTGAAATGTTGCTAGTTAGATCATGACTGGAAAACAAGCTGTTCGTCAAACAAAACTTGGGCGCGTAAGCCGGCGGCGTGGGCTATGCTACTGTCCGGCCATCTTGGCATCTAGGCTCTATGTTGTTTTCTCCTTCCATCGTTGAATTGGGGCAAATACAAAGTATACCCGCAGGTTTCATCGTGGCATTACTCAAACTGCGGAGTTTTGTTTCTGAGAGAAACAGTAATACCACCTGTTAAAGATCCAACTTGGTGCCCAAACGCGATAAATATAGCTTACTATCAGAAAATTGTAGCTGGCAAGAACCTAGTTTGCCATCATGCTTGAAACGACGTACCATTTGACGTGATTCCGTGAAAACGACTTTTGAATCCCTTGACACATTCCTTCCAGAATATATATGGAGCAGGCTGGTAATAGTAACAATATACTACATCACCTCGTCCCAATCAATGAAGCTCGTTAGGCGATGTCCCCAATCACAAGCCCAGTAACTTCCTCACTGCCATGGTAGCACTTGAGGAACAGTGAATTTTACGACATATGTTATCGCCGCCAGCTATGATAGATCGACGACACGTCCATCTTGACTCTGCACTACGTACACCCCATCTGCTGCGGTGGGCTTTGAGTGGCTAGTCCCTCTTCCTCACCCATGTTAGTATCATGTTAGTATATTCACTATTCTGTCACTGTTATGGAAAGACTGGTTATGACAGCCATCGAACTCGTTTCCTCCCGAAGTAACCGCTTTCTGCTTCACGTCTCGAAAACGGGCTTTCTTGTTGCTGACGCGCCACCTTAACTGCGATCGTTGTTATTCTGAAACTATTTGGGTCATCAAAACGCCTAGATCTACAGGCGCTAGGGGAAAAGGGAGCAATAAAGAAAACATGTGAAGGCCACCATGTGAACACCAGATTTGAACTGACTTGTTGTCCTTTGCTCATATACCAGATTCCCGAACCACGACTTCTACATCACTATACACTCTTTTTTTCATTGCAGCCTGAGCTCAGTTTCCCACCTACAACTATGCGGAAGGTGCTCAAACGAGATGCTACTGAGCTTGGGAGCCCCGACGAGGTGCCCATCGCGAAAAGGCAGAGGGTATCTCTCTCCAGAACGCATGAGCTAAATGTCGAGTACTCTCAAGATATCCTCAAATACATGAAGCACATAGAGGCATGTACTTCAGAAGTTCAGATAACCTGACACTCAGGTCGGTTCCGCTAAACTGACAAACGCCAAGGCCCAGACGATGCCCGACATGAGCCGCTTCCCGGCTGGGATAAAAGAAATGAGACCGGACATCGTCCGATATCTCCAAGTGGCTCATGCTATGCTTGGCCTACTTCCAGAAACGCTGTTTTTATCGGTCAACATTGTCGACAGGTTCTGCTGTGAACAAAGCTTCTGTGGGAAGGCATACTACAAGTTGATCAGCTGTACTGCCTTATGGATTGCATCCAAGTACATTGAAGAAAAAGAGCGGGTACCATCTCTTCAGCGGCTTATGTGGTTCATTCCCGAAGGGTGTTATCGAGAAAAGAGACTCTTCGTTCGGTTAGAAATGGACATTCTTACTGAACTGAAGTGGCGCGTCAACCACCCAACCCCATATTTCTTCATTCAGCTTCTTGAGATGGACGACGATAACGAAGCTGCAGTGAGGGAGTTGGCAGTGGATATTTGCAAAGCCAACTTGGCTAATAACGATCTGATAGGCGCTAGGTCATCTGTTCTGGCTCGTCAATGTTTGCTATTTGCCGGCGATGGCTTGCTCAGCGTCAATGGTCAGTCTGGCCGCTGATTCGGTCGGCTAACTCCTGAGAATGGCAGCAAGTAGTCTCCGATTGAATAAAGTTCGGTCTCAGTCGGGAGCTGCTGGTTAGCTCTAGTGTTGATTCAGCCTTACTTCAGAGGCAATGAGAATGTCTGCTATGTCAAGGCGTTGTTAAGAAAAACACTTTTGTTCATTAGTACTGAAACATATTTGTGACATGGTGATTCATTTCAAGCCCTCAAACGTTAGCTTTGGGCATCATCTATGAGAAATCAGCCATTCTTTTGACTAAAACCTCAATTTATTTCACAGTTTCTCCACTTGCCGTGATGAATCAAGGAGAGTTAGGAAGTATGGCAGTGCCGGAAATGGATGAGAAGGATGCCGATTCAGTTAGCTCGGTCGACCACATCGATTGATCTGGTCGGTGTATCTGGAGTCCTACGCTAAGTTGTCGACCCATGATCAGTCCTCGCTGTGATTGCGAGCAAATGTGCTAATTGATTCGCGACGATCAGGGATAGATTAGGGTCACCTGCCAGTATCAAGCTCTCCATCAAGTAGAACACATTGCGTAAGGCTGTGCTGGAGTATCGGTTCGTCAACTTTGACAATGTGGGCTTCGGCGTTGTGATCGCCCCTGGCTACTGACTTATTGGTTGTTAACTGGAGTTTGAGACGTATTGGTACGATCAGCTGAACCTCGCCGTCAATCATTGCCTTCTGCCTTAAAGGCCTGAATGGTCTGCTTCGGCTGTTCCATGAACCATGAGTGCTCGCCCCGTTCTCGGAGCTAAAATCTATTCGTACAGCCAACGGCTGACACACTCAAGAATATGCCCATGAGAGGCGAAGAGGCAACTTCAACTTTCAACCGCTGACTGTGAGATGAACCTCAACCAGATTAGGGGGACGAGAGATCACCATTTTACCCAAGAAAAGGGATTTACATTGCTAGAACATGGATAAATTCACGACGGCGTGGTCTTCTTTCGTTTCGATAATGCGTCCAAAGTCTACTAAGACTATTCGTAGGTAGTGGGCATCTCCACACACCATGAAGTGTAGGGGCCACGTGATACACTGATGTCGGCCAACGCAAACTGCACGGGATGAGTTTGTAACATAACAGGTCAAAAGTATCGATTGCTCCAGGTATCAGTAGTGAGTCACCCATAACGTCCCGCCGCTGTTCGTGATCGTTTCATGAGGTGATAGGGAATAATCAGATCAATCATCGAATGTCATGTTACGTTGACACTAACTAACGAGCTACGATAACAGATCACGCTTGAGCCTCTGCAAACTGACGTCTCGAGACTTATTCTAAAGGCTGACTAGTCGGTCTAGACCCAAGAGGTAGCGCGAAGTGTGTGCTGGCGCCTCTGGAAAAAGAAGCTAAGCGGTGCAAGATGCCCTATACTGTCTAGCTCTCACACACCGGAATTGGGATGAGTTAATGTACTGTATCATCAGCTTCCATATCATTACTGCTGTGATTATCACTTCATGTGCTCTCCTACTGTGCTCAATATCACTTCTGTCTCGTTCAAGGCCCCTCTGAGGCTGTGCCGTACCCTTCGCTGTATGCGAGATCTTCGTCGGTACCCTTGTTTGTTTTCGCCCAACAGCTTATGCTCCTGAAAGTGGTGCCTTTCTCAACGTTCCTGAGCGCGTGATCTGAAACATCGATGTTATGTAAATCTCATCTCTGAAACTGAATGGCAATGGTTTCAGACTGTCGAGCCGACAGGCCAACCCCTAGTATTTTCGCTATTCCATACGAAGCTTGGGTGATATATCAATGGGCTGTCGGCTTCCATTGAAAACCATCAGAAGTTCCTATCATCTCACGATAAATATGACTCGTGTTTCACCAGAGATGAGAAAGAAAAGGAATCGAGATGCTCAGGCCAAGCACCGAAAGAAGAAACAGGAGGAAGCTGAACGCCTCCAATCAGAAGTGGATCATCTCCGGAGGAAAATGCGGGAAGTCCGCGAAGCCACAGCAAGCAACGACATGCAGCGATTGAAGTATGTTGTGCTAGGTGAGACGCGGCCTTCGACGCCTCAGCCCGATGCGTCAGGCACAGTCGAGTTAGGCACGCCAATCACTGACACAGGGTACACCGAGTCGTCCGATCCTTTCCCGATGTCATCTACCACTCCCTACTGGGACTGCAGCACACTCGACTGTACGCTCCCCCCCCCCAGAATACAACATTTACCCCAATTCCGTGTGTCAAACACCATTTGCGGAAGGCTACAGCCAAATGCTGCCATGGAATTTGATTCCCTCGGTTCCGGCATTGCCCGGCATTGAGATGCCAGGATTGCTCGACATGTCATCATGGCTCGATCCGCAGCTGCTAATCTCATGATCACTATACGTATACCCTCGAGGGGAAGAATACTTCTCATCTGCATAATAGAACTTTTCATACAATGAAACATCTCGTGACTTCTGCATGTTGAAGAAAGGCCATTGCATGTCCTTAGGAACATTCCGTCTTGTGGCCACTGTTGTGTACCAATGCTATTGTGCAAGGCTGAACGCGGGTCTAAAAACCACAAGACTCAAATCACCCACATTCGATGTCAATCTTCATGTTCAGAATTTTAGATACAAATGGGCAAGTGGGCTTTGTACGTCCGATAACCTTCGACTAACCGCCTGTGTACATTTGAGTCCAAGTACAGATGTCTTTTCAACTGAATGAATGGACAAAGTCATTCTTGGAGAGGCTGACAGGGAACTGTCACCCCCCCAATTAAGTCAGATGAATTTAGGGCCTATTCAGTGTATTCTTACAGCCAATCACACGTAACCTTGTGTTTCCTTTGAAGGGGTTTCGGTTTAACGCGACGTAGAGTGCAAGATCAGATGCTTACATCATTTAGTTCCACCATTGAAGGTTCTCTTTGCTTGTCTTCTGCCACGTACGCGATGGTGGGAGACGAAGAGTGCTAGACACAGATCCACACCAAGGAGGAGACAACGGATAAGACTCCCGCTAAATACGATGTTGCCGCATCTTGGACTTCTTGATGTCGGGAGGGGAAAGAGACGTGCTTAGAAGCAATCCTTCCTTATCAATGCTCAACAAAGATGCAGACCCATGAGTTGTGTAGATATATCTGGTTGAAAAGACCCTACTTTGACCTATCTCAGAAGCCGTAGCTATGGGGACTTGTGGTGAAGGTAATTGGAGGTCATTATATGTGGTAATACGATCACCCCTTCACATGTTGACTCTTGCTGAGGAACAACAGCAGATGATCTTTCAGGCGGACCAATGGCACAAGACAACCACGATGTACGAAGTCTTACGACCTCTATGTCAAAGTTTGCCGAAACGCACATTCCGTTATGTAACTTTGAACGATGTCACCACGTTGGGATGGGATTGAATTACGAGATATGGACCGATGATTGTGCTTATGACTCCTACCCCGTCGGTTCTCTTCGCCAGTCACACGTGGGCGAGGCTACGCCTTGCCAGCAATAATCAAAGAGCGCCCTGAGTGAAAGAGATGTTATGAAACTTCATTGTCAGTATCCGGTTAAAGGCTTCTTTGCTCACAGGACTGGAGAATCCATCGAGGTGATGTTCGCGACTTGCATTATAAATTTACCCCCGCGCAAAATAACTGGTCATGGGAAACTCTAATTGTGGCAGTGCTGATTGATATCCTACATCATCTTTTGGCTGTCGTAGTGTGGCATCTGACTCCGAGTTTTACTGATCATCTCCTGACCGACATTCATAACTATGTATAATCACGAAACCTTCGAAGATATCCTCAACGACGAGCTTGCATCGAAGCAGCTGCTGCAAGAGGCACTGCAGGCAGCTGAAGAGAAACAGAGTTTGTGGAAGAGATTGTGCCTTTCTAGTATAATACTGAACATTGGGATAATCGAGCTATTGCATCGGATCTGAATTACCAAATACCATAGTACCTAGCCTAATGTACGTTGTTGGTTGTGATTATATTCACCTCGAGGCCTTGCCAAGCTTGTCATGAACACTCGGAGTTCAGTATATAAGCAAACAAAAGTCGGCTACATTCTGTAACAAAAATGCGGGTTCTCACCATATTCAATGCCATCATTTGGCTAGGATTCCTTTGGTTCTTCCTGTTCCACGTCAATCCCGGCCCACACACTCGACGAAGCTGTTCTATGTTAAACGTTCCCAGCTCCATATCGATTTATCATGTCTCTGTGCATGCTCGTTAACAGTCGTGTAGGTCACCACACGCATCTCGCCCTCTGCATTGGTGGGCTGTCCAAGACCATCCCGCTCGAGCTTGCGAAGAACAAAAGTGGAAAGAAAAGAGGCCGAGTTGTCAATAGTGATTGGATATGCGGGTACCGTTGCCGGCCTCGTTCATCAACTGACCATTGTCCAATGCACTCCACTCATGTGCCATGATGCATACGTTAGGAATTCCTGGTCCTTGCTCAAGCGCACCAGCACCTCGCGAACAAAGGCCGATCTGCGCAGGGGCAAGAACAGCAAGGCCAAACATCTTTGCCCCTGATCGGTGTGTATCCACAGCGTACAGACGGCCTCGAAACCAACAGTGTCTTCCAGCGCTTGATGAGCGTTGGGCATAGAAGCACGCAATGGCCTGTTTCTTGTCCTTCCCATTTTGGATTGGGCAAACAATCCTTGCCTGGTCTACTCCGGGGACGCTTCCCCGGCGATAGCGGCCCAGGCTTCCACTCTCGGCCTCAAATATTTGAGGCCACATCGCCGCCACGCCAGGGAGAAGCTGGGTAGACCGCCAAGGCTAGCACGATGCCCCACGCCGCGCGCCAGCCCACCATAGTAAACAGGTTCTCTAGTTTTCTGTCACGCCCGCAATATTTGCTTGGATGATTGATCTTGTAGAAGACGACCTGACTTGTGCGCTTTCCTTCGTCGCGGGCGCCTCTGGTCATGGAACGGGGAGAGGCTAGGCAGGGTTATCCGGAAGCAGAGAGACGAAATCGTGCCAGAAGCACACCTCATTACACACTATGGCACTTATGCGTTGATAGAGACACTTGGACGAATTCTTACTGACCGTCGTTGATGGCCAAAAACATACGTATCATTCCGTTATTCTACGCCAATGCCTGCGTGTAATTTCAGGCCTTGCTTGTCACCAATCCCCCATGCTAGTAGTATCGCTTTCTTGACTCACTCCCGTTGACCCGTTTGCCGGACTCGAGGCTGTTTTCGCAGAGTACGTCCGTTATAATATTGGACTTGCGGGCTTTCGAGATTCCCGATGACTGCGTCTCATGCTGCTTTCCACCAATGATCTTCGGCAGAACCTTTGCATTGCTATATGCGCTCCTTTATATCCCTAAAAATCGATTCCGAGCGCACCAACAACACCGTGTGCCCCGCTGAGGTTCTGCGGCATCGTCGAGCTAAGAGGTGGTGCCCGATGCGCATCTATACACAGCTTGCATGCTTCCGGGTGCAGAAATTCTGCATGGTGTTCGTTGCACCCGAGGATAGACCATCCCTCGCCGTCTTGAATGGTCCTGTGATCGCATCTCGCGTTCCCATCGTCGCAAAGCCCATCATTGCCGACTGTCTCCTCGACCAATGCCATAGCCGAGGCTTGATGGCGACGTCGTTTGCCCGGCATCCCATGCATGTATCCGGCCTGCCTCTTCGTTGGAGGGGTGGGGATGGACGCAGGTGGCGCTAGACAAGAAGGGTTATGTTTTTCGGTGTCCAGAGCCAAGTCATCAGCGTGGCCTACTTCCATGAAGATACCTGAACAAGGCCGTGTTGAAGCAAGTGGCTTGGGCGACGCGCAATCCGAGGGAGCCGGGTCGCCGAGTATGAAGTCAAGCTGCGATGTTAGTGTGAGCTGATTGAGTCGTGTAGATATTGCTTACCAAAGTCTGCGTGCTTGGCAAGGCCGAGACCATAAGCCTATGCTGAACAGACGCATTGTAGGCCTCCTCGAGCTCTACCAGTCGCTGACGGGCATGATCTTCTTCTTGTCGACGCGCAGTCAGTTCCTCCGTTAGCTGTGTCCTTCGCTTGCGAAGGACACTGACCTTTCTTTGGAGTGCCGGTGCCTCTTGATCCAGGTCGCGCTTTGCAGCAGATTCTCGCTCTTCTGCGCGGCGGCGAATGTCATTTAGATCGCAGACGAATCGCTTCACTGCCGTCCGGACTTTAGAGGGGTCCATCGTTGTCGTGATGTGAGGCAAGTGCTGCTGTGTTTCGCGGATGTCTTGGACAAATCAAGCCGAACCGAAGTTCTGCAGACGAAGCAGATGAGTCAGACGCGGTGAAGGCAATATACTCCTCGCGCTGAGCAGCTTATCAACCCAACAGAAGCGAGATCGGTTACGCGGGTGGTCCTCTGAAGGCTCAACGGATTCAACGTCTTGAAAGACGAGCTTAACTTCCAACCGGCTGATGAAACCTTGACGTTGCAATGGCGCTAAGTGGTGACGGGTTCGTGCGAATGGTCTGATTTGCGAGAACCGACCAAAGTTAGATCTCATCAATTCTGGCGCGTAGAGCGCCCGGAGTGTTCGTGAATGCAATCGTCATGATGCTAGTCGGGACCAGGGTGATGTTTCGCTACGAAAATCGCTGAAGTTTTCGTGTTGGAACCGGGGTGGCGTTTGCTTTGGCGGACTTAATTTGCCTTCTGCGACGCAGGTGCTAATTGGGGTGATGTTTCTTGGAAAACATCTGAAGGTTTCGTGTTGGAACCGGGGTGGCGTTCATATTGGCGGACCTTGTTTGCTTCTCGAGGTGCTTCCTCTGTTGGAGCCAGGATGGTGTAAATGAGCAAACTTGCTTTAGCCAATGACCAGACTGTCGGGACACTCTCATTTATACGGCAATTATGTTCACTCAGAGATCCAGTGTGGGTGGTGACTTGCTTCGTCGGCCTTCGGCCTGCACCTGTCCCGAATCTCCGCCTGCTGCTCATGCCTTCAACCAGAGTGGTTTAGTGAGATACGCTATGGAGAGAGGCACCCGGGACCATCGTTGATACCTGCCTTACGTCAAACTCCCACACAGTTAGGCCGAAGCCGCTCGTCGATCAATTGATTTGAATGCCCATCTCGTTGCACCTTATTCACAGTCATGCGCAAATCATCAGCCAATCTTCAGTCAAGGGTCCAAGATCTCGACGAAGCCGTATGTTCCTAGGTTCGCTGCGCGCGCTGTCTGGACGGCAAATTGGATGGTAGAGCAAAACAAGTCTGGTAACAGATTATGGCGTTTGGAGACTGAAGTGAGATAAGCCGAAATTTGGAATTTGACGCAAGGCCGGGCAAGAAGCAGAAGCCCCACTGGGACCTCACTTCATGCGGGGTCCATTTTCCAAAACGAAAGCTTAGATCCCGCAGAAGCGTGGATACCTCTCCAAAACGGACGTCAAGTACGGAGTCTGTCTAAACACCCTGTTGGAGCCAGATTGCGATATGGCCTGCCCCCGCTGCCAATGGATTCGAGTCCATGTTTATAGTCACATCTTGACCCGGCGAAGCCAGCAATCGCCATTTCTGCCTCCTTGAGTATTTGAGTAGTATTTAAAAGGGCTTGAATCGAGACGATGTGACTTCTTGCAACCATCAAACTCACACTCTTCCTGCACTTTCAACCAGCACTTAACTTGATGGCGTTTCCGACAGATGATTCTCCAGGCGCCAACAACATGGAAACCAAAGCCCGGGAATTTGGTGGCAGCATCAAGCAGCAAGTGAGCCGACTGGGCCACGAAGCTGGCGTATTTTCCGCCGTCGTCTACTACAACCCGATTTCTGGACGGTTCGACGGGGCTGCCTTTGTTCCCGAAGGACATGACGTCCCAGACGTGAACCGACTTGTGAGTTGTCCGTCTAGGAAAAGCCTCTTCTCAAGCTGACAAAGTTGGTTTGTTAGTTGAGGGTGCTACTGAATGGCACGGAACCTATTGTCTTGCAACATCCTGCCCGAAGCTCCTCGAGCGAGCCGCGGACCGGCACCCTTTTGCAAGACGGAAACGCTACGGCGACCAGCGAGGATCATAATGTGGTGGATGCCGCTGTCGCTCTTTGCTGCATAGGCCAACCGAGCTCGGCAACAGATAGTCCGCAGAAGAGACCCCCAGACGATGCAAGGCTTCACACGACTCATGGGAGCGGCAAAGGGGTATGTCCTGACGTCGCCGTCGGCAGTCAAGACTGTTCAGACGGCCCTGTTCACGCTGGTTTGGTGTGTGGGCAAAATGCCGCTAGTAAAGCCCGTCCGATCAGCCACGCGAACCGTTTCGCCGAACAACAGAGCTTTTCGGCTGTTGGCGATGCAGCCCGGGGCTCAGTCGCAAGCGTGGCAAGGCAGCAGAGCGATGCGTCCTACAGAAAGCCCATTCCCCTTGGGATTGTCGAGCCAGACACCGAGCTAGGACAAACACCAGTCAGTAACGCAACCAACGCCAAGGCGGTTGTTACTTGTCATGCCCAGCAAACAGCCGGGGCTAGGCGCTTGCGTCACTTCTTTCAACTAGCTTCCAAAATTGCGCACGCCAGACATCGTGGGTATCCCAAAGGTATGGCAAACACTCAGTCGGCGCCAGTGAACTCGGCTATTCGACACGTTGACCAAACCGAATCGGTCAATGCTGGTTTGACTGAGGCGTCGCGGGGGTCCACCTTCGACCACGTGAAGCCCCTTTTCGCGGCTCAAGACCAACTTCGAAGGTCTGCCCCGTATGGCAGACCAGGACCGTTGCGAACATACGCCCAAAGAGCAGCGAACATCAACGCGGACTGGCCCATTCGACGTGCTCCCAGGGTGCATCCCTTGCCGTCTCACCGCCTTCGTGGCACCTTTGGACCTGGCCGGCTTGGGCAGCGTGGTGGTGGACATGGTCGGCCCGTGGGGCAGTACTTGTAGTGTGCACATTCCAGCCAGCTGAGGCTCCCACCACGGCGAAGACATAGAAGCATACAGCGGCAATACGCGCTGCAAGGACCGAATTCCGAACTCATACTCTACTTACGTTGTGCCTGATTCTCACCGTTTGTGCCGAGACTCTTCGCGACTCCTTATTCTTATAAGGCTCATGCCACCTGCGAGCTTGCGTCAAAGCTCCCATGACCAATGGTCTTGCGACCGACGATTTGATTATGTAATCTCACAACATGAGCCTTACCTTTGTGACAGTCATTTGAGAGCATTGTCCTCCCGGCACGCAACAATCAAGAACTCGGCAAAAAACCACAAGGTTAGCTCTGAAGACATTCCTTTCGGGAGGGTTTCAAGAAGTCCACGTGGCGTCGCAGTGACACGAGCATCTCAGCAAGCCCACCATTGACACTGCATCGTTACGTTCAAGTCAAATGTGGGTCGAACGCATCCATCAAATGATCAAACCGAAGGGTGTGTTAGGCGACGCACTCGAACCCAGCATTTGCGCAACAGTGGCGCCCTTTGTGTCGCTATAAGCGTCTGCTGTAATTAAATAACTCTGCAAGATGAGCATCCATTTGATGGTAACGTTGAGATTTCTTTTTAAGACAACGGGATTCGCTCGAGGCGCCGACGATAGCGGCTCGAAGACATTGCCTCAACTTCATCGCTAGATGTCTGTGGCTACGGCGAGAGCAGCCTAGCGACGAATCGTTCCAGAAGAACTCATGAGAACAGTCTGACATCGCCTGGGTTGACGCACAGTTCCAATGTCGTTCGAGACTGCGAAACACATCACTAGCAGGCGAAGACCGAAGAAGCGGAGAGTTGCGGGAGCTACAGTGAAGGCAAAGAGCGTGTCTGCTATTTCTTTGCTAACGATGGACTGGTGTTATACACTCGAATGGCAGAGAACTCTTGCGCTTGAACGGGCTGCATTATCACCAGGAAGTGAAACAAGCCCGATCAATCAAACTCAGCCAGCAAGCGCAGCTAGCAAGCGCAGCCAGCAATCGCAGCCAGTATTACGAAGATCAGAAGTTGGGGTGGCAGACAACATCAACCACGGCCCCTTCCCACATCATCGCCCGCTTTGCGTGTCTGGACGAATCACCTGCATCGTACATAGGCCTCCTCCCGCAAACGACTCCTGACCCTTACAATCGACAGACAGTCCGCCTGGGCCATCACTCCTCGCAGTTCGGCCTGGCCGAGAAATGCCAGCAACATATCGGCAGCCGCGGCGGCTTCCCTTGGCGTTATGCAGTGTGTGAGCTCCTGGTCGCAGGTCTCGGGCGAAGTGTCTTGGGGCCTTCCACGTCGTTCCCTTGGCGTCCGCTCCGCGCATGCCTCATGCTCCAGCCCTATCGTCTCTTCCGCTCGCACATGCCTATCCTGAACCCCCGTCTCCCAACTGTGTTTCTTGCCTTGCTGTCTCTTGGACCGTTTTTTCAGAGTCGCCTGCTCGAATAGCGAGCGGATCTCACTGTGCTTCTTCCTTCGTCGCGATACTCTCATGGCCAAGGCTGACTTGCTCGACGACGAAGAAACGCCAAATCGATCTTCGAAACCACTCTTGATCGTATCCCAGTCCTGATCTTGCAGGCGTTGTTCGATGAGGTACTGGTCGGCGACGTCGATTTGGAGTTTGTCAACTAAGTCTGGGTCGAGGATACCCTCTTCTACCGGATTGGGTTCGTTCCCACCGGAAAAGACAGTATCTTCTGTTGAGTCGAAGTCTGCTGGTTCGAACGCCTTGGGCGATCCATCGTTGAAGTGAGAAAACCCTCTTGGGCAATAATCGCCGTAATCAATTGTGAAAGGCGGCGGCGGCGATTGCCAGGCAGAAGTGTCCGGCTGATGTGAAGGGACGAATGAACCGGTCCACTCACCCACCCGAGATGTGTCCCGAGACACTGACACGAGTGCTTGCTGGTCCGCCGAATGTCTGGCCATCGTGCATAAGAGCCTTTCTCGAGTATCGAGTCCACCCAAATGGTTATGACGACCGCCATGGTGAACTTCGTGAGGACCAAGTTATATGCGCCTTGCACGTCCGCAACAAACACTCGCAACTGCGCCACTTGTGAGCTCGGGTTTCCCTGGAACGCCAATTGTTTCCTGATCTGCTCTGTATTCTCACCAAACACTTTCACATTGGGACGTAGTGCGTAGTTGGATGGCAACACCATATTCGTTGGTTA